CAAAATGGTCCACTTTTTGTCGCATTATTTATAGAGAGCGCTGCAATCACCAATGGTCCGTCTTGTCGTAATATTTGACATAGGCAGCAATACCGAAAATACTGATTTGATATCAATTTCCATTATGAATAAGTCTTATAGTGCAACCTGTTTCGTCCCTGAATTCAACACTGGTTATACAACTGTTAGACAGAAGGATAAAAGCTTAGGAATCAAGAATCCAAGTAGATTTAGAACTTCAAAGGTGAGCAACATTTATACCAGGCCCGATCACAGTCAGATGAATTTATATAACTTTGCAGAACGTCTGGGTTGTTAGTAAATAAGAGGATATGTAAATAATAAATTGGAAATTATTTAAATATTTCACACAGCTTAAATTGGAAATTAGTTAAAGATTTCGTGCATGGAAGCAGGCAATCGTGAAATTGTAAAGTTAAATAAATATCCGAAATTATACAAGAACGATAGAATATTTGCCTTTTTATTTTACTTACAGAAATGAAGATAAACTCATTCCCCCTTCTTTTCCGTTTGAAGCAGGTTTTTATAATAAATGGAAATGGACACTATCCTGCTTAAAATTAACTTTACTTGCATAGTTGAGTGAAAACATAACAGCAGAAACGTGTAATGAAAAACTGATTTTCCATGAGATAAATTCAGCATATTAAATAAGTTATGAATATTACGAAATCATGCCACCTAATCACATAAATGAATGGTTATTAAAAATTAAGATTTAAATCTTGGTACAGTCCAGGGGGAGAACCATTATGACAGAAATCTTAAATTTGAACTTGTAGAACTATTCAAGTGTTACATGCTGCAATTAAATTTTGATTTGCTATTACAATTTTCAAATTAAATTTGAATCATTAAATATTAAATTTGCATCAAAGTCACGTAAAAAAATTCAGAGTAAATTACAATTAAATGGGGTTTTTCTAAATAATTTTCCATACGAGTTCGAACTATTATATAATTATATAGACATGTACACATTCAGCAGCAGTACTTTTTGATGTTTAAGGAATCCCATATCCCCTTAAAACAAGGTCGATACCTCTAGATGATTATGAGTTAAAAGTTATAGGATATTGAAACGCACAAAGTATTAACTGCTTTTTTAAATGAGAAGGACATTAAATACCACTCTTATATTCTGCCAGAGAACAAAACTATCAAAGCTGTAATACGCAGCCTACCAATTGATACCTCTGAGCAAGAAATAGCTGAAGAACTTACGGAAATACTTGGTGGTGAAGGTTAATCAAATGGTTAGTCGCAGAAATGGGATACAATCAAACTCCATTTATTCTTAATTACATTACAACGTAATGATAAGGTTAGAGATATTTTTAATCTTACAGATCTTCTCTCTCTTAAAGTTAATGTTGAAAGATACAAAGGCAGAAAAGGCCCCATGCAATGTTTTAGGTGTCAGGGTTTTCACTATGCGCAAGCGTGGTGTAAGCATGATCCTAAATGCATGAAATGCGCAGGTAATCACTTCTCTAGAGAATGTCCCAAACCAAAACATGAAAAGCCTCTATGTATAAACTGCGGATTAGAACATACAAGCAATTACAGAGGATGTTCTAAATTCTCTAATTCCAATCCCCCCCATACATAAGACTTACACGTACAGGGTTGTTACAAATAAATCCTATGCATCTGCACTTAAAGGACAAACTTCTCAAGAAATTGATAAAGCTAGAAAAATTTATAACTATCTCAAAGGCCTGGTTGAAATAATTCGCTCTTCGGGATTATGTCAATTAAATTTTAATTCTTGTATTAATACAAGTAATACATTCGCTTTCACACCACAAAATCATGTCTAGTACACCCAAACGACGTGCTCCCGTGAGATTAATTGTTTGAAACGCGACAGTCTTAAGGATAAATTAGATGAATTTACTGATTTCATAATCGACAATGAAATAGACATCTGTCTTGTCTCTGAAACATACGCCACTCCGAGCGATAGGTTAACAATTAAAAAAATATAGATCTTTTCACTATGGTATGTTACATCACAGAGGGGGGAGGTGTTGTCATATATGTTCACTGTAAATTATCGTCTCACTGAATCGCAACGGATAGAGCTGACGGTTATGAAATTGTTGTGGTCTCAGTGCAGCTTCCCAGTTATGGACGTGCAAATTTCGAGGTAGTCTATAATCCCCCAGATAATAAACTTACTATTAGTACTCTTGCCACTATTATCCCAGATAATGCTTTTTTTATTGTAGGAGGTGACTTCAATGGTAAGTAGTCTGACTAGATGTGCAGAAAGACAAACTACAATGGACTAATTATACGAGTTTTCCTAGAAAATCATCCAGTTGCCATTTTGTACCGAATTCTCCTACGTGTAGGCCGCTTATTACTAATACCCCGACATCCTGGACTTTATCATCTCTCGAACGCGGGAATCAACATGACTATGGAGATTCATGAAGCGCTCACTTCTGATCATCTTCCTATTGTCGCCACCTTAGGAATTTTTAATGAACGCTCTGATAAGTTTTTCCCATACTGATTCGAGACTCTTTCATAATATAGGCAAGGAAAGACTCCCGTGGTTCAATCCACTAAAAAGCGTTGCAGACATTGATACGGAAATTTGTATGTTCACTATTTCTCTGAACGATGCATACCAAGAGGCCACAAAAGTAATCATTCTTATTAACAATATACGTAGCTTCACAGAAATATTAGAGAGCTAATGAAAGAGAAAGAGAGTCCGGAAGAGCTGGAACCTCTCCTGCGACCCTGAAGTTAAACCTGACCTGAATGGCATCAGCAAGACTATTAAAAAGCAATCCCTGATTTTAAAAGAGAAAAATGAAATGATAAGATTGAGCGACGCGTTTTGAAGCTTTACGAAAAAGCTCAAAAAGACCCATGAATGTGCTAGGCCAATTACCCACAATGGTCTCGTTGCCTACTCTGATGCTGAAAAATGCAAAATCTTTGCGAATCACCTGGAAATGCAATTTTCACCCAATTCAAGCCCTATGGATGTCAACTTTGCCTCCGCAGTGGAAAATAAGCTTATGGACTGGCTTAATAAACCAACCGCAGTTAATATCATTAGTCTCACCTCCCCAAAAGAAATTGTAAGCATTATCAAGAAGCTCAAGCTGAGAAAAGCTCCCGGCATAGATGGAGTCAGTAATTACATGCTTCGTAACTTGCTTCATAATGCAGTCTCTAAACTTGCCAAAAATCTTCAACGCTTATTTGGCTCAGTGCTACTTCCCGCATGCACTGGCATCCTCATGGTGGACGTGGCTAAAGCCTTCGACCGCGTCTGACATGAGGGACTTATCTACAAATCGATCAATTAGAGTTTCCTAGAAAACTTATTCCGCTATTGAAATATTACCTTAGTAATAGTCTCTTTACTGTGAACTGTGGTGAGAGCTACTCTGCTATTCTACATGTATTAGGATTAAGGTCGCAAGGCTCCTATTTGGAACCGGTGCTCTATTCGTTCTATACAGCGGACTTTTCTAAAGCAAATCTTAGTAACAATATGCTTCTGGCATGCTACACAGATGATACTATAGTAGCTGTCAGATCAATCCAACAGAAGAGAGCCATTAGCATTTTTCAGGATTTTACTATTCAAGTTGAAAACTGGTGTGCTAATTGGAGCATCTCCATTAATGCTGCGAAATCTCAATCCCTACTTACCCACACAAGACTTCATAATACCTCAGTACAACCTCTGTATCTTTTTGGACAACGTGCGCCAAGAGTTGACAATGAGAATTATCTGGTGTTATACTCAATCAGAGGCTCACCTGGCATACTCACATCAGACATGTGACTGGTAAAGCCTTAGCAGCTGCTAATCAACTATATGCTCTGTTAGGCAAAAGCTCTGGACTTAGCCTTATTAGGAAACGTCATATTTACATTGCAATTCTATGTCCCATTATGAGTTATGCATCACCGGCTTGGGCCGCTGCTTCTCCTGCTAACATCAAGAAACTGCAGATAGTGTAGAACAAAATTTTGGGAATTATAATAGGGGCCCACTTTTATATCAGAAATGCTCTGCTTCACAATGATCTTAAGCTAGAGCAATGGACTCAATGACAAAGTTTTCAAAAAAGGACTCTACTGACGTAGGAAACTTCAGTGCCATACTGAATTACAGAATAGATCCGAAGTATTTCATCATCCTTCATCATTTACTGCGCACAGATTGCGTGACCACAATTTCGTGACCTGAACTATTTCATCTTCCATGCATAAATGGCATGCGTTCTTGAATTCATGAGCTTGCATTTGTTTATTTTGTAGTATACATTGTTTGGCATGGCGTTTGATTCATATTCCTGCATTTTTATTTTTAGTATTTTTTGTGACTATTCTATATTCCCATTCATTTTTTTTTCCTTATTTCTAGTTTTCATTCTTTTTTCTTCTCCCACATACTTGGGGGGGGGGGGGGGGGGGGGTGGGGGTGGGGGGGGGGGGGGGGGGGGGTAGCTGGGGGGGGGGGGGGGGGGGGGGAGGTCTATTGTGGTCTATATCCCCTCGTCTATATCTCCTTCATTGCACCCTCCCATTGTGGGAATTCATGATTCCTTGTTCATATGATTGCTACCATGTGAAGTGTCTTCAGGGCTTTACATCATCAGAGCTTTCGACAGCCAAACGTTCTTGGCTAGTAGAGCATAAGCATTAAAACAAACAAGAAGTTTTCTTCCACAAATACATTGATCAACGATTGTCAAGAATGGCAACCCTACCCGACATAATCAGCAAAGAAGTTTCGTGTACAGTTTTGGTTTATCTACGCGGCTTTGCGCAAATGTGATTGTTCAAACAGTTCAGTCATATGTATGTGTTTAACAAGTGGTGACTGTCGTACTTATATATGGTCACAAAGTTTAGGTGTTACTCATATCTTCCAAGTATAGCTTATTGTTCTGTGAATCAGAAATTTGTTTAAATATATTTAATTTTATTTTGAAATGGAAACATTGCATAGTGGATATTTTCATCCTGTCTTGAGGCAGTATCAAGAGGTGAACACAGATGTGCAGTCTTCTCATTTAATGTACCCGTTGTTTTTGATGTAAGTATCTTGATGAATGAAAATAATACTCTATAGATTAGTGCATAACCTATGTTGTTTTCTGCTTTCCAATTTACGCGTTACTGTAACAATGGAAATTTAATATCGGTAAAAACTTTTTGTATATTTAATATGTATGATCGGTTCTGTAAAAGTATGTTTGCTCTTTTTTGTTAAGAGAAAGAAATATGTGCTGAAAAATATCATGTTTACCATTCTATTTTTTCAGATCTTAAGTGGATATAAATAATTACAGCTGTCACTGGATTTATGAATTTCCCATTTATTGAAATCAGATACTTGTAGTTGCACAGACATAAATAGTTATTATTTAATTATTCCCAACGCCGTAAAAGTTGTAAATTCGCAAAAATTGTTTGCTTGACTGTCTTTATATCTCACTGGTATTCTTTTTATAAATAGTAATATAAAGAAATATTTCGAATCAATTTTCATCCTGTATTTTAACATTTTTTGTGCAGTTTTTGGCGCTACATAAGTTGTGTTATGTGGTGCCAAAAACTGGAGTTTGTTTAAGAAGTACAGTTGTATGACCTTACAGTTTTTTTTTTTTTTTTTTAAATTCTTTATTTTAGGCCCAAAATCATATTTCTAAAGAAATCTGATGCTGTCTTTCTCATCAGGCGATATCACAGTCCTGTTATAATTTGTTATTTGCCAAAAGAAAACAATTAAGGTTAGCAAAAAGATAGTTAAATATAAAGCACATAAATCTGCATATATTGAAATGTATGGCGTGCACGTATATATTGGTTGACTGTTGTGTGTAAACTAGAAAATACACTTTAAAAACAGCAATTCTACTGAATGCTGAAATTAGGGCTATGGATAATGGGGGAAAAAACCATGAGTATTTTTGATTGTGTCTTTTTGTGCAGGTGTTTATAGTTGGTGAATACAGACATCATCTTGAGAGTTTGATGGAAAATATAAAGATATGAGATATTCTGAATCCATCCTTACTTAAGGTGCTTTTGTTTAAAATTGGTAAAAAGCTGAGCAGGACCATCATGTATTGTCTGTGAATTGGTAATTTTATTGCAGTTCCTGTAATGTAGAGTTCGTTGGTTCCAGCAAAGGTTTTTGGACTTTTCATTATATTCTTTAGCACTTGCAGTTCAGTATGATTTTTACAAATTGTCAAATCACCTGTTATCATATTCCAAAGGTCAGCTAGGTTTTCATGTATTGTGTTAAAACTCGTTAATTAATTGATAAATAATAATTTAAAATCATTTTAAGCACACTAGTACTTTTCCGTTAGTACATTGCCAGCTCAGATGTTTGCAAGTATGTTAATATTAAAAGAATAAATGCAAAAACAAGAAATCTTTTCTCATGAGAAATTAATTTATTGCATTCAAGAAAAACTAATTTATTGCATTCAAGAGGAATTAATTAAAAAATGCGGGAACCATAAAATGAATGATTAAGATGACGAAAAATTTCAGCCAAGATCACATACACAACAATCTACTTTCGCTTAAAAAAATGAGAATTGTGCGGCATAAAATTTGATCATTTACAGTACGTGGAATGCAAATTTTTACATTTTGTATTGTTAGGCAAAGGTCATATTTCTGAAGAAATGCAATATTTTCATTAGCTGGCAAAGTTACAAATGATTCTTACAAAGAAAGTTGATTCCTTACAAAGAAAAAATGCTGTCAGTGCAATAAAACAAAACACTAATGACCATTGAATTCTGGAAATCAGCACATGTATGCTCTGTGCTTGTACTTGGGATGTCACTTATACAGTACAAAATTCAAGACTCGGACTTTTCGGGACTTCAGTGATTCTGGATTTGGGATTTTTCGGGATATTAGAACATCAGTTTAAATCTGGTAAGATGAGAAATTTCAAAATAGAAAATATGAAATAATGAAGCATTTATGACCTTAAGGAAATCTGGGGGGGGGGAGGGAAGCTCAATATTTACTTTCTTAAATATTTCTTTCAGTGCAAGTCTGTTTTAATTTGTTTCATTTTTTGTGCTAATACTAATATTTTCTGTTTAATTCTATAGGAAGATATAATTTCTTGTTCATTTACAAAGTTCCATTGTTCAGCGTCCTGTAATTGCAGTGTTGAGAATTCCCGCTAAATTGTCAATTGGAATTTTTGTGTTTCTAACAACCTGTCACTTTCTTCACTATTGGTAGCAATATGTTCTGGATTTAGAACCATACTATAGATTTCATTGTCCATTAATTGATTGATGACTGGGGCATTGTCATTGGAATGAAAAACTTCTGTTAAACTTTCATTTATTACCACTTCTTTAAATTTCTTCATTAATTCCATTCATTGGAAAATTTTACTGTTTGCAACATCTGGAAAACTTCAAATCTGCAGCAATTATTCATCTACTATACGCTGTTGGTGATGTATCATGAGATTGGCGACTTAAAATATGTTGTTCTGCTAAATTTTGTTTTGCATCTATTGCAGGTTAAGCCTAACTTATATTTACTTAGTTATTTAATATACGTATGACTATTTCTCTCACATGTTTAAGGTCCTGAGTAAATAAATTCCTACTTATACTTTTATCCAGGGATGGTGCTATACATTTTGTTGCCTGCTGTAATCTCTATGGGTCTAAAATTCTGCTGCCAAGCACCTCTCTGAATTCTAAAAATTTTACTGTCCCTTAATTTTAATGCTGAGTTCTTCTCCAAATTCTAAAAATTTTGTCTCCTCTAAATGCCTAAATGCTGCTGTCTGTTACAGCCACATCAGCTTTGGCATTGGTCTTAGGCTTAGCAAAAAATCAGTTATTCCTAATTCAAATCACTAAATGTAATCTTTTGGCCTATGAGTATAATTTACTAATTTTTTTTTTTTTTTTCATATGAAAAGAAATTTCTCTTAAATATCTCCACTTCAACACACTCCACTTCTCAGAGGGTATTAGCTGACGTCTGTAATCATCATTTAGTGCAATGTCAACATAAAAGGTTACCTTCCCTTTAATTTTCAGTTACTAATATTAAAAATTTATAAAAAAGGTACATCTTAACACAACCATCTTGGTGTAATTTGACATTTTTTACAGATGAAAAGGTAAAAATTGCTCATCGTGTGCTAGTTAGTATTTTTCAGGAATTTTTTTTAAAATGTTCCCAAACTTCAATATTTATTATAAGAAACATTATCTACATATGAAAAGTCAGCATATTTTAGCAATTTAAAGTACAAATTTTAATGGTTAAATAAGGATTGCAGGTGTTGCCAAACTCAGCAACACCGGCTGCCTCCTAATTGTTCAATTTAGAGATTTTGAAGGAAAATTCTGTATTCCTGCAGACATTTTACCACAGTTTCTTCCATTGCTGGCAAATTCCACAAATGCATATTTTAAAGTTAAGAATCACAATTTATCTCTGAAAACCATTGCAACTTGAAATGCAACAAATAAAACGCATAAAAAAATGGCAATGTTATATGACTGGAGGATTTTTAGATCATGGTTGCCTGAAGAATGGTTATTTGCGAGATTCCTAGAGTTTGGACATTTTGAAAATTTGGTGACTTCTGCTAAGGTGATAACAGGTAAGTACTCCAAAAATTGTTTATTCATTTCTCAACCTACAGTATGCCGACAGTCATGCAGTGATGAAAACAAAAAATAATAAATAGTGATTTGCGATGTTGGCATAAGTGCCGAGGTGAAATTGAGAATTAGGACTCTCGATACATTTTCATGTTTTATTATGGAAAAATATCAAATGTGCAAGCTTAGAGCATAATTTTTTTTTCTTAAAAAAGGAAAAAAGAGTGTTGGTGATCTGGAGGTTTGGATGTTCGGATTGTTGGATGTTGGATGTTCGGAGCAACAACAACATTTATTTTCTTTCTTTATGCTCCTTGTGTTGCTGTATAAAAATGTCAGAAGTAAACTTTATATGCTCCCTTGCTTATTCATTCTGCTTTTGTTTTAGTCTAATTCTAATTATTTTCCTTCTCTGACTTAAAATCTGCTAAGCTTAAATTATGTAGATTATTTATTTTCTGCTGTAAATTCTGCAATATCCATTTATATATTCTTCTGCAGTTGAAGTATATAGTATTTATGCATAGTGAAGTTATGCATGGCTGTTGCTGTGCAAGGATAATCATAGCAGCTTTCTTTTTTCATCATAAAATGGGCACAATTTCTGAAATAATTCAGGGTTGTAGCAATTAGTAGTCTTTGGTTTGCCAACTATTGTCAAATGATGGCTTTCAAATATGCTTTTAAATATAATGTTGTAAAATGCATTATGTTTTTTGGACTATTTAATTTATAGTTAAAAAAAGTATTTATTTAATTATAAAAAGTATAATATTTAATTATTATCCAATTTCAGAAATAAACCTGATGATAAACAAGAAATATCCAGTATGCCAGGTGTTTTCAAATTTGGCGAGAAGCAGCTTATCAATTTCTTAAAACCACTTGTCCAGAAAGGCTTATCATCTGTTCTGCTCTTTGGAGTTATTGAATCATCATTAAAAGTAAGCACCTTCTTATATGCACAGTTTCAAAGGAAATTGAAACTGTTAGTTAATTACTACCTAAATCAGTTCAAAAATTTTACTATCAACATTATTTATAAAGTAATATAAGAATTCTACTTTTCACCATTCTTATACTTATTGCCTAATTTTTTCTTATAGGATTCAAAAGCTTCCTGTGCTACTACTTCCAAGAATCCTGTTCTCCATGCTGTTTCCCAATTAAGATTGAATTTCCCTAATCTTCTGATTGCATGTGATGTTTGCCTATGTGGTTACACTGATCATGGTCATTGTGGTAATTATCATTTATGGAATATAGTGCACGACAGATTTTATACAATGTGCCTTAAATTATAATTCAAGATTCACCCTAAGCCTTATTGCAATAGTGACCAGTAGCTAAAACTGAGCAAAATTGATAGTTTTTCTCAAGTTCAGTTTCTTGTGGCAATATTTTTTTAGGTGGGTCTCTTGATGTTAATGAATTTTTCTTTTTAAATTTACATTTTAATGTTATTCTACAAGAATTAAGAAACCCGGACCATCACAGTTCCTAAGTTCTCTATATTTTTGGAACTTTTGTTGTTCTAAATTTTCATACTAGGTCAATTAACATTCGTTTTTAGATAATGTAAATTATTGGATTTTTTTGCTTGCTCTTTTTAGAGTAACAGAAGTGATATTGTATATTAGGTTTTCCGGGATAAGATTTGCAAGTCCATTCCAATGGTGCTATGTCTGGATTAAATGTTGGGTGCATCGTAACTTCCCAACTAAGCTCATGCAATTTTTAATGGGTCATCAAAGAAGTGTGTGGTTGGACATTGTCATGATGGAAGACAGTGCTTTTCCTATTATTCAATTTGGGTCATTTCCTTTCAGTTGCCTGGCATAATCTCTGTAGTTGACAATTAATCGTCTAACAAACTGGAAGTAGCTCATAGTAGATGATTATCTTCCAGTCCCATCACACACACAGCAGCATCTTGTTAGATGTAAATCCTGGCTTTGCAACAGCTTCCCATCCTATATATATAATCATTTTTATGCTTGTGATTGTCATATGTGATCCATTTTTCATCCCCAGTTATGACACATTTGAGAAATGGTTCAAGTTCACTGCGTTTCAGTAGTGTATCGCAGATGTTAATTTGGTGTAGCATGTTTTTGGGGCTCTACTCAAGCAAAATTTAGACACTGAGCTGCTCTTTTTGTAGCCAACTTTGTGTAAATGGTTCAAAACAGTTTTGTGGTCAATGCTCAGTTCCATACCAATATTGACACTGCTGATATCCTTATCTTGCTGGAATTTTGCAAGAATTTCATCAGTTATTTAGTGATTGGATGACCATAGCATGCCTCATCTTTTACATAAAATTTACCAGAGTGAAAGTGAGCGAACCATTTCTGTGCACAATATTTTGATAAGTTACCTTCACTGTACATAGCACAAATTTTGTCACAAGACTACGCAGCATTCTTCTTTTTTTTGTTATAATAGTGCAAAATGTAGTGCAATTTTTTCTTACTTTTATCCATTATCAAACAGGCACAACTTTCCACCCAGTGCATCACATTTAATGTTTATACACTCACAGTAATGCTTGAAGAATCACCTTTCTAATGAGCATTTAGTGGGGTCCCTACAATATGTGTTTCCTGAGTTATTTGCCATTGATGTCATCTATCAGGGAAAATGCCGCCAAACTTTTCCCCAGACCCTATATTTTAATTATTTTATTATTTCATTCCATAGTTAATTATTGATCATAAAAAGGCTTTAATTGCCTTTTAACACACCTAGCTATTATTAAAATAATTTGCATATATTTTATTCCTCCCTTTTTTAAATCATGTTTCATTGTATTATTTGTTTCTTGGAACTTGTATTAGTGCTCATCATCCGATATGTATGTAATCCCCTTTTCAAGGACTACTAATATCTTAGTTAAAATCTAAATAGAGACTTTTTGATTATCCCAACCACCTTTAAAAACCACAATAAAGTATTGATGAGGTAATGCACTGTGTCACTGAAAAGTATTTTGGTGGTAACCCACGTATGTGCCTAGCACATATTCGAGTACGTACGGCTTTGCGCTTTGAAATTAAATAGTCATTTTTTGGATTAGTATTTCTTTTTGCATTGATTATATTTTTGTCATAATGAATCATATTGAAACTATGGAGTTTGCCCTTTTTTAATTTCATTACAGTGGAATTGTTTTGTTAAAATATTCGCTGAAGTTTCAACTGTTCTTAGCTCTTCTCTTTCTGTGGGTACTGAAAAATACCTTTATAATTTTAGGCTTATTCATTATTATGTCTATATCTAATCCATTATATTAATAATTTATGGGACTATAGAAAATGCCAATTTTGCAGTTTTCTTTAGCCATATGTTCATTATCTTTACAGAGACAGGGTTCATGTGGTCCTTAGTCCTTAGGTTTTTTTGGAATCGAATTTTGGTCCTTAAACCCAAGTTAAGGTCCTTAAACTTTAATTTAGGCCAAAATTAGCAGGTCCTTAATTTGAATCATTTGAAATTTCCGTCTGTTCTTACGACTGCAGTTTTGAGTATGAATTAACATTTTGGAGAAATAGTTTTGGCAATTCACTGACATATATGGTTATCTTCTGAATGGGTGAATGGTTTTATGTATTTCTATATAAATGGTGGGATACTCGAGCTTCTCAGCAAGAAGTGAAACATAAGCATTTCCAAATTAAGTTTTTCTAATGAAGAGCTCGTAAACAACTTTTCGCTTTTGGTGATGTAAATTCTTTTGTTTAATGGTTCTAAATTTGGTGACGTATCATCAATTTGGCAATTTTAAGATCAGTTTTTATACAAAATTTTTAATTTCGAAATCTGAGAATTTTTCGATGATTTTTTTAAAAATATTTAAACATTGATAAATCTTATTAAAAATAATGGTAATATATTGAAATTATAATTTAAAAAATAACATTAAAATAAAACATTTTTATTTTTCGCTCTCATAAAGTTCTATTTTAGCAACTTATACAATATTTTGAATCTGAAAAATAAACAAGGTATAATGCTATAAAGCACTATTTACGAAACAGTTCTTAGCAAAAGCGAAATTAGCTATGTAATTGATTAAAAATTCTTTTTAATTTTTTAATAGTAAGATTTTCCCCATGTAATTTTCTCAGAATATGCATCAGTTTTCTCTATAAAATTAATTTTACACTTGCTTCCCCCCTTTTTTTACACTTCCTTGTACAAAGTAAAAAGGAAGTATTGTAATCGCGAAAAGTTTCAGGCAGCATATTTCAAAGAAAATATCCATTTTGACTGCTATTGAATGCAATTTAACGATGTTTTTGCGTGTAAGGACACAATGATGAAAGACGTTTCTCCAAAAAAATTAAAAACTGCTTTTTTAAATTAATTCTGAAGAGAATTTTTCGTGGCGTCTGTAGGAAAGTATGTCCGTACGTACGTATTCACATAACTAAACGAGTAGCCTCAGACGTTGAAATTTTTGTATAGGACTGCTATAAATGTAGATAGGCACCTCGTATTTGGTTGCAATTGGCCGCACCAAATGTATATAAATATATTTATATATATATCCACTCTGTTACCCGGCTCAGTGATCTCAGTTTCTTTACTCTTATATGTTTGTAAATTGTATATTTTTTGCTTTAAAAATGATTGAATTATGCTGTTTTTATCTTCCGGTTAAGGTTTTTATGCCTTTAGTAAATCTGTATGCAATATTTTTAGAATTATCAACAATTTTAAAGTTGTTTAAGTGCCACTAAGCCTTTTTTTTTATGGCGGCCGTTGATTGTTTACATTTGAAACAGCAGACTAGTGGATTTGTTGCCAATCTAGAGAAACCTAGCTTCGCAACAACAAAGATAATGCCTTCATTTATTATTGCCAATTAAATCATTGTTAATCCTTCTGGAATTTGTTCGAGGAAATAAGTGTTTAAGATTTACATCATAATTTTCAATACAGATATTTTGAGTTTTTATGTATTTTTGCCTTCTCGCGAAGTGAGAAACTGGAATTAATCGAATGAGAAATACTGAATTGTCTGTGAAAAATTGTTTCATTTTTTGTTGTTGTTTGCTTAATTTCTTGTTATACATCATTTTAAATTTATTATTAGTATTTGAATAGAACATGTGGCAAAGATTAGATAATTCTATTCTTTAAATAATATAAATTTTGTGCATTATGAGTTATAATATGAACGAAATATAATACCGTTAAGTGAATCTAGCTCCAGAGTGTCGCTATGGTAAACAAATACTAGAGTGAATTTTAAAGAATGCATTTATTCTATTGTCAGCAAAGTAGATTTAATTCAATCCAATAAGTTTAAATGAAATGCAAGAAAAAATGTGTATAATTTAATATTCCGTACAAGGAAGTCATGTGATGTACACATCAGATTTTTTCAAAATACTTCTGGCTTTTTGCTATTACACAAATAGTAGGGGTAATTTTAGATTTTAGGTAGGGATTTTAGACACTGCAGCTTGGAAAGTTCCACAATTCTAGAAGATTCCAGAAATATGTGACAAAATGAAAAATGCCTCTATGTTATTAACACGTAATGGATGTCTTTTACAGAAAGTTTGAGATTAACTCCTTACTTTGAAAACGTCTGGAAGAACAATGGAAACATAATATTTGAATGTTTTACTTCTGATACTTGAATATTTTTCTTAACAAGTTTATCTTCCCTTTATTTTCACTAAACACAAGCATGGAAAATATCAAAAATGCGTCTAATCTTATCACATGAACAGGCATTATAAAAAGGAATTTTTTTTTAAATAAAGAAATTGAAAACTGAAAATTTAAAAGATTCATCTTATATGTCTCAATGCATCATCAGTGGCATAAATAGGGTGGGTCAATAACTAGAGTATGCCTTAATGCATCATACATGGAGCTGAAGCTAGGCATTTTCCCACCTGATGCAATTTTTGTGGATCCTAAATTCTACTGTCCAGTGCCTTTCTAAATTCTGCTTCCAATACCTGCTCTAAATTCTAAAATTTATAGAGTGTCACTAAATTCTAAAAATTCTGCCACACCAGTTCTATAACCAGTCTTTACCATATATATTTTATATTTCTTTTGAATGTCCATATTACTAAAGAAATAAAATTAGCAGCTTTTTCTATACATTCTAAACGCATTTAGTTTTTTTACAATAACAGAAATACTTAATCAAATCCAAAAATTCTAAAATGAAAAGGAAATGCGTTGAAGAAAGAAACTAAATACATAAAGAAAATTATTCTTCAAAGATATGTACAGTTGTTATTATGTAAATTACCCAGTTTTTTATTATTTCAGCCTTTACTATAGTTTCCAAATTCTATTTCCTCATATGATAGAGTTACTGAGCCAGCTTAAATCAAAATTAAATTGTCTAGTCTTTGAACACTAGTCCACATTTTCCAATTTGAATTTGACTGTTCTTGATTAATTGCATCACCACAAGCTCTGTAAATGACTTTGTTAGCATCAAAACATGCCTTTATGCTCTAAGTTCTTTTTAAATAAGAAGCTTATTTAAGCCTTTGTCTGACATTGTAGTTACTTTCAGACATAGTGATAATTTGCTTCATGTCTGTCGGTAGGTTTCGACTATTTGATTTTTACCAGATCAAGTAAAACAAGTTAGGAGATAAAGCACGCAGAAACTAGTGAAAAAATTGCCGTGCGTATTGCGACCAATTTGTGGTTGTTAGAAAAGATGCTTAAAGAGAAGAAAATCTATAAGAACTATCCAAAATGTCTGGGAAGGCTTCAAATTAAAAAGACGCACAAATATTTGAGTGTTGTTACAAAACACAAATGTTTTGTAGCTTTTAATGTGTAATTATTCATTATCTTTATATCTTTAAGAAACAATGTCATAAATTACATGCATTTTATACTGTAAAATTTTATTAGATTGCGATTTCAGTAGGTGGTTTTTTTTTTTTTTTTTTTAACAAATATTGTTAAAAAATAAGTAAAATTTAATAGTAGCCATGTAAATCCATAATAACTAAGGTTATCTAACTACCTAATTTAATTATTTATAACTAACTGCTTACTCTTAAAAATTATTTTTGCATATTAAAGCCAGTTATTGCTTTTCATTAATCCTTACTGTGGTCACAAGATAAAACACAAAAATATAAAAATCATGTAAAACTTTTTTTTGGCATCTAGTGAGACTTAAAATAATACAAAACAACTTATCATCTATGGTGCTTTAGTAGCTTATTGGAACCTTAAAGTATCATTACTGGATTGCAATCACTAGAACTCTGCATGAAGCTATGACACTAAGTGCATCAGACAAAGCCCGACTAACTGTCGAAACTTGCCAATCGTGCCTACATCAGGCCTTTCAGGTTTGTTCTAATCGGCAGGTCTCTCTTTAGGCCAGCAGCAGTGGTGACAACATCCAGTCTTTCATTATGAATCATGCTGATTATGATCTTACTTTTCATTTTAATCTATGCCGCTTGACATAAAATCTACCTGCTCTTTACTAAACCTCTAGACTATCATAAAGCTTATTGTTAGTAAAACATAAATGTCACTTATCTTCTTTCAAGTATGTTCAACTATTATAAGTGTAAAATATTTAATGCTACGTGATACATTTTATACAGTTGATTTCATTCTCAAACTTATTAATAATTATGTTAATTAAGTTGCATCCTACTTACAAATCTATTTTATTTTTAGGATGGTATTACAAAAGTGAAGTTCAGGCATGGATAATATTTTTAGTTGAATTTATTCAGTTCCCATTCGTTCATATGTCCTTAATTTTTTCATTAATGGTTCTTAAAAGTACTCAATTTCTATGTGCAGAAATATGTACGAACCCTGCAGAGAGTTTTCAGCAACTGGAGGCAAATAAACTTTGTGTACCTTCCTGTTTGCTAAAATGCAATGGGAAACATTAATTCAGTGGTCTGTGAATGCTCTGTCTGGGGACAGATGTCTCTCCTTTCACTCTTACTAGTTATGCCTCTATAACTTTAAGGAGTTCACTAAATTATCCTTGTGTATTTATGAGCCATAAAATAGCTTGGCTAAATAAGAAGTGGAAAATATTTTTTGAAAATTCATCAGCTTGGTCCACATTTCAGTAGCTACTATTGTATTTTATTGTAAAATATTGCTACATCAACTGTAATGTGTATAAAGGCCTTGCTAAAAAGACTGTGTTATCGAAAGAGAGGTATAAATATCAAAATATGTAAAAGCACTTTTTTTCTTCATTAATGTCTTTCAGTGCAGATATGTTTTCTGTAGTCAGTACTGTGCTGAAGATCGATGCTAAATGCACATTTATAAATTATGAAATAAGTTTTGTGGATGTTACAAGGCACAGAACTTAAATATGGATATTTATTTTACATAAATAAACATCAGTTATAAAAATAACACAATTACATGGATAGCAAAAGGTATTTGACAAAAGTGCATATGAATTAAATGTGGCAAAAATAAAAGCACATACTGCTTGAAAATGGCAATACTAATTGCACGTGTTGGGCAGTAATTATTTATAAAGATATTTTATTGATAAATGTACATGATTAGATATCAATTAAATGTTATATATATAATAAAATTTCCTAGTAGATTAATTATAATTTGGCATGAATAATTAACAATCTTGATTGATAACATAAGATATGGAAAAACTAAGAGGCTGTTGTGAGAGCTCAAATATTTCAAAAGTTAAGCATATGGTAGAAAATTCAGTGATTTATACATTGCTAGAAAGATTCCAAAGAAAGTAGTCAGTTGAATTAGTAATTCATCAATATGGTAATAAAATATAAAGAAAAATACATTTAATATATTAAGCATATATTTAATCCTCAAGTTCTTATTTCTTACTTAATAGAACATTTAGAAGATAGAATTAATAGAACATTTATCTTGGGCAGATAGCTGAATGTGCTTAGCCGTAATCTAATTAATTCAGTCCAATTTTATCTCTTATAAAGTTGTTCTTATTTTCAATATAAGTATATTGAATATATTGAATATTTAATATAAGTATATTGAATATATTGAATATTGAATATATTGAACTTATATTGAATATTCAATATAAGTATAATCAATATAATGTTTTAAAATGTGCCATTCCACTTTAGTTTTTTTTCTTCTTTGAAGCAACTAACTGAACATATTTTTCATTGTTTGGACAAAAATTACCACCATGTACTTTTTATAGGAATACTCGATGCAGAAGGGCACATTGATAATGCTGCAAGTATTAAAAGGATTGCAGAGCTTGCTTTGGAATATGCTAAAGCTGGTAAGAGGTTTCCTTCTATTTATTCATGTAAAATCAGTGAACTTGAATGTTAGATTGACATTTTTTAAATTCTATAAATTTTAATGGATATTTGATGTAAATCTCTTTCTAGGAGCAATCTTACCATACCTTATATTAGATCATCTCGCAAAATAATGTTTTTTTTTGTTCCTATTTAAATGAAGACAATCTAAACATGAATTTTGCTTAAATTAAAATTGACGTATTTCTCTTACCTCCAAGAAACAAATAATTTGGTTGTGTATTTAATTGAGAATATGATTAATGCAACTAGTTTTTTTAATAGAGATATTAACCAAAAAAACTCTCTGCATTTCAAAATAATACATCAAAAGTGTTTACAAATAAAACTTTGTTTCAATTGTTTCAAACAGATATTTACATATACTTAAAAACAATTCTTTAATTGGGAGAAATGGGGTCGCCATATGGAATTCATCTAAATTTGTTTTTGAATATTTCTGCTCTGAGTGAAAGTTAATCTGATTCCTTAACCCATAGTAGATGGGATGCTTAATGGAATCGTATTCATGTAGTTCCATTAAATGGACTAAGTCATATGTGTCATTTGAATACTGTCTGTATGTGATGGCCATTTGCAATTAGTTAAAAGTGGAGAACCTATTGTGTATTTATATATACAGTCAAAAGTCGTTAATCCGGACACCCATAATCCAGAATGATCTATAATCCTGACCTCAAAGCTACAAACTTTTTTCATAATACAATTACGCATGCGCGTTTAATGTATAACGGATGGTATAAGCTAAGCTAAAATTATCTAATTATCTATTTCAGTTAATGTTGCAGATTGCGTTGTTCCTTAATCTTCAAATTGGATCCGGCTTATTATTTTTTGCAGACTGTTAGAGCAATTTTATAAAAGTAAGCCTGAACTTTCGATTATGTCAAATAGAATTTCCGATGCTGGAGCTGCCAAAGGATCTACAAAGGGAAAGCATGTTTCGATGTCCATCAACCAAAAAGTGGAATTTCTGCAAAAAATGGATAAAGGCTCCTTTGTTTCTCTAACCATTTCAAAATCTGTTTATCAATTTCATGCTGCTCTGCGTGTGTGTGTGGGGGGCGGGGGGTGAGAAACGTTGCAGCACGCAGTGAGCTGGAAGTTGATCTGTCAGCACTATCCTTATCTTCAGGGCAGATGTTTTTATTTTATTCGGCTTATAATTTCTTACTAAATGTAGTATTTCATCTCATTGTACTCCATCTTTGATATGATTTAAATCAAATTCCTCGTCATTATAAATATCCCGAATACAAATCAAATAGTTTTCTGGTTGCAATTTTCTAATTTCGACTATGCGTAATGTATGCTTTATGCATGCGCGCGTTGAAAGAAATGTTTAATAAAGTAAACAAATAAATATTAAGCTTTTTTTTTTTTTTTTTTTTTTTAAATTTTGATGCCCGTTAGATCATAATTGCTCTTTATTTCATAAATTATGGTTTCATATTGTTAATTTTATAATTTATATGTCATTTTACCAGATTTAAACTGATGATCTATAATCTGTAAAAATTGATAATCCAGAATCACCGAAGTCCCGACGAGTCCGAATTAAAGACTTTTAACTGTATATATATATATATATTACTTTTTTTTTAAACTTAGCATTGTGGCAAATAAGTTTGAAAGTGTTTATTTTCAGTAAGTGCATACTTTTGAGTAATTCATAAATTGAGAGTAATAATTATGATGTTAATGAAGTATGACTAATTATGACTGAAATCTCGATTTACATTAATTTTTTGTGTAGTCATGAAACAATCCTTCCACTTAAAAGTAAGCATTATGATAAAAAACTTATTATTTAAAATCAATAATCTTCCAGTCACCAGCGTGTTGCTCTTCAGTAAAGCCTAAAACACTTTCAGATTTAATCTGGAAGGTTACTGACTAATTAAATAAGTGGTTTAAAACCAAACAGCACAGTTCTTGAGAATATCTTTTCTTACTTTTTAATGTGATTGATTTAAATAAACATGTTTTTAAAATCATGACATGTTTAATTAGAACTATTCAATATTTTTCTGGAGATTACATTAGCTGGATTGATTAAAATCATTATATATGTTTTCTTTTTTTGAGATAACTATTAGGCAACTGGCCGCATGATATACTAGTTTTAAAAGAAATGATATAGCAAATATAAAAGTATATGGCAAACTCAAACACTCTACCTGGAATTCTAAAGATATGCTGCTTTTTAAATATATTGTGATTTTGTCGAGCTGAATTTTACATAAGTGAGATGAATGTGATACCTACTTAATAAATTTAACACATAAAAAATAAATAATGAAAAGACATACACACACGCACACAAAAAGTTGCCCATCTTGTTGAGAAAACTGAATATTGATATTAAGAACTGGGGAAAAAAAAGAAATATAAAATAAAATGTATGCTAACTCTTAATGCTGCATTGGGGGTTCTAAACATGTGCTGCTATAAGCTTTTAAAAATTTCGTGATTTTGATGTTGAACTGTATGTGGCATAAATGCGAAGAAAATGATGCTTAATAATAAAGCTAAAACAGACACACACACACACACAAAAAAAATGTCCGGTTAGCAGGAGTTTGACAACAGACCGGTAAGCTGCACTCTCAGCGAGAGCTTAAAAACCTTAAACAACCCTTATGGATGGTCATTAAAATCTAAAGCCTTTAATTTTTTTTGGAATATCTAAAATTTTTTTTTGGGGGGAGAGGGGCCTCAAGAAAAGTTTTTGCATAGAGGCCAAAGAGTTCTAGCTATGCCACTGCTCAATACACAAGGTTATGGCAACCATGCTTTTGGGATAGATATGAAGTCTTGTTTGTCAAGCTTATGCAACAAGGGACAACAATAAATGCATCCACTTACTGTGCTACCGTGACTAAACTTAGACCTGCAGTAGAGAATAGGCTACGTGGCATTTTGCTGTCTGGAGTTTTTTTTGTATGGCAGTGCCAGACCCCATTCGGTCATTCACACCCAAAATCTGAGCAGATCTTTTGAATGGGAACATATTGACCACCCATTGTATAGTCTAGACTTGGCACTGAGTAATTTTTACTTACTCCGCTACCTTAAGGAGTTTCTCAGCGGCAAGCGCTTCCCCACAAATGACGAAGTGAAAGAAGCAGTTCAAAACTGGTTATCCTCACAGGTAATATAGGTCTATGACTTAGGCATACAAAAGCTTGTAGAACATTATAACAAACGTTTAACCAAATATGGAAACTATGTAGAAAAATAGAAACATATAAGGAATTAAATAAAAAAAAGTTTTTTGAAAAACTTACTTTACTTATGTTACTTTCCGAATAACCTACACATTTTCTTTAGTTTTCTTACATAAAAAATATTATATTTCCTCCTATTGCAGGAAACATTATTAAAAATATAATATCATTTTAAGCTTTTTTTTTTAAATATAAATGTTGTAGTTTTCTGAAATTGGAAAGAAATATTAATGCAGTTCTTGCATTAATAGTTCTTTGTTATTTTCTATTACTAATGCAGTTCCTGCAATTTTTTTTTTTTCGTTTTTGTATTAGAATCTATATTAGATTCAGTTAGTTTGTAGAACTAGTGATATATAATTAAGAATATATATTTCATTTCATAGGTTGCCATGTTGTTGCTCCATCTGATATGATGGATGGAAGAGTTAAAGCTATTAAAACATTATTAAATGAAGCTGGATTAGGCAACAAAGTTTGCATTTTAAGTTATGCTGCCAAATTTGCTTCAAAATTTTATGGACCATTTAGGTATGCATTTTCACAGAACTGGTTTTCTCTTCCTTCTGTGTGTATGTGTGTGTTTTAATAAACAAATCTTTCTACATATAAAACTTCCACCACTTTTTGTATATCTTTAAAGTAATAATGTAAATAATTTTATATATGATAATATAAATAATTTTAAATATGTGTTTAAAATTATCCGAAAGCTCAAACAGAAAATTATAAAGAAAGATGTTTTAGAAGGTTTTATTGTTTTCCTTTTTATGTATTCCCCCCCCCCCCCCCCCCCGATTTATGCGTATTTAACGGCTCTTTCCATCTTTTCTTGGAAAACAGCAAATGTTGTCATCCATTGCCTGAATTGGTCTTCCATCGCTCTTGTAAATGGTATTCAAAAAACCCATTCCTGACACCAAAAATTGTTGCGTGCATACGGGTTCGCTATGAATTGAATGCACAAGTCGGATGAAAAATGAACAAAATTTATTATTATCACAACAAAAAATCTTAAATTTCCTCAGATATTCATGCAGTATTACAGTATCTCACAGTAGTTATCTTTCAACTACTCAGACGTTTAAGAGAACATATAGAGAAAGCTAATCCACTAATTCGCTACAGTCAACAAGAGCAGTTTTCTAAAACAAACTCTTAAAACAAAAATTAATTAACTAACTGAATCGAGAGGTTTTCCTCCTTTTTATAAGATTTCAAATCATGCGCGAGAATTTTCTGGAACTTTCTCGAAACAAAAAGAGATATTTATTTATTAAATGTTAAATGCATGTGCTCTTGTGTTTTTAATTTTCTGGCTTAGCTTTCCTTCAATATTCGTCACGCACTGCACTGCACAGGGAATAAACAATTTAATTTATAATTCTACTAATATTAGCTGATTAAATACCAAATCCGTAACAATATTTTTTATGACCGGATTGCTTCTTCGTCTCTTTGCAAGTTTTAAATCATGTTCTCAGTTTTATTATTTTAATTTTTGTATTTCTCTTTATTTCAATTTTGAATTCAGTTAAAAAAATCTAATTTAATTCATTTGCTTGATTTGACATTGGAATTTTTATTTTGCATTGGGAAGAACTTCAGAATTTTCAGATGAAGTGTGATAATTAAATACTGTAGAATAGTTCATCAGCTAATTTTGGATTCAGAAATGCAGTGGTTTTCAAGTGGAAGGGAGGTTGTAATTGAGTCTGATATATCCTCCTCTTGATAATGTTATATCAGATTTGATTGAATTCATCTTGTTTTATATTTTTCTGGTTTTGGAATATTTTTTCAGGTTTTTATAATTTTTGGGTTTTAGTTTCACATTTTTTTTAATTCTTATTTTGCATATTTATAGGATATTTTGAAATTTATTGGTATTGAATTTCACTTCTTTTGGGTCTCTGTGTAAAATTGCTTCTAAATTTCTTACTTTTTCCCTTTACTGATCAATTTTCAGGAGCACATCATATGGAAATACTTAGAATAATTATATTTTAAATAAAAATATAAAAGAATTGTGATACCATATATATATATATATACACTGCTCAAAACAATTAGGGGACATTGATTTTGGATATGAACTGTGGATGACTGATAAATAAAGTTATGGGCGTTGTAAGATAAGAAAAAAGCAATGGAACAGCGAATAATTACATTATATTGGCAATATTTACGAATTTTAAAAAAATGTGCAATTTGTGCATGTTATACAAATAAACCAAAAATGTGATTTCTCGGATATAAATGAAATGATGGAAATGAGTTTCAATAAGAGGTATGTTTTTCCTAGTCGAAAGCAATGTCGCACAACTACGAGGCATGGAATCATTGAGGTTATCAACAAGGGACTGGGATATTCTCTCGCACTCTTGTAAGAGAGAGCTTTCAAACTGTTGAATGGTTTCTGGGAGTGATAAGTGACTAGCAGCCCTTTTCCTTAAAATGTACCAAATATGTTCTGTTGGGTTCATATTTGGAGAGTATTCTGGCCAATCCATTCGAAGGATTCCTTCATGGAAAAAGAAATTATCCACTACCTGAGCATTTTGTGGCCTGGCATTATCATCCATGAGAATGAATTCATCCCCAATTGCTGCAGCATTTAAAGACCACAATAGCTATGAGGATCTCATCCCTATATTGCCGAGTCTTTAATGCTCCATTCCTGATAATGTTTAGGTGGTGTGGCCATTGATAAATATACTGGCTCAGAACATCACTTCCCTATGCCATATTGAACACTTTAATGCACAAATGTAGGAATACTCCATGTACTAGGTTTTTTCCAGATGAGAATCTGCCTGTTGTCAGGTAGCACACTGAACTGGGACTCCTCTGTAAAGAGCACGTTTGCTCCACTCATCTGATCTCCATCTGAGATGGTCCTCTACCCACCTTCTAAGGGCAGCATAGTGGTCCTGTGTTGATGAAACACAAACTATAGGTCTGAAAGCATATAAACCCAGGAGGTGGGGTCAGTTTGAGCTGAAATTCTGGTACCAGTAACCCTCTGATGGTGCTGCTGCAAGAAAGTAAAGTTCACAGTGCAGTTTCTTCTGGCCATTATGTTAAGTATCGATCCTTATTTTGTGTTGCTGTTGACCTTGTCTCAATCTTCAGCAAACATTTCCAGTTTCCAAAAACTGATTCCATAGTCTGGAAATGACACTTTTAGAAACTCCTAATGCTTCTGCTATAACGGATTACGTTTGACCTGCCTCTAAATAACCGATGGCTCTTAAGGATACCGATTCAGCTATGTCTTTTTGCTGAGACATCGTATTCATTGTTGTAAAAAATTTGACACATTTTAATTGTTTTTAATTTCTTCCTACAGAAGGAATGCTTCTTATCTAATACGTCCTTTTCACTGCTTATCTAAAATGCAGTTTTGACATTACAGACAAAATTTGCATATTCCCAACTTTATAAACATTATAATTTTCCTTTTTAACCTCTTCTATTTCATTTTTGTAAAAAACAATGTCAGTTTATTATTTATTCCAATTATTTCATGCGAAACTCACAATATTCCCTAATTGTTTTTGCATAATCATGTACTATACCTATATGGAGATTCAATGCCAGTCTCATGGCTGTTTAAAATATTATAAAATAAAATGGAATTTGCATAGATAAGTAAGATTATTAGATATTGCAAAGAACTTCAATTAAAATTTAAAACAAGGATAAAAATAAAAAAACAATATATTACAAATCGGCTAAAACAGTGAGTGGAAGGCATAATTTTAAATAATATTTAAAGCAAACTTCTGCAGCAGTTTGCTTTAAATGCCTAATAGAATATATATATTTGTGTCCCTGTCTGCCTAATGTAAATCAGAATATGGAATTCGTTTACATTTTAAATGAATTATTGTTCTTGAAGTAACTGTAAAACAAAACTGAATTCTCTTTCTTGCTGAATCATGTGGTTAAGTATTATGGATATGCTTATTGTTAGCCATATTTGCTAGATTTATATTACTAATGTTAATTTATGTTTTCATAATCTTTCATTCATTAGGATAATAACTAGATCAGTAAAGAAAATGCAAGAGGAAGATATTTTAAATAACAAAATAATGCAAAATATTTGGAAATTCCATGATCAGATATGCTCGTGCTACTCTAAGAATTAAATCAGACACCCGTTTTTATTGATTATTATGTTTTTTAAATCATATTTCTTGCTTCAGTTTTAGTGATCACCAAAGTTCTATCAGAAAACCAAAAATGTTTTGATCTCTATTCTGAGATTTTTGAAAGCAGTGCGTATCATAACTGTCCAAAACATTTTCCTAAACTACTGTTATAGCATATGCAGTTTTTTTTTTCCTTTTGATGGAGATATCTTTCAAAATCAACCACAGGATTACAGTTGGGATTTTTTTCATAATTGCTTGTAATTTTTTAAATCCTGAACATATCGGTGATGTTAATTTAAGCAGCTGAAAGTTGCATAGGGCCATATCAGGAGAGAAGGGACCCACAAGAGGTTTAAAGTCTTTCATTCGCCCCTTTTAAAAAAAAAGTGTCTGCTGAATGATGGACAGAGGCACTTTTGTGATGATGCACAATATATCTCTTTGTCTTGAATAGTTTGGTCTTTTATGATATTTGTAAGACAAAAAAAAAAAAAAAAAAAAAAAAAAAAAAAAAAAAAAACTGCCAAATAATATTCTTTATTGAATAGTTTATTATATACTTATAATGAACAACAATTTGGTATTTGAAAGAACTTTTCAGTGTGAACTGATCTTTGCTCAAAGCTTTGTGTCTTCCTTGGCAACACAACTAATTGCAATAACTGAACTTTTGGTTTTTGGCTTATAAAAACATTTTTATACCAAAGATTCATCAATAGTTAATAACCTCCCTTTATGGTGCACAGATTCTGAGTAGGCTTGTCAAGCTCTCATTCTAATGATGTGAAGGCAAAGATCTTCCTGCTATGAGCATCAGCTTTCAAGCAAATTTTTGTTATGGTCAAGTATGTATCCCAAATTGTGAGGTGGAATAACTTTCTTGATTGCAATTGATATCTTGCTCACCTCAATTTATGCTTTTTTTTTTTTTAACGTTATACCTTTAATTATTTCCTCTTGCTTGTGAAGTGCTTTCAGACTGCTGTTTATTCTTTATTTGCATTTGTAATTTGTGAAGCAAACTAGTTATTATTTTGTGGAATATTCAATAGATATTGACAAGAATATGTTGATTTTTCCAGAAAAATTCACACACGTTCACTAAAGTGCAAGGTTACTCATCAATATTTTTCTTTTTATTTGACCATTCACTATTTGAATCAAATGAATTTGTTGGGAATAGAATACAACTACGACGTTAATATTTGGTACTTTTCCATTTCACTGGCACAAGCAATAAAGTCAGCAAAAATGATGCAACCGATGCCAAATGGTATATCCCAGCTGGTAATCTTTCATTGCCACATTTTCAAAACAAGTTGCAGCCATTTCTTACCAGTCATGTCTTTTCCCTTAAAAACCTCAAAAATTGATGAAAAACCAATGAAAAGTTGAGTATTGCCCAGAACAAAGGAAGAATCTGTCAAATTCTTTCAAGCAAAAGGTGTTTTGCCTAAAATTACTACTTGTGATAATAATCATGAAATGAAATTGTATTTCAGAGACAAATTACAGTGGCACTGCAACCTTTCAATTTTTCGCAGTAAAAGAAGTATCCGGAAAGGCACATTGTTTGAGTCATTGAAAGTGTTCTTGAAGTGTGTGAGGTTTATTTATAGTCGGAGTGAACAAATTAAGTTAAATTTTGTGAAAATCAGCCAGTTGGAAATTAGTCACAGAACAGTTTTGGACTGGAATAACAACATGCGCAAGGTTTGTGTGGATTCTTTGCTTAAACATCAACAATGGAAAATAGGAGGATCTGGTATGATCGCCGAAGTTGATGAAAGTATGTTCACAGAGTGCAAAAGCAATCGGGATGGATTCTACCTAAGAGTGGATCTTTGGTGTAGCTTGCCGTGAAACAAATGAATGTTTCCTTGTAAAGCTGCCAAACCGATCCATGAGTATCCATTAGAAGCAATTAAGGAAAGTATGGAAAAAAGAACTATAATATATTTGGATTTGTGGAAATCATACTACACTGAAAAACTGAAAGAGAAAAGTTTCAAATATTTCAAAGTGAACTATAAATACAATTTGATCAATCCGGAAATTGGAACGCATGCACAAAAAAATATGACTATGACTATGACTCGAAATGAGGAACAGCATGTCATCATTTACGTGGAGAAGAGAAATGAAAGACCCATTTGAAAAAAAATTTAAATGATATTAAAATGTTTAAGCCTGTAAAGTAAAAAATTCTTACAACTAACATTTATTAAAATTTTTTTCTGTGTATTGTCGCCAGTAAAGTCTGCTGGTGAGATCTGTGCTGATGAAATGGAAAAGTGCCCAATATTTTGTATACCTGTTCATAATTTAATACGATTGTGAAAATATTGTTCAAATTATTAATTTATTCAGTGTTTAAGATGATTACTTAGTTATATGAAATTTTTTATTATACTCAGTTAATATTAACAAATTAAAGATAATACTTAAACCTAATCATTAATTGTTTCAGACTGCTAAAATTAAATTTTTAACAACTTGAAAAATGTCAAATGTTCATATATAATCTTGTTTGGATACCTGTTCTTATATACATTAATATATATGTTTATCCTTAGAGATGCTGCAGATTCTGCTCCAGCATATGGTGACAGAAAATGTTACCAACTCCCTCCTGGTAGTAAAGGATTAGCTTTGAGAGCTGTGGTATGTTTTCATATAGAAAGTTGCATTCTGTCTTTTTACATTTTGTGTTAAAAAACGTTATTTGTTGTAACCTAAAGTTTTTAGAAATCTTAATTTTAAATAATATATATGGAAGGAATTAAATACACAGATAAGAAAAATATATTATTAAAAAATCTTGTTCTCAGCCTTAAAAATAATTTAATAAAGTATTTAAAGTTTTAAGTGTTTTTCCAAATTTTAGAAATGTTTATAGTTTTGCACATCTGTTTTAATTAAAAAAAAGATTCCTGTAATTTTAAGTGTATAAATACTGTTTTATTTTCGAAAATGTGGATTAGTACACTGTAGTTAGATTGTTCACAGACTGTGTGTATTCTGAGGTTCGAAAGTGGTATTCATCCCTCGGTGGTATGTGCAATACTTTAGTGAAGTATCTGAAGTAAAAATTAGCAAAGTGACAAGATAATGGATGTGTACATGTTATGTAGATAAGATTTAAGACACTGTTAAGGTACACTCCATACCCCCCCCCCCCCAAAAAGGTCTGTTCTATATTTCCCGTTCTACTGGTTTAAATGACGAATTTAATTTGCAATTTTCATGTCTCAAAAGCACATTTTGGGAGGTATATTAGAAGTATGTGTAGCTTTGTTCTAACATAGGTATTTTGACACAAAAGTTGAACTTTTTCTGAAATGATATACCCATTTTTTTTTTTTTTTTCAGATTTTGAATCTATGACTGAAATCAGGTCCAAATGTTAAATTTTGTAGAAGTTGGTGAGAAATTTAAAAAATTTATCTTGCCACAATTTTTTCAGTTTACACCAAGATTAATTCACTTAGGGAAATTTTAAATTTATGTAACTTATTTCCTTTCATTGTGCACGATAGAAAAAAAAGGTATATGGTTCATTCTTTCAGTTAATTTTAACAAAGTGTGTAAACCAAATTTGGCATTATTATCACTTATAATAAATATGGCGGATTTCAAAACATGTTAATGTGTATAAATTCACGTATATCTTGGGAAATTTTGAATAAAAAATACCTAATTTTTTTGCAGCTATGCCTAGATGTACATTTATGTGCCTTAGTATTTAAAGTGATCTATATTGACTTGAATATCATAATCTGTATCTGCCAAGAGTTGAAAGCAATGACTTCCTATTAGCATTCAACTATGAATTTGTGGATGTTCCTTAATCTGTGGATTTATGGGTTTTATCACAAATAGATAAAACAGTTGCAAAAAATCTAAGTATGGGATATGTTTCCTGTGAGCAAGTAAGACCAGTACACATTCATTCCCCAGTCTATAGCATCAAACATTATAACACCTGTATGTATGTTGAATCTATGAATTTGTTCATTAGAAAAATGAAGCATAACAAAAATAAAATAAGACTTTAAGCATAAAAAATTTTACAGTATTCAACAGAAAACTAAACATGTTAATTGTGGTTAGGAAACACTGATGTATAGTTGGAATTTGGAACATAATTTGTTGAAAGGATCCACACTTTCCCTACTATTGTTGCTGTGATTTAAGTGTGTTAGTAGATTGTGGCTGTGATGTGAACAAACCACATTTGCTGAGGGGCTACTTTATGAGCTTTGGTACATTGAAGATATGGTTTTAAGAGCTTGGTTTAAACACACTGAGGAATAAAGGCCATGTCAATATTCATTGTCATCAGTTTTCAGTAACAGGCTGTGAATGAAAAAAAATGAAGTGTTGCAATTATCGCTTCTTATATTAAGGCCATCTGTTCTTTGAAATGCCAAATTCACCAAGTGGAAGAGAACTAAGAGAATTTACTAAGTTGTTAATTAACATAATATTTAAATGGTTTGATCAAAAATGCACTTGAAGTTCATTTCTTTGAAACATAGTTTATATATATATATATATATATATATATATATATATATATATAACATAGCTAATGCAAAATCAGATTTATAACTAACAAAAGGCTCACATCTTTAATTTTTGATGTTTTCATTTAATCAATTAGTCATGCTATGTAGCTGAAACTATTAGTTTAATTTCTGCAATTTTTTATATTTGTTATATTATTGAGTAAATATTTAGACTTTTGAAGAGTTATCAAGCTAGTTAAAAACATATAATTAGAGTAATTAAAATGCAAACTTCTTTCGTGATAAAAATTTAAAAAGCATTAAAAGATAATAAATTATTTTTTATTTCATGGATATTATTATAGCAACGAGATATTGAAGAAGGAGCTGATATGATCATGGTGAAACCTGGCCTTGCATATTTAGACATTTTACAGGAAGTAAAAAAACAGGTAGGTAATTATATTTGTAAACTTCATTTGATGAAGTATTTATATAGTAATATAATATAGCATATTGTATTTTAGGAAGTTTACCACAACGTAGATATTTTAGGTTCTTCATATTCTTAATTTCATATCTATAAAAGACTGGAAAAGCATTTTTTAAATTTTGCATGTTACCGTTGCTTACAGAATTTTGCATAACTATTGATAATCTTCTACATAGGTGAAATTTGCAGGAAAAAGGGGAAATATTCTTTTTCTCAGAAATTTTTAAGTGTACAAGGTTATGAAAAAGAATGTTTTGAAATTTGAATAATTTACAAAGTTACAGTGCTGGAAAAGATAAAATCCTATTGCATATATTTCAAGAAACTTTGCTTTTTAATTTAATAATTTGTACATTCCCCAAACATTCATTTTATAAATTTCAAACTTCGAGAAATCACTCAAAATATCTAGGAAACATGTAATTTTGTTTTTATATATATTTCAATAATCTAATGTTATATAACAATAACATTACAACATTCAAAGTTGTTTTATTATTTGTTTCTTAACTTTGCTTGAAGGAGCTACCAACTAAGAAGGTTTGATTTGTAACTTGTTAAAAATTAAGTAAAATAAGCACAGAATAAGAAAATTACACATAAAGGTATATATAAACCTTAACTTTTAACATTTGAATTAAAATGATGATAGATATTCCTTAAAAATCCACAAAATTTATCTAACAAATATCTTGCAGGCATCTAAAATTTTACGTTTTTAATGGCAATCCATTTACTTAAATTATTAATATGTGCTTAGCATACAGGATTATTACATGTTTCAAAACAATGTATTTCATAAAGTACTGGAAACAAAAAGAATGAGTATTACATGAATGAAGTAAAAAATGTTACACATTTTTAATGAACACACATTCAAGCACTACTCTAATTTTGCATGCATATATTGTCATTTTACTGCTGATAGTCATCAGAATAGCTATAGCGCAGTCCTGGATCTCCTGTAATGTTATTGATAATTGGGGGCATATATAAATTCTCTTTAATTTTTATGTTGCCTCTAGCTGAAAAAATAACCATTGGGTGTGAGCTCAAAAGACAGTGACTATCTGAGCAATTCTAACCCATCTTTTCCATGTCAAGACCAACCCAACAATGTTGGAGCTGATATGGAAGTAGCAGCATATAGAGTGCAAAGTCTTTAATCCGGACTCGTCAAGACTTCGGCGATTCTGGATTAGGGGTTTTTCCGGATTATAGATCATCAATTTAAATCTGGTAAGATGGCATGCAGAAATTATAAAATCAAAAATATGAAACCGTAATTTTATGAAATAAAAAGCAATTATGATCTAAAGGGTATCAAAATTTACAAAAAAAAAGTTTAATATTTATTTGTTTACTTTATTAAACATTTCTTTCAATGCAAGTTGTTTAAGTTGCTTCATTTTTTGTGTGTTCATTTACAAAGTTCCACTGTTCAAGTCCTGTAATTGCTGTGCTGAGAATACCGACTAACTTGTCAATCGAAATTTTTTTGTTTTCACTAACCTCTCTGTCACTTTCTTCATGCCTTTATCCATTGCAGCAATTCCACTTTTTGTTTGATTGACATCGAAACATGCTTTCACTTTGTAAATCCTTTGGTAGCTCCAAAATTGGAAACTCTTTTTGACATAATCAAAAGTTCAAGCTTAATTTTTATAAAATTGCTCTAACAGTCTGCAAAAAATAATAAGCCGGATCCAATTAAAAGATTAAGGAACAGCACAATCTTCAACATTCACTGAAATAGGTAATTAGATAATTTTAGCATAGCTTATACCGTCCGTTATACATTAAACATGCATGCATAAACATATTATGCGCATTCGCAAACGCATTATGCATTTACGCATGGGCAGAAAGTTTGTAGCTTTGAGGTCCGGATTATAGATCATTCCGGATTAAAGACTTTGTACTGTAGTATGTCAGCAAAGTGCCTTGTCATGCTAGAATATGAAATTTTTTAAAATCATATGTTTGAGGAAATAACCACAACTGCAACGTTAGGTTCTGTCACTGAATATTAGACAGATGGTATTGCGTGCAGTGACAAAATCCTTAAACTTCATATAAAAGCATCTGGTTCTAAATGCATTCAATGTGAAAATTGTATAATTCATTTGCAGTCATCATTGCAAAATCTTCCAGATAGTTTGTATATGAAATACGAAGTTCTCGGTAGTTTACTGATTTCTGCCATTTTGTTTGTGCAAACTTCTACATTTCTCCATTATTTTATTAGAAACAAAGGGCCATGTGAAGCTCTTGCTTTTATACTGGCCATCAGTGTTCTTAATACAGTTGCAGAATGCTGGTGTGACTTAGTGAATCTGTATCGTACTGCCTTTGAAAAATGTAAATTGCAAATGTAAAAATATTTTCCATATATTGAAATACAAAACGTTTTCTGCTATAAATTTGCCATTTAAAAGAATAGAGTTCTTACCTGTTGTATGATGGGTCTTCACATTTGAATTTGTAAGATATTTTCTTTAATTATTTGAATATCAAGATGTGTGATCCATAACGTAGCCATTAAAGTGTTTTAGAATATGATAAATCATTTGTAATAACTCTGTATAAAGCACCTACTTGGACCTATAGATTTTAGTTATGTAATTTACTTTTAAATTAATAGATTTTTAAAACATTTTGACATAAATCTAAATGTAAACTTTTTATTCATGTGTTATAGCATCCAGAATATCCTCTATTTGTGTATCAAGTATCTGGAGAATACGCCATGTTATATCATGCTGCTAAAGCTGGAGTGTTCAGTTTGAAAGATGCAGTTTTAGAAAGTTTAACATCTATGAGACGTGCAGGTAATTATTTTAGACATTTAATGGAGTGCTCTGAAATATTTAATGAATATTTAAAAACATATAGAATTTTAATCAATGTGTTCAGACAACTTCATAAATTCAAAGGAAACAGGTTCTTTAAATAAAATTTAAAAAAAGGGGGAGGAAAGGAGATTTAAAAGCTTTAAATTAACTTAAGATAAAGTCATTCTAAATTTTTTTTTTAATTAATAAGTTTTCACATGAAAGTTAGTTTTGAATTTTGTTTGTAAATCATGAGTACGTACATCACTGCTGCTACCAACCTGTTTATTTAAATCAATCGAATATAGAAATCCAATATAGAAACCGAGGAAATTCGAGGAAACATTACTGATATGAGGTGTTGTTAAGAAGACATTGAGAAGAAAGTGCCTAATAATAATAAGAATACATGTTGAAATTTCAGCTATCTAAACATTTTTTAAACAAAAACTAGCGGGCAAGCCCGCCAGCTGAGCGGGCTGAAGCCCGCTTTTCATTGTTCAATGTTCATGAGTTTCCATTGTAATTTCGCCGTTATTCGAAAGTTGAACCGAACTACCAGTGTTCAGCAATTTTGAGCAGTCTGCGTCCGCTTTGTTCACCTATGTATGGAGAAGATACTGCATAAACGATACACATGCGTAAAAGCAAGAAAACACCCATGGAGCCAGCCCGTTCGCCAGGATCGAAATTTGGACCGAACTACCAGTGTTCATCGGTTTTGTGCTGGCTGCGCCCGCTTTATTCACATATGCATCCAGAAGACACTGCATACACGATACACATGCGGAAAATCACGAAAACACCCATGCAGCCAGCCCGAAACATGGACCAAACTACCAGTGTTCAGCGGATTTGAGCGGGCTGCGCCCGCTTTATTTACGTATCCGTCTATTAGATACTGCATACACAATACACATGCCTAAAATCACAAAACACCCATGCAGCCAGCCCTTTCGCGGGTATTCGAAAGTTAGACCGAACTACCAGAGTTCAGCGCTTTTGCTCGGGCTGCGCCCGCTTTATTCACGTAGGCGTCCAGAAGATTCTGCATACAGGATACACATGTGTAAAATCACGAAAACACCCATTATTTGCGTATACGTCCAGAAAATACTGCATACATGATAAATCACAAAAACACCCATGCAGCCAGCCCGATCGCCTTTATTCGAAAGCTGGACCGAACTACCAATGTTTAGCAGTTTGCGCGGGCTGCGCCCGCTTTATTTACGTATGCATCCACAATATACTGCATACACGTTACACATACGGAAGATTACGAAAGCACCTATGGAGCCAGCCCGTTCGCCGAGATTCGAAAATTGGACTGAACTACCAGTGTTCAGCGATTTTACAGCTCAGGCTTTTTGCCAAGTGTAATCGCAAAAATTTTCGGGTATTATATTCAAACAGTAGATTCGTTATTAAAATTCCTTTTGATAAACTTTAACATAATCGCACACAAAGGTGCATCAATATATATATTAGTGTAAGTAATCAATCATAATTATTTATAATAAGAAAACTTTCCATATACCATATCCGAGCAACAGAAATTCAATTTAAAACCCTGAACGAAAAAAAATTTAATCAGAATTTAAATAAATAGTTTAATTATTATTTTTTGCAATTAAAATTTCTTAATTAAAATTTAATTTAATATTAGCTTTATGCGAACAGAGACATTATATAATGCATTTATATATAATAACAAAAGCAGTGAATGATTACGTAGCTCAGTAACACAAATGAGCACGCTGATTTAAGCTATTAGACATATTAATTTGTATTACTCAAAGTTGCTTTTCTTATTCAGATCCAAAAATCACGAATTATTCGAAAAATGCACAAAAAAATACGTATCTCGGCAACCGACAGTCCGATCGGCTCGCAATTTACAATCTTATAATTGCCAAATTTTGAAAAGAGGTTTGGTCTTTGTTCCAGACAGATTGGCAAATTAGAAGATTAATTAGCCATAATGAATAAAAATCCTCCTTTAATTTCATCCCTGGCAAATGGCCTTGACAATTCCAAAAGTCCTGTGGAAACCATCTCCCCCTTCCTGGCTTTCGAATCCAAGGCCCTCAACCAAGAGTTAAGAAGGGGAGATAAGGTAGTAGCGCTTTTTTAATGAATCTTCTAATTAGGCTCCTATTTAGCAAAACAGTTTACAACGAACACTAACCTTTATTTGAGCATCCGGGAAGTGCAAAATTCAAAATTTGAACGAATTCGGTTAATTCTTTCAAGAGTTACATATTTTTGTGCATTTTTCCGGCTGAATTTCTCTAATTAAGAAAAATGCACAAAAAACACGTATCTCAGCAACCGACAGTCCGATCGGCTCACAATTTACAATCTTATAATTGCCAAATTTTGAAAAGAGGTTTGGTCTTTATTCCAGAGAGATTGGCAAATTAGAAGATTAATTAGCATAATGAATAAAAATTCTCCACTACATTAATTTCCTCCCCTGCTAATGGCCTCAGCCTGTCCACAAAGATATCGGAAGGAAAGAAAAAGGAGTATTAGGTCGTTTTTAATTACCCCGTTAATTAGGCTCCTAATTCGCGAATCAGTGCGGAATCAATTCCATCAGTCGTTTTATCCCCTGGCGGGTTTAAAATTCAAAATTTCAAAGAAATCGGCCGGTAAGTTCCGGAGATACCGATTTTTTGTGCATTTTTCGGGCTAATTACCATCTTTGCTAATTAAAGTCGCACGAAGATGCGAATGGCCAAAATGGCGAGCCATGGACGTCCTGAATCCAACGGTATGCTCCGCTAAGCTCTACACCCAGCCGTTTCGGAGAAGATGAGGTTACAAACAAACAAACAGACGCGCACAGATTTTAATAGTATTAAACAAAAATTTAAACACTCATTTGATGTCACAAATATTGAAATTATGCATCTTCACAGAAATTGCACCAAATCATAGCAGTGGACTCTTTGCATACATTGATCTAAGCAGGACAGGACATTTGGCCACTGGTGCAGTTTCTGTGAATCTCAAATCCTGCTGTCCATTACCTTTCTAAATTCTGCTGTTTAGTGCCTTCCCTAAATTTTGCACCTCAGCATTTCTTGAAATTCTAAAAATTTTGTTTGGCGCACTCACACCGGGTTGTACCAACCTTTTACCCAAGTTATCAGTCAAGTCAGTTTTTTTTTTTATTCCAAAGAAGTGTAAAATTACAAACTTATCAGTTTAAAATTTTACAAATATGAGTATGAATATATATTTGCAGTGTCTAGCATGTGCAAATGGCATTTTCTTTCAGTGTAAACTACTGCACATATTTTGTCAGCAAAAACTTAGTTTTTCTAGTAATTCACATATCATTTTTTTGTATTCTGTGATGAATTTTAATTATTAATTTAAGTCAAGTGCTAGAAATGCCTAAAAATTTTAAAGTATAATTCATTCAGTGCCTCTAGTTATTGTCTAGTGAAAGTTATTATTTTGCATATCAACCGAACTTTTTAGTTTCTAAATGTCTGGTAAAATAATTATTTATGACAGTTGAAAAAATTATGAAATCTTGATAATATGTGGGAAAACACTAAAATTTAAAACAGCAAAGTTTTTATTAGAGTGATAATAAAATTTAAAATTCATTGCTTGTTAAAAATCATTCATATGAATTATGCATAAGATAAAGTGATTTCAAGTGTAGCTGGAGACTGATTGAAATCTCTTTTAATGCTATTAATTAAACCAGAGGATAAATTAGTGTAATTATTCAAAATTCCAGAAAATTTTATGTTAAGATTTAAAAATATGAATTTGTTTACTGTTAGAGAGGGACTTGTTAGATGATGCAGAATTTTTTAATACTTAAGTAAGTAAGGCATCACAAATATAGTTTATTAATTGCAATAATTTATTAACAATTATCAGTTAAATATAATCTATGTTAATTATATCTGACTAGATTTCTAACTGCTGATATAGCATCTCACGGATATTGATATATTATTATCCAACTAGTATTATATCAAATACAAGAAGCATTTTTTTTCCTGACTATAAAGCTTGAGCAATTGTATAAAAATGCATAAGCATGCATATTTTACTGGCCAAGTATTAAAGGCTGTGACTCAACATATTTGATTGAAATGATTTGAGCTTACATGCATCTGCTTAAATCAGAATAATGCATACCTCACATTTCCAGTATTACTGTTATTATTTGACTTGACAATGAATGTACGCGCACCTTCCACATGGCTCAGATCTAGCTTGATGAAACTATTTTTTTCCCCTCTTCTAAAATCAGAGCTTTGAAGTCATATCTGTTTCATCAGTAGCTATTTTGGAGAAAGTAAGACTAGTTTGAAGATGTGTAAAAATTGGTTTCGGTGTGTGTGCCACCTTTGACAGATAATTAGACATGTAGCAAGACTTTCAGAAAACGTAGACTCAATAGTTACAACTCAAGATAAATATATTTCAAGAATAGTATATTCATTCTAATTCTTTTTTAACTAATATAATAATTTTCTAAATATTGTGTTACAAAGTCATTGTCATGTGTGCATCTAATCCCACTAGTAAGAATAGCAAGCAGACTACACATAGTATGTAAGAAATAACATGCATTAATTTATAAACAAGCAAAATGTAAAAAAAAACAATTCAGACTACTAAATTAATAATGAAAGAAATACAGTTTTCATTAGACAGTTTTAATTTTTCAGAATAAAAATTGTTCTTATTTATAAGAGCTGATCTTTGAATCTTTTTATAGGTGCTGCTGTAGTTATTACATACTATGTTCCTCAGCTACTGATGGAATGGCTGTAAAGACATTTAATGTTTTATATAATACATTGTAATTTGTATTAATTTTACATAATAATTTCATTAAAAATATTGGTTATTTTACATATTTTATGTAGTATGTACATATATATAAATGAATTTTGTGATATTTTTTTCATTAAGAATCATTTTACAAAGATTTAGCTATAATATATATATGAAATATTTTATATATGTACTTTTTTTTATACTGAGATTATATAGGGTAAAAAGTGTTGTTTGTTACATATAGGGTAAATATTTGTGTAAATATAAAATTTTTATTAAAAATCAATTTAAATATTTCTGTATGCAAAATCATTTTTCAAGAATATTTTCCTACTTGGTAACATAAAAGTTTAATCACATTGAATAATTGTAAACATTTCAATTTAATATGATGTAGATATTAGAATATTTTATCATATAGATTCATATTGTATTTTTAATACTGTGATATTTTAAATTTAAATTAAAAAATTATTAAACATTTTGTAGATAATTTTTTAATCAATGTGATGTTACATGAATTTTTTATATGCATAATATATTATATTCTCAGAGTACTTATAATTCAAGCTAATAATTTTTCTTTGTCAAAATTCATCACTTTGCTGTATAAATAAAATACCTTTCAAGAATATTGTATTTAAAATTATATATTTAAAAAAAAATTCAGCCTGTTTTCTTTTTCTCTGTATCTCTTTTTTCTTAAAGTACTGACATATAATGTCTTATGAACATACTATAAAGAATTCTTTGGATATATTCTTCATGGTAATGAATTGTGAAAGCAGAATGTTACATTGAGCATTTTAAATTTGTTAAATATTCTGAATATAGATGAACCCTTGTGCCTTGTACAGATTTCCTGTAACCATTTTATATTTACTTACATATTAAAGTACTAGTTTTATACAAATAAGTTTGTAAACATTATTTTAAATGTGCATTTGATAAGTTGAAATGCATTCATTTTCTTTTAAATAAATTTGAAAGGGGAAAGAAGATTAACTGTTCAAAACTGTTTTTAGATTAAAACATTCATTTTCATTATAAAATATTCAATTAATAATAATATTTAATCATCTCCAAATATTTTGTGCTTATCAGAGTATGAAATATGAGCAAATAGATGTTAAAGAAAAATCTAACTTGAAAAATAATTTCTCATTCAACAAACTAATACTTGATTTTTTTTTTTTTTTTTTTTTTTTGAATTTTAAAAAATTACTTCTAGCTTTCTCATAATTACCAGCTTTAAATCAACTCAAAGTTGCATTCTATTTAATAGCTCAGTAAAAATTGGTTTAAGATTCTTTTATGTTCATGTGTACACTTATTACTAAATTATCAATTATATTTTAACTCTAAACGAATGAGTAAAATGATTCTAGTTGGTCAGTTCATCTGATCATAGAATTTAATATTTACTTTTTCTGTAAATGAATAGAATTAATTATATGCTTAATGTTTTTCATAAATAAAACAAATTATGTAAAATTTTTTTTCTATTAATCAATTGAATCATAAAAGTTATATATTATTCAAGATATGCTTTTCACTTTGTCTATTAAGTATTTTAATAAAATATAAACAGTGAAAGTTTGTATTTTGTCTAAAGTCTGGATGCAAGTCATTCTTAATCATGTAATTTACTTTTTTCCAAGTTTAATTCTTTTATTTTCAGGAAATAAGTAAAATTTCAATCCAGACAAAAGTAAATCACTTATGAGAAAGTAATATTTTTCATTTGGATCAACTTCTCACTGTTTCCCATTCATGTACAACTCCCTCCCTCTTCTAGTGAATTTCTGTAGAAATAATATACAATACTCATCAGTTTTTACTTAATTTAGAATATTACAAAGAAAAATATTCCTGCATGAAAGTGAAAAAATCACATACTTTTGCATGGTAAAATTTATCATTGGCTGAGACTTGACTTTCGAAGCTTAGCATTCCTCATTTTTCTCAAATGCATTTGTATAATTCTAGCAGCGTGATCCCGTCTTTTTAATTGCATTGTAGTTTCAATAAATCGAAAACCTTTCAATTCTGGGAACATTTTTTCATATTTTCCTTGTATTTTATTACAGAGGTTTTGAAATGTAGCCGAGTCATCTATATTACCAATTTTTATTTTCAGTATACCCTAAAGTGAAAGAAATGTAAGATGATGAATCAGAAAATGAAAATAAATTTATAATATTTTTTTTCAGCAAGGTAAAATTATGCAGTGCATTTTATAAACATTATTGCAATTCATCATAACATCTAGACATCAAATAAAATGCAAAATATTTTTGCTCTGTAAAGAAGAATACTATGGGAGACCCAAAATAATAACCGGAACCGACCTGTTGCGCATTCGCACGTTGTAGTTACGAGTTGCGACTTCTGCAACTGTTAGTGAGCTGCCATCAGTCTGAGTTAATTGTCTTGTTTGTGGGGCTCTGTTGTGCACATCCCTGTTTCAACCCTTTGGTGGTTAGTGAGATGGCGACTACAAGGAACAAAGAGAATGTGTGAAATTTTGCTTTCTGTTTGGAAAAACTGCAGCCGAGACTGCTGGGATGTTTCAGCAAGCCTATAATTATAATGCTTTGGAAAAAATCTTAGGCTTACGAGTGGTTTTTCCCATTTCAAATCTGGCAACATATCAAATGAAGACATGCCACACCCTGGGCGTCTTTCAACAGGAAGAAATTGCGAAAACATTGCCAAAATCAAACGTGCAATTGATGAAGATCTTCAAAAGACCATTGACCAACTTTCTGAGGAAATAAACATGTCATGGAGCACGTGGCATGTGAAAACAATGTTGATTTTTTTAAAAAATTTTTAAGTGAATGGCATTGTCCACACAGTGTTTGTTCTGCCAGGACAAACAGTGAACCAACATTTGTACTTGGATGCGTTACGAAGATTACAAGAGAGTGTGCGAAGGAAACGGCTCGAAGTGTGGAGAAATGGGAACATGATAATGCTCCCATTTCTCCACAGCTTTGACAGTCTGACAGTTTTTGAGAAACAAAATGATGGGTTTTGAAAAACCGGTTTTTAAAATAAATTTGTCACATTCGAAAACTGGTTTAAAGAATTGATATTATTATGTAAAAATTAACTTTGAACTTCTATGATTTGCTATTCATTCTATGCAACTGGCAGCTGACACATTTTTCCAATGTTGTCCAGTGCTTGTGCATTGTGCAGCTGCGCCTGCACACATGGAAAAAACATGCTTAACCGATTTATTTTATGTTAGTACATATGTGCAGTTCGTCACGAGTCACGACAGGTTGGCTTAATATTGTAAACTGGAAACAAAAATACATAGTTGTTATATTTGGTAAAAATAATGTAAGTATTAAGTATGTTTCAAATTTCTATGTTTGTATTTTCTATTTTAAAGCTTTAATTTTATTATATAAAATTCTTCTCTCAAAAATTAATGCCAAATCAGAAGTTCGTAGACATAGACAAAGCAATCTGCAATCACTGTAAATAAAATGTTGATCTGCAAAGGATCATCTACAAGCAATCTACACTCAAGAGCCAAAACATTATGACCACCTGTCAATAACGAGTTGGGCTACCTTTGGTGCGCAACACAGCTTCAACCCGCCTTGGCATGGATGCCACAAGTCCTTGCTAGATGGCCGGAGACAGATTGTACCAGATGTTGTAGCAACGGTCATGCAAATCCGAGATATTGCGAATTTGTGGTCTTTGACCTCTGAGCTGCCTTTCCATGACATCCCAAATGTGTTCTATTGGATTGAGATCCGGTGAGTTAGGTGGCCAGGACATTAACTGGAAATCAGCATCATGTTCCTGGAACCACTCCAACACAATTGTAGCCTTGTGACACGGGGCGTTGTCCTGTTGGAACATTCCATTTCCAGCTGGAAAAACAGAGGCCATGTAAGGGTGCAACTGGTTCGCAATGATGTTCAGATATCCTGTAGCATTCATGGTCTGCTCTACCACAACCATGAGTCCCAGAGCATAATACTGCCACACCGGCCTGTATATGACCTACTGTGCACTGATGGAGCAACTGTTTGCCTGGAAGACAGTGTATCCTGACACAGCCATCGGCGTGATGAATGACAAACCATGATTCATCTGACCAGGCAACTTTCTCTCACTGATCCATGGACCAGTCGCGATGTTCCCAGGCCCAGCGCAGGCGCAGTTGGCGATGACGCTTGGTCAGCAAAGGCACACGAGTTGGACGTTTGCTGCGTAGCCCCATATCCAACAGTGTCCACTGAACAGTGTGCTCCGATACTTTTCTACTTGGCCCTGCATTGTATTTGGCTGTCAGCTGAGCCACTGTCTGGCTCCGGTTTTGCTACATCATGCGAGACAATCTCTGACGACCTTTTTCTTTGATAGCGTGTGGACGTACAATACCATGTTGTCTACTGCTGGTTTCACCGTCATTCATCCACTTTTCATACATACTAACAACTGTAGATTGCGAACAACCCACGAGTCCTGCAGTTTCGGAAATACTTGTTCCGAGCCTTCGAGCCATTACAATCTGCTCTCTATCAAAGTCGCTTAGATCCGCAGCCTTTTCCATCACACACAGAAGTGAAAGAATGATTCTTCAGACTCTCCAGCAGCAGTTAAATACCACTTGTTAAATATCACGTGCCTTCCATGTCATCCAGGCGCGTTCATCGCAAAATGTAGGGCTGGTCAATAATGTTTTGGATCTTGAGTGTACATTATCATTTGAAAGCAGTTCATAAAATAATTATCGGAAAGAAATCAGAAACGATCAGCGGAGAAGAAATGCCTGGATACTTCTCTTCTCCCCCCAAAAATAAAACACATTTAATTGAAGCACTATAAAACTGAATGATAAATTATTGAACTACAAATAGCTTTAATCAGCCGTAAATAGTTCATTCCAGATCTGAATAATCAGAGTTTTGCTAATTTTTTTTATAAGCAGTGGAGATGAGTTTAATAACCTGCTGTTTTTCTATTGATTAATATATATTTGTTTTAGTTCCTGGAAATTTTAACACAGCAGCTGAGTTTAATAAGCGGCAGGCATCAAATAAATATACTGGCATCGAACAAACTAATAACCCAATGAAGCATTTCACCCTCAATGTGTGCAAGGTGTAGTTCAGGGCAGTGATGGATATGTGATGTTTTTCATACTATGATGTGGTCCAGCTTGCTGATGTGATCATTTTAATTGATTAGCATGTTATAACTGCCAACTTCGATTTTACCTTGAGATTTTTGGTTTTGATCACATCCCTCAATCTCAACTAAACCTCCCAGTTTTTAATTTTTAACCTTTACTAAGGTAAATGTTTTCTGCAATAAATGAAATTTTGTTAAATTAATGAAGCTTAAATTGTGCAGATTCCACTACCCCATCCCTAATGATTTTTATCACAAATTTTATTTGACCTGAATTATTTTAATCTGCTGTAGACATTTGTAGAGCATAACATGAAGATAGTACCATTATTTAATCGATTAATATGCATTTAATTTTGCATTAATTAAATAAATAGTTTATCCAGACAGTTGTATGTCATTGAATCATCATTTTTAAATGTACTTTGATAAATAAAAGCTCTTTTCTTTTCAGTATTTCTCAATGTAAAAGTATAAGAAAATTACAAAATAAAATTAGCCAAAAAGCATAAAATTTAGAATATTTAATTAAATATCAATATATTTTACATCATAATCACATTATAAATAGTTCTATAACCCGAATCATGCATTATAAAGTGAAGTCAGACTGGAGTTCTGATGAATGGCATTGCTGTGCAATGTGAGAACCTTATGAAAACACCCAGCTTTTCATACATGAAGATTGGCAGCTATGGCATCTTCATGAAGAGTATACTGTTGAAACTCCTATATTTTAAGATGACAACAGTGGAGTTGACTACGCACATAGGTGACTAACACGACGAACACTCATCCTTTTTGTAAATGCACTGCTAAATCTCCTGACCTCTGTTGAAAATTTGTTAGTTTTTGGAACAACAAGTGAAATACCACAATTTGCAACTTGACAACATGGTAGGTTTATACGATTAGATCATCAGAAAATGATCTGAAATGAAAGCTGGATCTAACATACCTGCAGAACCTTGCAAACTCCCTTTTCTAACTAAATCCAAGAGGTTATCAAGACCAGAGGAGGAGTAACAAGGTATTCATGTTAATTGTCTAGGGTTGACTAATTTTTTGTCCAGTAAGCTTTATATAATATATATATATATATAGTGTGTGTGTGGCTACATTAGAAATATGTTTTATTAATTATACTAATAACAATAATAATATTTGTTGCAAAATTTCATTAATACAAATATGCTAATTTTATACAGAGGATGGTCAAAATAAAATTAGCTCAGTATTTTAGTGTATAATTTGAATACTAAATTGAGCTTTGTTAATAAAGCAGGAGAATTGCCCTTTGAACTAGAGTCTGTGTCATGGTAGCTTGTCACTAAGGTTTTCATTGCATAATTTTCTGGAAATTTTGTCAAGACACTTCCACTCTTAAAATCTTGAGCAAACAGTTTAGGACATGTTTTTTATGAATTGCACTTCGCATAACATTCAGTTATGAACACATTTTATCAATAGTGGACTTCAGATGATGCGTAGTTTGCATTTTTATATGTACTTTCATTTAACTTTATTTACGTAATGTTTTTTGACCACTAATAATTATTGTTAGTTTTTTTTGGGGGGGGGGGAGGAAGAAGCAACAAAACGATTTTTATGTGCATGTAGTAGGATTATTAAAGAATTTTTGTCATTTACATGAATGATCTTTTATTTAAGATCCAAACCTATTTCCAAACATAAATGATGCTATAGAATATATTACTAGAATCTGTGATCTGCTTGTAGCATAATAGTTTATTTTGATGCGTAAACCATTTTGTGTTGCATTGCTTTGCTAAAACTGATTGCTGATCCAGTCTGTTCTAATTTTTCACGATCCTTTTGCTGTTTAGAGTACATTTTCACGAAATCCTGAAAATACTTTTCTGAGATAGTTTTATTTTGGCCACTCTGCATAATGAAAGAATAAACATAATGACTTACCTTTAGAACACTCAAGCAATGAACTTTATTTCCCTGAGCAATGGGCAGATTCATGAAGCTCACAGCAATATCATTAGGTTTTGGAATTCTTAGTTCTTTATCAAGCTGATTTAGGAAATCTGATAAATTTTCATATGGAATGAACTGCGTAGCTCTTGGATCAAATTGTTTCCAAATCCGATAGAAACCTATTAGATTGTCTTCATTTATAATACTTTTTGTTTCAGCCACAACTTCTTTATAATTATCCAAAATAACAGCAATGAAAATATTAACCAAAATAATATTAGTTAAGAAAAGGAAGCTCATCATGAACATCGTTGCAGCTGTCTTCATTAGAAACATGCAAGGAAAGAACATATTAAAATGTAATCATATATTAATAATCAAAATATTAGTGAATGGTGCAACAATGTGAAAACAAGACATATATCAGAGAAAGGTGGTTCTACCTATTAATTTAGAATTGGTAATCAAAGTGTTTCTACAAAAATACCTATTAAAAAGTAGGCAGGTATTGTACAGTGTAAAATAAATCAAAATGATTACGTATTGCGTTTGGTTTAGTTTATTTAACTAGGGCAAAGCACACTAGGGCTATCTGCCTAAAGGGAGGGAGCTTTTGTGGAGGATTTTCTAAGGGAAACTGGCTCGTATACACGTTACACATGGGGAAAACCACGAAAACGCCCATGCAGCCTGCTCGTTCGTGGGATTCGAACCTCAGACCGAACTACCAGTGTTCAGTGACTTTACCGCTTGGCCGCTGGTGGGCTACGTATTGCGTTACTTTGTGAAAACATATGATTGCTCAGACATGGAAGAAAGATCAGTTTTACCAAATATTGTCATAAAGGGTAAAAAATTGATATTCCCGTAGTAATTAACCAATCACTTGCATATTGTCTTATATGACAGCAAATGAATTTTGAATAAAGAATTTGTGCCAGGTTTGATAGGCCGTGTTGCCAATGTAATTAACCACCTGCGCTATGGCTAAACTTTACGGTTGCGGTGCCGTGCGCTACCATATAACAAGCAGTAAAGTGTCTCTTTTACGCCGCTCCGTGTCTGCGAGTGCAACCCTGTAACGCGACAAATAAACAATCTTGTTGTTAGGCGACGTGTTGTTAGACGACGTTATTTTCATTTTTGAGATAAATGCCAATCGACGTGGTGTTCACGTTGCTCACGGTTTGAGACAAAAGCATCTCATTGTGCGTGGCACGTCTTTTTAGTGCAAGTGGTTAACTGGATGCTGTTAAATGCTTGTGTCGAAAAATATATTATGAGAAGTCGGATTACTGAAAAGAGTGTAGCTGGTTTTATATTTACGATAAGTGGTGCCCCTTATCAAAAGGTTCATTTTATATTAAACAACTTTAGGGCTCAAAAGGGATTCTGCTTGTTCACTAAACCAAATCTTTGTTTTTTATTTTTCAGTGCCAAAGAATCATTAAAATTAATACAATTTTGATGATTTACGCACCATCTAGAACATTTGATTGAAGTTTAAAAAGTATTATTTTAATTGGTTGCCATCATATGCACTTTAGAGCCACCCAGTGCACAAATTAGGATTGATAATTTACAATAGTTATAATTTTTTTAAATAAAACTAAAAAAAACTAGTATGTTTTCAAATTGCTGTATCATGTATATTATATAAAAATAACTTTTAAAATGCAGAGTTTAACTGTTTTATTGTTATCACAGTAACTGTTATCTATCTAACTTTACTTATATATACAAGAATGCTAATTTTGTTTTTATTTGAGAAATTCTAAAAATTTCAGATACTATTAAATTTTTAGATTAATGACTCAAAAATTTTTAATAAATTCATTTTTAGTTCTTTAAAAGACAAAACTTTCTAAGATGAAATAAATTCCCAGTTAGACACCGAGATGGAGTCTTCCAGTCTCTTAAAAGAGGACATTTGGCATCCGGTATCTAGGCAATTTAATATTTTTTTTTGCATCTGTAATTAACTGATGTTCTGGTAACATTACATTCTGTAGATTACTGTCTCCTCATTCTCTATGTGGGTAAACATGTTTTATCAACAAAGGCAGAATGAAAATCGGATATTGCTTAACCAAAGACAACTTGACTTAGTTAATAGTCTGCCATCAATTTATCAAAGGAATAACTACAAACCATACAAGATGTTAGAATAATCCTTACAGTTCTTCTCTTTATATTACATATGTATAATGCAAAATAAATTAAAATTAATAGATTTAAAATCTAATCCATTATTCAATTTGGAACAAACCATATGCAAAAAACCAGAAGCACTACGGCAGACTGCTTGATAGGTGCAAAAAATGAAAAAAAAAAAAATTACATTTTTTACTGCAGTGTCACCAGGCTTTAGTATAACAAAAGACGTTGACACATCAGCCTATTTCTGAAGCAACATGGGCAGAAATTAAAGTTCATTATTTAAAATAATCTCAGAAAATTAAAGTAATCTGTATCTTCATTAATCCAACCCCTACAGGCTGTAGTAACTAGAGAAAAAAAAAATGTAATTCAGCACATGAAAAAATATAAGCAATGGAAATCAACCAAACAGGCCAGAGAAGAGGAAAAAAAAATTGCAAAATTATAGCATTAAAGTCATAAATAACCAAAGGTTAAAAATCTAATAAAAATTATTTTCTATTAAAGTGAACCGAGTCCAATAAACAAAATATGTAAAAGAAGCAATCCAACATAACGAAAAAATAATAAAAAATGAAAGTTTGATACAAAAAACATAAAAATAAAAAGAAGAGTTAGTTCTTAAAAACTGTTAGAGTAACAAAAGTTTTGAAATGAAAATTGTTAATTCAACCTACTCAGTAGCAAATGATCGTTTTCAGCCTAACACATGCTAAGTAATGAAATAAGATTCACTACAAAATTTAAAGTAATTAATAAAAATATTTCAATAGTTTTAACAATAGGAAAAGCGTGATGATAACATATGAAAATTTAAAATAAGCCCACAATGAATTGGTTTTGGTACTGGAATTTAAATGATGATTAAAGGAAAAAAAAAAAAAAAAAGCAAAAACAAAATTTTAAACTAATAAAATACCAAAAATAAGTTCAAAAAAATCCTCTTACAAATCATTATTTAAACTTATGCATAAATTTAAGAAAATTAAACCAATGGAATAAATATTTAACCTACAAAATGATTTACAATAGGCTAGATTTTTCAAATTACAATAAGCCAGATTTTTCAAAGTGTAAAAAATTAACTTGTAATCTGAAAACATTGAATAATAGTCAATTTTTTTTTAAAAATTAAAAACAAATAAATATTTTTTACTGCTTAAATAATATGTACTAGTGCTAACTGGTAAAACTTAATCTGTACTATTAAATAAAATTTAAAATGCTGCTATGTTCAACACATTTATGAATTTGATAGTTGTAAACAAAATCAAAATACCCTTAAATTATTTTACAACTGCTATTCATACGTAACTTGATTTCTGAATGCTCTCTCTCTCTTTATAGAGAGTGTTTCAAAAGGAGATCAAAATAAGCAGATTTTGTAATGGAAATAGTGTGTTAATGTAGTGAAGAGACAATAGATAAAAGGATTCTGCTAATATAAATTATCATTTCCCTTGCAAATCTTAAGCGGTGTGCATCACTACACTTTGGCAGATATTTTTAAAAAAGGATGATGCTGAAATTCTGTGAGGTGTTGATGCTTGGGTCAAAAGTTATCTTCATTAGATAAAGTAAAGATATTTTTAATCGTCCTTATAAGTTGTTCTCTGGCTTGACTAAGAATGACCACATTCTATATTTCTGAATGATTACATTCCACATACTGAGAGATTATTCTTTGTTGCCATTACATTTGCATCCCACTGTCTTACACTTCTTTGTGCCCTCTAATAGTGACATTTGTACTATGCCATCTATTAGCTGATTACACCCTATATACACTGTTTCAATAACCAAACCTCACATATCACCATTCTGTCTCATGAGCCTTATGGTGACATAAATATTAAATAGATGATTCAGACGGGAAATGCAAACTGTGCCACATTTTCATTTCTTATTAAAATTTATACATTTCTAGTTATAGTGTATTCATATGTTTTAGGTTCGATGGCCTGTATTTTAATCCAACCTGTTTCTTACATATACGTAAAATTTCTGGTTCATAAAGTTTAGTGTATTTTGCATTAAATAGGTTAAGAACATTTTATGTTAATAGAAATGTAATGTAATGATATGTAAATACATATATACACCACTTTGAATTTTACATTGAAGTTATTCAATTAAAAATTTTTTACCATTAATTCACAGTTATTTGATAGACTTGGATTACAGTGCATTTTCTCTGTACTTATAAACTGAAGAATATCTTCCCATCCTTCACTTGTTGTCAAACGGAAAAGGAGTAGCATACTATTTAGTGCAGTCTCAAAGTTAATTTTAGGACCTATAGCTCCATGGTATTCAACATTAGCAAATAAAGACATTCCTATGATAGCATAAATAAAAATAATTAAAAGAAGTAGTAGACTTATGTTTAGCAAAGCCGGGACAGAGGCAATCATCGAGTACAGTAAGTGTCGAAGATCAGTTAAACTTTCTGTCAAGCGAAGCAAACGCAAGACTCTAAAAAGGCGAAACACATACAAAAACGTCAGTTGAGCATGGCCGGTGCTAATTTTTAGAGCTGTATGTAGAAGCATACCTATAAAATATATTTAATTAGTAATATTTCAATTCTGTTTTAATATAATATACAGTATTAATATTCTTGAAGGAATAGTCATGCAAATTTTTTTTTCTTAGGCATGCTAATTTATATGTTAACCTCTTGAACACAAGTTCAATAAAATATAATTTTATATATGCAAATGTTGTTTTTTCATACACATAGAAAATCGTGCTAAATAGTAACATATTAGAACTCCAACTATGCAAATTACTTTTTCTTTTTCTTTTTTTTTTTAAGCAAGTAAAACTAAACTCTTTTGTTTACTTAATTAAATGTTAACATTTTTCTCCAAGATCTACATGTAATGGATATAATATGTTAATTATATTTTATGAAGATAGATTTTTATTCAAGACTTTTTTCAATAAAATCATAAATTTATTACAAAATACAAGTAAAAAAATTTAATAACATACAGTTAGATAGTTAAGTTTTATTATTTAATAATAATAATACAGTAATGCCTTAGTTCAAATGAAAACAAATCTGCATTTAGTTAACACGTTGACTTCCGTGTGCATTTGACGTGGTTTGCCCATGACGTCAACTTGAAATTTTTATTATGAGATGTATATTATGTTGAAATATTATCTACAGAAGAGAATGTGAGTTATATAATCATGCTTAATGCATTTTTCGTGCTGGGGGTCACCAGCGACCCCCCAAACATCTGTAGACCATTTTTACGATTTATAACTAAAATTTTTACCATTTTTTACTCTTCAAACCATTATAGTAACAATGGTACTATTTATTTAAAAATTTATATATTTACTCTAACTTTGTATTTTACTATCAGTCACGTCGTCGGCCACCGGTGGAACCCAGGGCGCTGCAGCCAAGTCGAGTGTCGGTTACTGGTCACCCCCCATGGCAGTCAACGTGTTAAAAAAAAAAAAAAAAGTTTTATGATGAACATTTTCACAGGAAAACAAAAATAAGAGTATGTGCTTAATTTATGGATTATATGAATAAATATTAACTTTTTCTTATATTTTAAACAGATTCTGCGTTAAGATGGGGGAAAAAAACTGTTTTGTGAAAAAAAATTATGAAAATAAAAATGTTCATAATTTTAAACATAAAAAGTTTGCTTAAACACAATAAGATTAACAAAAAAATAAGATCTTTTTATTTCCATCACAGCAAACTCCTATTTTTGGGTATAGAGTAAAAAGTAACTTAACTATCCATATTTATTGTTAAGCCATATGGACTGTAGTTCTCGTTAAACCAGATATATGAAATTATATCTCAGTTGCATATACAAGAACATCTTGACTGTTGAACTGGCACTTAGCCTACAATTGCTATGAAGATACAGCCTCTTCACTCATTTCAAGCGACAATTTAGCATAACAGAAATAAAACTACCAAACATAACTTATGCATTAGTCTGGTTTTAGTTGTCAGTAATGGAGATCAAAATATTATTTCTTTAGGATTTAAAGAGATCAAAATATTATTTCTTTACGATTTTTGCCATTTATAAACCTAGATGGTTGTTTTGGAAAAGGAGCACAATAAAAAGGATATCTAGACTTTTAAAGAATTAAAAAACGGGGAGGACAATTAATCGGCTTAAAAAATTCAAAAATCTAATAACTCATTACTTAACAGATTTCAGAATTTCATTTTCAAACAAGACACAAAAATACTAACCAATGAGCTTCATGTTACAGAGAAAGCTAAAACAAAAACGTGAAAAGAAAATCCAGTTTAAATTAAATTTTGGACAATTACTTAGTAAGATGAAATGACAGAGCAACGCCAACATCTAATGAAAATCTCATAATAATTATTGTCACCCCAGGCTAAACAAATCCTGAAGATACATTTATTCCTGTCATAACCACATTATATCCAAATTCTAGCTGACTGTCTGAATTTATATAAATATTTCCATATGATGGGCCCATTAGAAGGAGAAGGTGATCCAATTTTAAGGCATGATTTATTTTAATTAATTAAATAGTACTGCAACAGGGATTTAAAAAATAATAGCATAATAATCTGTGCTTAACATATATTACCTACTGCTTAATGTGAACCTCATTTTCTTCCCAAACACATTTTTTTGACAATATATTTAGATAACATAAAACATACTATTTTATCATTTTCTTGGATTCTTAAAATTGCTCCTATAAACAATACACAGAATAATTTGTATATACATTGTCTATTTTCTTTTCACATGATAGTTCATAATCAAAGCAAAATTTTACCACTATATTATAAACATTTCTCCATTATATATAATAAATATATATCATCAAAACATATATAATAATTTAATATATATCATTAAACATGTATCATCAAAAATATTAAAAGCATTATTCTATTATAAAAAAATTAACATGCATTTTATTATTAAACAAAATTAAAATTTCACATTTATAAAATTGAAAAACAACAGCACTTACCAGCTAAGTGAGCAAGTAATATAACTAAGTCAAAATTGTTCCAAAAATCCTTAAAGTAGAATTTTCGTAATCCAAGAAGTTTTATAGCAAGCTCTATGATATAGATTATTGTAAAAACAATATTACAGAAGCTAAGAATTTTCTGCTTCAAAGGTGAATCATTGTACGATTCTAGAGCAATAATTACAGTATTGGTGCAAATAAACAGCAGAATTAAAACTCTGAACCTAAAGATAAAAAAGCATAATAATATCAATTCAACTTAAACTATGTTGTTAATTAATTTAATAAAAGAAAAAATGCAAATAAAAAAATTTGCGCTGTATTTTTGCAATGTTTAATCGACATAATTTTTTTAACCATAAAATATATGATAATATTCTTATTTGAAATCACAAATATTATCACAGATATTAATCACAGATGCTAAAATTTCTTCCCTTACACGAAAGGAGGAAAAAAAGTTTTTACATGAAATAATTTACATAATTGTTTAATTTTTTATGAGAACAATTCTAATCAGAGCAGTCATATTAATTTCATTTTCTTTAGACTTTTTTTAAAGAAGTCCTTAATTTCTGCTAATAGACAATTTAATATTGGGTTATCCCCCTCTTTTTTTTTAATCAAACTATGAGTGGATTTGATATCGTATATAACCAGGACTTAATTTTTAAAATTAGAAGTGCCGGACCTCTATGAAAGGAAAGAAGAACAAAAAAATAACTAACTAAATAAAATAATCAGTAAAATAATTAATAATTAACTATTAAAATTAAATAATTAATGATTAGAGTAATTAAACAATTAATATTAAAATTTAATAAAATATAAAGATATAAATAAAATATAACAAGTTGTTAAATAAATGGTGAATAATTAAATACTAAAAAAAGTACTGGACCTTGACTTATTTAGGGCTGGAATTACAATTTTACACAAAAAATAAGATATAGCTCAACCAATCTCCAGTTTAATTTAAGCTCTGAATATAATGTATTACCTTCAAGAGAAGATAAAAATGAAGACCATTCTTCTTCCAGCACATCAATAAAAAACGTTAAAATGGTTAAAGCGTCACTTATGAAAATACAGAGAATGCTATTAACAGTAAGAGAATAGGGAGAACATTTTAATGAATGACCTGTAGGTATTAAAAAAAAAAAAAAAAAAAAAAAAAAAAAAGAGAAGTGTTCAACATTTTCTGACCACGATCTCCTCTGAATATAATTCTAGCTATTAATTTAGAAGTCAAGCAAAATATGACAGGATAACAAGTTTTCACCAAATCTGGGGGTTAGCTGAGAAAAAAGTAACAAGTGACAATTTTCATCCCCTGTCTTTGGTTACATTGTTCCAAAAATTCTGCAGGTGCTCTTTTCCATGGGAAGCTACTAGCGTAGGAAGGAAAAATTTATTCGCTGTCATAAATTCATTTTACTTTCAGGAGAATAACCATTTGAGATGTGGGTGGGGGAGTCTCTTTCCTTAAAAGTCTCAACCTCTATCCAAGGGCTTATTTCCCAAGGAAAGAGAATCAGGCATTCAGAAGTTAGAATCAATTTTTAATATACTTTTATTATTAAATATAAATTTTTTGAGATCAGATTTCTACTGAAATTGTTGTCCCATTGCACTAAAGCAGCACCGGAGCCTTCTTATATAGGGCTCCGTTGCGCTCCGGCTAGAATTATGATTTATTCCCAAAACTAAGAAGCATCGTAGCAATTTAAGCTGTGTACATAACGCTGTAGTGATTGGAATTTTCAGCCAATAAAACATTTAAGCAGACAATATAAAGAGGCAACGTGCTTGTAAAAGTAAATCATTCAGTAAAAGATTTTAAATGGCTTAAAATAATCAATGACAAGGAGCATAACATATATTGTTTATTGTATGAGTTTGACAGAGGCAGTACTGCAGCATGAAACATTTGTGAAGTGTATGAGCAGGATGGAGATAGAAGCTATGAAAGTCAACCATGTTCTGGATGTCCCTCTGTGGTTTCTGAGCAGATTCTGTACCAAGCCATATTGAATGGTTTCCATGCAACTGTTGAAAAATTAATGAAAATGCTATTTGTACACAGAACAACAGTTTGAAGATGAATGCATGCATTTGGATTCATCACAAGCATGGAGCAGTGAGTTTCATATCAGCTCTTTGAAAAGCAATGATAGGTGAGAACCAGTCTTGGTCTTTCTTGGCTCGTTCCAAAAATAAACCATTTTTTGAATTAACTATGATGAGTGATGAGAAATGAGTACTCTGCAGTAATGTCAAATGTTAACGCACTGAACATTACATGTAGCATCAAGGCTCTGCTGCATCAAGACAAGGAATGCATCCTGGATAAATTCAGGCAAAACCAGATACATAAACAACCATCATTAGTCAAATGCAAGACATTATCTTTCAGCGTGAAAATCCAGACTTCATGTTGCTTCAATCACACACACAAAAACTACTCAACTTTGATTAGTTAAGTTTTATCTTATTCCCAGACTTTGTTCCTTCAGATTGCCATCTTTTTTTAATGTTATAGAATCTCTTGACCTTTTTAAACCTTAGATGATGTGCAAGGTATGAAAACAACATTACTAAATATTATTATTATTATTATTATTTTAAATCTTTGATTTGATACTATTTTTCTTGATGAGGGATTAACTAATGGCAAAGCAGATGATAATCTGTCATAGCAAATATTGACAATGATGTGAATATATATGTGCATTACATTTTTTACTCTATTTTTGATTCTAAACCAAAGTATTTTTCTTGATAAGGGATTAACTAATGGCAAAGAAAATGATAATTGGTCATAGCAAATATTAACAATTATGTGAATACATATGTGCATTAAAATTTTTTTTTACTCACCCTTCTTTTCACCTAAAATAATGGACAAATTTTCATATCAACCCATTAGTTTAAAAACTAAAGTGACAATTTAAAAAACCAGGGGGGGGGGGGGGAGGAGTAAAATTTGTTTCATTTCAAACATTGAAATAAAAATTAAATTTCTCAAGTCCTTTATTTCTATAAGTCTAACATATTTTCACAGCATAATTAAAAAAAATTTAAACTAATTATTTTAAATGACATTTAACATAACATTATATAATATATAAACTGAGAAAACAAACATTCTGATCAAAAGGAAGAGAAACACGGCAATGTGTAAAATTTAACACACACACACACACACACACACACAAAAAAAAAAAAAAAAAAAAAAAAAAAAAAAAAAAAAAAAAAATTAGTTTTTGCCACAATTTTGTGCATGTTTATGGACAGTTCTAATAGGGTGAAGGGAACCCTCTACACTCAGTTAGAACTTCATGTCAATTTGCTATACTTTTGATTAGATTGTCTAAAAGTAAATGATAACATATTCACATGGAATAGCCTTCAGAAAGTTCTGAAAGTGTTAAATGAAGGCTACATAATGCAAATTGATGTCCTTGTCGATCTCATTTGATTTAAATTTGGTGAATGAATAGGCTGTGGTACATTATTGCAGTTTTAAACACTCTAAAGTTTTAGTAGGGCTAAAAAGGACCAAGGATTTCAGTTTGGAGTTTTTAATCATAGTTCTACTAATAAAGCTGAGTTAGCAAAAGGCAAATGATTATTTTTGTTGCATACAGACCATCTTAATAAAACCTTTCATTCATGGTGTATCTAGAAATTTGAAGTCCTGTAGTTGGAAGCAATTTAACTTGCAATTTATGAAGGTATTCAGTTATTTGCTTGGTTCTCTCAGTTATTTGCTTGGTATTCTAGCAGTTTTAACTAATAAATGGTCTTGAGAAGCAGCTGTGACACATTTTCAGTGTTGGTCTGAAAATCAAGACACATCATTTTATCATCACCACCTCCAGATTTTGGAAAAAGCCTTTTCAATATTTTTACACCTTTATACTGTCTTTTTTTTTTTTTTTTTTTTTTGCCAGCCTTTTAAAAGCATGCCTTTTTTCACATTCAGTTAAATGTTTTTTTTTTTTTTTTCTTTTAAATGTATTTTATCATCCATATACCATTCATCTTTACACCCTACCACTTGAAAACTCCTTACAGTTTGAAGATCAGTTGGTATATACTAATGGTGGCCAAATGTTATGTCACTGAAAGCTGCATGTTGGAATTCTGGAGCCATAAATAGATTTTCCAAGAGCCACAAGTCCATATTTACATAAGTTTCAAAGTAGTGAAAATTTCAAATGAAAGAAATGTCTACTTTTTATTGGACTTTGAGTAGTTTTTAGTTTACCATATTTCACATATATTATTTGTATAAGAGCTACACCACTCGCCTGCAAGAGCCACCTGCAGCTCACAAGCTGTGCTATGGCCATTCCTGGTATATTGCAGTGCTATGGCCACCATCAACACAAAAGATAGTAGAGCTGTGATAAATTATATACTGTTATTTACTAGTTTAAATCCTTTATTCTGTGATATACCCATCAAATATCCATCACTGTGTAATCTACCCATCAAATTTCATTTGAACTTTATCCAGTATCACTGGTATTATTCTCATTTTATGATTGTTTCTCTGATTTTTCTCACTGTGCTTTTAAACATGGGAAACTTACATTACTTTTACAATTCATATGGCAATCACTTTTGCTGTAAGTACTGCACCACATATTTCAAGAGTTTTGTTTGTATGCAAGTTGTAGCGTGCATTATGGACATAATACAGCATTTAATAGCAGAAAAAGTACTTTGTTTTCACATCAGATTAATTGTAACTAGTGTGGTAATCTAAAATATAATACTGAAAATCGATAAACATTTTTAAAATTAATTATACATTAAAATACTTTACCATAAACTATATGCAACTTTATAGAAGAAAAATAAAAAGGGACTGGTTGGAGCTTCAGTTTGAACTTTTGGTCTTCGTGTGCTTAGTTTTAACAAGGAATTATAGTACCCTTTTTGTGCATCTGTTAGTAATAGTTCAGTGACACCATCATCAACCTGCATTGATTACAAATATCAAAGGAAAAGAAATAATTAGGAAAAGGAAATCATTAAATGTATGCCAATTTACAGTAGTATTCCCAACCCTGATGCTATCTTATTATATCTAATTTACTGAAGCTTGCAGAAAATTTACAATAATAAATAATAATATTAAGTTTTCTTAAAGGAAACTTCAATACCTAAAACGCTAATATATTCAGTGGTCTCAAACACAAATTGCCTGCAAGCTGAACACACCATCTAAAAATAGCTGACAGACATAATTTTTTATTTAAAAAATAATAAAAATATATAATTTTTATCAACAAAAAATATTTTAACTAAATTTTAAATCTGGTTTACATTATATTTATCAAAACATATATTAACATAATAATAATACAAAGGGAATAATGCTATCTGAGATCTAAAGTTTGGTACCTGAAAGATGCTTCTGTTGGTTACACTTTGTAATTCAAACCTGCTAACAGCTAATTGTAAAATTTTCAGACTGGTATTTATTTCAAATAATTTTAATATGTTTCATTAATCATTAAGTAACCTACTTTAAATTAAAGATAAACAAATTATGAAAACTTACTAAGTTTTCAGAGAAGACTTCCCAAGTGGTATAAAACTTATTACTTAATAACAACTATAATATAAATAAATAATGACTCTTTCTCTTATTTATTAAAAGTTTCTTTGATGCATAAATAAAAATACATATATTTGTATGTAAACAGTTATAAACTTCTTTATTCTTACTACATTTGATATTTGATGACGTTTCAATTCCGATAAAATTTGTAGCCTTCGAAAAATTACTAGAACCTCTCTTCATGATTTGTAGATGCTTTTTGATCAGTCGGGTTATTTTCCTATTAACTTTCAATTGTGAAAAAAAAAAAAAAAAAAAAAAGCTGTTTACATATAAACATATTCCAAAAAAGTGATTACTCTTAGTAAAAAAATTCATAACTGAGGGAGTTTATTTTTTATCAAATATGAATAAAAGTTAATCAAATCAGCACTTTCAAATCTTTGAATACAATTTACATCACAGTGTAAATTAATTAGCTTCATTTATAAAGTTGCTGGGGTATTATTTACATTTGTTTTGAATGGTAACAAAAATAATGTAAATTCAGACTTCAAATAAGTAAAATTTTGAAATTTGTGCAACACCATATTTGTAACAAATGCATAATTGAAATGTATTCCACTAGTTGAGACACTGCTTTAATTCATTAACTGTCAGTGAGTGGATTTAAAATGAAACTTTCTGTGTAACATTCATATAATCTTGACAATAGTTTTTTGATTGGTTAAGCATGCTAAAACTACTGAACTATTACACAGTAATATTTCATGTTCTCTAATTTCTATTCAAAATAGAGTGAAAAAGAATTTTCAATAAATTGTAAATTATTTTCTTTTGGAAAACCCTTTATGAAACACTATCAGCTCAACCTAATTATTTTGGATTAGGATTAGAACTATTTAGATTACGGCAAAGCACTTAAGGGCTGTCGGCATAAGGGAAGGGATGTTTTTGTAGAGGGCTTTTTAATGGAAACTGGTTTGTATTCACATAAAACGTGCCGAATCCACATGCAGGTAGCCCATATGCTTATTCTAGAATCTATTTAGATTGTGGTCAACACTCTTATTTCTAATAACAATAGTCATACATAATAGCACTACCTACAAATTGTAAAAGTACTTGACTCATGCATTTCTTTCTACAACATTTTGGAATGATATTTTATCAGGATATATTAAGTTAAGACATATTCTCCAATACAGGTAGTGTGTTTCAAATTACCATTCACTCAACCAGAAATGCATGCTAGCACATTTCATGTAAGAAAATCAACTCATTGTGAAACTATGAATTGACACCTTTATTACAGCCTCCAATGTTTGCTCTTAATGGCAGTGTAGAGAAATATATATAATATGCTTTTATGTTGGTCATTCTACTGTATATGATGCCCCTTCTCCAGTGTCCTGAATTTGTATATCAAAGTTTTACTTGTCAGGTTAGTTAGAAGTTGAAGTCTGCGTACTTATACTCCTCTCCCACAGAACATTTTTCTGCACATATCAGGATTGGATTAGGATTATTCAAGTATGGCAAAGCACATGAGGGCTATCTGCTTAAAGGGAGGGATGCCTTCGTGGATGACTTTCTAAGGGAAACTGGCTCGTATACACGTTACACATGGGGAAAACCACAAAAACACACAGATCAGACAGATAGTTTCTACTATTCAACATCTCCTTATTTATAAACTGTTTCACAATGCGTGTTTATATAAATCATTTTTTTTAACTCATGCCTACAGAATAACCTCTCAGAGTTTGGAAGATGAATTCTAGGGCAAGCAATATAAATGACTCAAACTGCAATGTTATGATAATTATTGTTTTCCTCAAGAAAGTGATTACAAACTCTATTTTTGACTCAAATTATGAGATAACAAAATAACGAAATATAGCAGTTTGCAGCAGAATATTTTAGAAAAATAGTAGTTTACAGTAATAGATTCTAAAAATTACAGCTACTTGAATTTACAGCAGCTGATAAAGCATATAATGAAAGTATCTAAATAATTTCTGCAAGCATCATTTGATAAACATACTTTAAAATTAAAATTATGAATATTATAATTCAGAATTGCAGTATCTTGCAGGAGTATTAATAATTATCTTAAAGGATTCATAGATGTTTTAATTATATTTTAATATTAAATAAAATTTAATATGCTGTTCTTGTTGTATTTTATGTTAAACTAACCAGGTATCATGATATTGATCTTTAACTTATTTCCATATTCCTCACCAGAATGCAAATTATTTAAGCTGAAAGTTTTTGGATCTTAGAAAGAGAGAGAGATTCTTGCACTCACGTGACATTGTTAGACTTTTGCCAGCTCTATCTAAATGTAATTATCCCAGCTTTTGTATTCTCTTGCAGCCAATTGCTTTAAACTAACATATAGGTAAATTATTTAAGCCTCCTTGTGGTTCACTTAATGCCTTATTGTCTTAGAATACTGATCAATGTTTTAATTATTTGACTGTTATTTAATTTACACTGTCACAAGTAGTCGTTACCTATAGTACGAGCAACTTTATGTTAAAAGTTCAGTTTGATAAAAAGCTTATTTAAAAACTTCACAAGTCTTATAGAGCTTCAAACACAGGAATAACTCGCTATGTGATTAGTAGGGTTGTAGGACTAAAATCAAGTATAAAGTTCAAGTACGACCTTAAAGCTGGTGCCTAAATTAATTACCAAGCATCCAAGACAACATCACTTTAGCCTACTCCCCAAGATTTCAAAATTTTCATAATCTGGGCTATCAGATATCTCAGAGGGCCATTGAAATGGAAGATTTTAAAATTGTAGTGATAAACAACTATCTACCACCTAACACAGCAAAGAATTTGGCATCTTTTTTTGCTTGTTTGTAATCTTATTACAGAACTTTCATTAAAACCCCTATTAAATTTAAAAAGAAAAAAAGCCAGAAGCAAACACAGCATTTGAAAAATTTAAAGCTGTATTAGTCCAAGCTCCCGCTTTGAAATTTCTTGAAGCAAATAGTAAATTAGAAATTGCTGCAGATGAGTCGGATTTCACAACAGGGGCCATTTCACATTGCATATTTTCGACTGTTTTAGTCTAATTCAAAAAATTATACTGCTACTGAGATAGAAACTTGAGCAGTACTACTGATGGTGCAAAAATTTTAATTTATTTTGGAAAAGAGCTGGTTCCCACGTATATGGACCCTGCCGTCACTGTATGCTTCTGTTCCAAGAAGAATTTATCACCCAGACTCGTAAGATGGCTTTTAAATTTCAAGAATACAATCAAATGCATAAACATGCTCCCAAGAAAAAAAATGTTGTAGCAGGTGCTTTATTACAAATTAAAATAGATGGTCAGAGGAAAGAAGTGAAATGTGCCACATTAACTTAAAAAATTTTAGATTCATGAAAAACAATTAGAGCAAAACTGCAAGCAGACCCAGAATTTAAAAATATCCACATGTTCAGAGTGATTGGGATCCCAATCACTCTGAACAGGATGGTTTGGTTTGGTTTATTGAGATTACAGCAAAGCACACTAGCGCTATCTGCCTAAGTGGAGGGGTGCCTTCGTGGAGGACTTTCTAAGGGAAACTGGCTCGTATACACCTCTGAACAGGAATTAGGAATAAAGCTGCAAATTATGAAATAATTGATAATCTTCTGTTCTACACCAAGACAACAAACAAATGATAATAATGACGTAAGACTGGTTATCCAGCAGGTTCAAGTATTTTACAGAAATTGCATTGAAGCACCAATTTCAGGCCATCTCGGAATAAAAAAAAACTGTCCAGAAAGGCGAGGGAGCTACATAGCTACAAAAATTTTAACTCAATATTTTAGGTCCTGTAACATTTGTCAGTTCATTAATGGTATTAATTATAGTCTGGTCAGGTACCTAAATAGCATAAAAGCTACATTCACTAATGAAATAATAGGAGTTGATCTATTAGGTTTCTACCCACATAGTGAACAAAAAATAGATATTTTCTCACGAATCACTGATTGTAATGATATTTATGTGACTATAAATTTAAAATTAGCAAATGATAATGATTTGATTCAAAGTAAAAAAACAGCACAGTGTAATTGAGGTTAGTTAAAATTAGGCACTCCAACCAGTACTTATAGAATTAATGAAAGTTAAGCTTAAGACATTATGAACAGATTCTTGAAACAGGGTCTTTTTGAGGTGGAATTAAGCTTTTAATAATGTAGGAATTTGGTTAGTAGGTAGTTGTTGAAACTGCACAACTTACACAAATATATGCATTATAGTGCTGAAGTGGCAGGGGAAAAAGTGAATTTAGAGAAAGTGCAAGTGCTAAAGATTCTGCGAATGGCAAGCTGAGAAGTGTAAGCTTTAAAATTTTTATGGCTAAACTATTTTTCCTCTCAAGAGATGAGATGTGAAGTTTTGAGGAGAAGAAACTTTTGTTCCAGCCCTAAGTGTGCCCCCAAGTGAAATTTCATTTCAAAGAGTCAGTTAGATATTTAATAAAGTTGGCTCACATGTTAGAAATTTTCATTGCAATTACTTAAATTCTGGCAGGGAAAAATGTAAAATCCTTATGCTAACTAAACACTTACTATAATTTTGATCTTTACTTTTACTTCTTTCCATATTCCTCACCAGAATGCAAATTAGCTTTTTGCCTATTTAAGCTGAGGCTTTTGGTTTTTAGTCAAAGAGAGAGAGAGTTTATGGCATTTGCATAGCATTGTTAGAATTCTATCAGCTCTATCTAAATATAATTATCCTGGTTTTTGCATGCTCTTGCAGTCAATTGGTTTAAACTTACACATTATAAATTAGAGGCAGCTTATAGCTTAGTTATTACCTGTGTAGTCTTAGACTACTAATCAATGTTTAAATTTATTTGAATGGTATTATTTAATTTACATCACTACAAGTAGTGGCTGCTTGTAACATGAGCCATGGTCTTTATGTCAAAAGTTCAGTTTAAGACACCCATTCTTTCTTAAAAACATTCACAAGTAATTATCTTACTATTTCAAACATAGTGATAACTAACAACTTGCCCAGTAAAGTTGTAGGATTAAAATTTAAGTTATCTAGCTCAAGTGCAACCTTATAATTCATATTATGTTTTTTTAAAGTTAAAAAACTGAATCAAAAGAATTTGAAATTTATGGGCAAATGAAAGATTGTATTAGAATATTTTGTTATGGCAGGCACTTAAGGACTATCTACCACTAAAGGAAGGGAAACTGGCTTTTATTTAAGTTACACATGGAGAAACAAAAACTCCATTTAGTTGCCAGGGCTGATTATGAGATAAAGTATCGGTTTTGAGTTGTGTCATCTACTAGCTACTAGCAAATTAAATAATAAAATGTTTAATTTTAATTTCTAAAGGTATAAAAACAGTGAGAGAAATAAAATTCATATAAGTTACTTGAAATAAATATTAATTTTTTCTGCATATTAAATCATCTTCCTTTTTAACTGTTTCATCCATTATGTTTCAGATATTTTTATGTTTATATGTTCAAAGCATGGTTTGTCTTTTTGGTACATACATAGACACACATTGCACATTTCACATATGTATCTTGTTCTATGAGGTTTCTTCCTAGTGCTACAAAATGTACACTGCCTGGATCTTCATTATTTAGTTATTTTCATCTGGCTCATGAAATTTGTGAGTTTTTATGTTAACCGGGGGAGGGGGGAGCTTGGTCTTTTTGGCTTTGGTACGGATCATTTGTTTCCCATTCATATTTGTTTTATTCATATTTCGTCCCAAAATATTTAGAAAATATTTTAAACTTAAATAAAACTTTTATGCAATTTCTATTTTTAATTATAGCAAAGTATATTTACATTAAATTTAAACCATACCAAATAATTTATAAAATCACAATACTAGCTTGGGAAGCAAGTGTGTTGAGGTCAGAGAAAAATCTCTGGAAAAGAAAGACCTTTTCTCTGGACAAGTGCATGTATTGTTTAGTAATAAAGTAATTCTGTGGTTTCAAAGCCCCTTATCTATATCCGGGTAAAAAGTAAACATTCCTATTTGAAAAGCAAGCAGACACCATTGTGAAGAGCAGTGGTTTCAAGGTGCGACCACCGAGCCTCTAGAGGATTGTGAGCATTGTGACACAATGTTCTAATGGCGCTGTTATCGCACCCTGAAGCAACAAAGCAAATGCCATAAATATAGATAGGTTTTTTTATATATGCAGTTTAATTACTGCAATTTTTTATTGTTCACGATAGAAATCATGATGTGCGATGAATAACTTTTGAAATTTAAAGTTGTTTATATTAATAAAAGGAAGTTATTTTGTCTCATTGAAAACGAATTTTAAAAGGTATCCGATTTGAAGTACTAAGACTTAAAACATGTATGATTCTGCAGTCATTTTGTGTTATTTAGAGGTAAAGATAAATTGATTTTCATTCAAAAATTACGGAAAGAAGAGGAGGAAAAAAAATTCGAAAATTGGTGGTTTTAGGGAGTTCCCACCGTGTGTCAAAGGGTTAACTTAAATATCCTTTTCCAGTTCAAATGAAATATGAATTTTTAATTGTTTTGTGGCAGACAAATAAATTTTTTGAAAGTAAATAAATGCACTATTTAGATGATATAAACACTTTTTTTTTGGTGAAACACATTTTTTTTTAAACATTACAGATAAATTTGAAATACTTTTCAATTTTGACTAATCAACTTAAAAATTGTCAAAAATGACTTGAGGTCAGAAATATGTATAATGGACTATATTAACCTTCCAGCACGCATATGTGCGCAAAATTTATGACAAATTCAATTTTGAATGCACATTTTTCACATATCAAAGCTGAGACGTCTGTATGTCATTTCTATTCCTCCTTTCTATCCTTCCCCACATCATGGAATGTGCCAACAGGAAGTCATTTGGCTCTCTCTCTCTCTCTCTTTTTTTTTTTTTTTTTAAACCAGGCATTTGTGCTACGTGGCAGCTTTTCCATAAAAATGACACGCGTGTGTTTGTAGGTGAAAATTTGGAAATATTTTTTTTTCTCAAATATTTTTAATTTTGTGTTATTAATTGCTGTGTATTATTTTGATTTGAATACATTTGGCTCTGTAAATTTTATATCAGTTTTCATGGCAAAAAAATATGTGCAACCAGCTGATTTTGTTCGCATTCTTCAAGAATTATCCGATGAATAAAAGGAAGACAAGGAAACCTTTGGATGGGAGAACAATAGCAATTTCCATTCTTCATTTTCTTTTATTCTATTTTTTAGAAATAAATAAAAATATAAAGTTAGTTTAAAGTGTGTTTTTGTAACCAGTAAGAAGTAAATTTCCTTGCAGAAGTAAGTAATGCTACACTTATTTTTTTTTTCTATTAAGGTGTTTTCCTTTTTTATTTGTCTATACTTGCCTTTGACGAATATTAAAATTAGCTTTGATTTTAAAATATAATTATTACATAATAAATTAAAAATGTTCTATAATGAAATACATCATTGCATTTCCACTCACTAACATAAGAACTTAAAAATAATTTACTTATATTTGAATGTGATATCATTTGTATTTTGCAATAATAAGATTAATATTTTATTTCTTAACAAATTTATTATCAATATTCACTAATTTCAGTCATTTTTCGTGTCAAAAACGGTAAAATAACGGATGTCATAAAAAAAAAAACGACGCGTGCGTGCTCGTGTAAAATTGCCAAGCGTGCGTGCTGGAAGGTTAAACAGTTTAATGTTTGTTGTTTTAAAAGATGATATAATTAATTTTCAAACATTGCTGAATGATCTATTTAATTGTTATTAGTTTATAGGAAGACTTTACATAAATCAAACAAGTAAAAAATTAATAAAACACACTATACAATTTCTTGCTTTTAATTTGGAAGCATTATGAACATTATTGATAATATAAAATAAAAAAAGTTTCAAGATCCACTGATAAAGTTTAGTGAATGACAACATTATTATTATTATTATTTTAAGTTAGGAGAAAATAAATAGTTACTAAACTCACATGTTTTTGTTTATTTTTGAATGTATCCACCACAACTCCCACAATAAGATTCAGACTAAAAAAGCCACCAACAAGAATAAAAACCACAACGAATATATAATACTCCTGACGACTGTTTTCTTCTGGTTGTAAGTCCCTGTCCTTGAAATCAACCATCATTTGCACTAATCCTGTCCAACCTGTTAACATTGCCTATAATTAAGAAATAAATTCTTTTAAGCTTTACGAAATCTAATCAAGATGCTAATTTCAAACAGAACAAACAAATTTTGCAATAATGATAAATGCTAAAAAAAAAAAAAAAAAAATTGCCAATATAAATTAATTTTACTGTGAAATGTCCTGTTTAAGCACTTTCAACTTAGTAAAACATGGAATGCGAATACAATTAATGTCTAGCAAGCTTGATAATAAATACTACTGATAATAATATTAAAATATAATTAATACAGCAAACACAAATACCAATCAATAATACTTATACAAGTAAGTAATATAATAAGTACTACCTTCAGAAAAGAAGTGAAGGCATTAAGTTTCCTAAGCTGATTGTAAAATGGTATAATTATTAATACTGTGGTTCGATAACTAAGAGTAAAAAATTGTCAAGGAACCACTAAATAAGACTTTTATATAAATATTTGGCTTGGGAATTGACAATATGTTTTAAAATTAGTACTTAAGGTACTTAAAAATAAATGTTGGAAAGCAATAAAAGAAAAAAAAAATTTGCTAGAAAAATGTATTTAATTTTGCAATTGTTTTTATATTATAGTATCAAATGTTAATTAGTTTCCATTAACTTTAATGCATAAGAATATTATAGCAAATGTTTTATTTTCCTTTTCTATTAAAAATTACCAAGCATATTCTATTAAAAGTAAGGTAAAATTTCAGAACATTTTTGAGAATTATAATTAATACTGAAGTCTTTCAGATATACCAGCAATTTTATTGTTAATAAAGCAGATCATCAGTTTACTGACAACAGCTTAAAGTTTTTAGAAAAGATTTGATTGGTTAGTTTCTAAAGTGAGCTAAATTCTAAAAAAAAGTCATCAAAATAATACAAAAGATACAATATAAAAACTGAAATTTTCAAAATTTCAGTTTTTAGAAAAGCCTAATTTATGCCCATTAAAAATATTAACAATGAAAATTTCACAAGGGAAAGCACCATCATAGAAAACATTATGGTTGAAAAGAAAGCAAGAAGAAAACATTAAAATTCTAAAATATCATAGCTAAAATTTTAAGTAGTGATGAAAAGTCATCGTTTCAAAATATCATGTTAAAATATAAAACACCTCAAAATATTTCTTGATGATAACATCACAGACATATATTTCACATATTTTAAAAATTTCAAATGTATGAGGTCTGTAAATAGAGTCATCAGAATTTTTAAGAGCACTTTTGTTTATATTTAAATTACAAGTCCATTCACTTTTCTTCCAGTTAGTTTCCTTGGGAAGCTCATACACCACCTAAGATATTGTTTCCACTCTTCATAGCAATGTTGGAAATCGAAAACTAAAATGGTTATCAGCTGCTAGGTCAAAGCCTTTTTACTGTTTTCTGTGATTTAATATTAGTAGCCCTTTAAATGAATTTTCAATCTGAGAAACAGGAAAAAAATCACAGGAACTAAGCTCAGGCAAATATGACGATTGAAGGATAACAGAGATGCCTTTCTGAGCCAAAAATGGCATTATAGAAAACACTGCATGATAGGGCTCATTTTCATGATGAAGTATGTAAGTCTTCTTTATGCTCTCCATTTTTGCAATCTTTTAAAAATCTGATGATAATAGTTTATTGGTTAAGTCTGATCCCTAATTTTTGTCCACATTTTCATCAGTTCTTCCTTCCAGAGAAAGGATCATGTTCAGATAATTCTTAGCCTTCTGAAAAAGTTTCAAATCACCTGTGCTCTTCATGCTGTGAAAATCTGTGTTTTTCATGAACCCAAACTTTCATATGCCCGTTTTTTGCAATAGGTACAGCTATGTCATGTTCCATTTTAAAACAAAACTTGATGGTGCACTGTTGTTCAAAACACAGAGCTCTCATTTTCATGATGCATGAAAAAAATCGCATTTATGTAATAACACAATACATGTGAATATCGGGAAATTGCCATTCAGACTGAAATTATATGAGAGGCTGACTATGGTGTTTTGTGAAGGGCAACTATTTTTGTTTGCCATGTAGAGTGCTACATGATCAGTCTTTATTTACAGACCTCAGATGTTTGGTGTTGCAGTTGCAAAACACAGTTATTCATGAGCACGAAAAGGAATGACAAATATTTTTTACCATATTATTTCAGATTTTTTTAAAATTACCTAATATATTTTTAACTGAAAAACCAGGAAGAAATTGAAGTTTTCAGAATTTGTAAATGAGTAGATATTTGATTTTTTATCAAGATGTTTTAAAAATGCTAAATTTTGTCACATCTTTATTTTCTAGAGTTTTTTTATAGCCCATTTTCTACCATATTTTCCTCTTGCATTGTTTTTATACAGAATATTTTCATCAGTAACCATGATATTTTTTGTCTTAATTAAACAAAAACTTTACTTTAAAAGTAAGTACAAATCAGAACAAGAAAACTTATTGTTATGAAATGATCACCAAATCCTTCAAATACAGTCTTCATTTACTTACAAATAGTTATGAAGTAAGATGTTTTAGACTTTTGATTGATGTTTAATAGCATAACTATACAAACACCAATTCCATTTAAAATGCTGGATATTTTACAAGATAAAACCAATGCCCTATTTTCTGGTAGCCTTGAGAGTGCATGGTGATAATCTGCAGTAAATTTTACACAGCCTTCCAGTTATCTAAAATTTTGCTCATATGAAATGGCTTATATTCTCCAAGTATGGATAATGTGTTCTGTTGCACATACAATAATTTACGTTTTGTATTGATTAACATAATTTTAATTTATGTTGAAGAATTTATTGTGATAATTTTTTTAAAATTTTGTTTGACAATTTGTTTGAATGTATTATTAAAGTTATGTAAGTAGTTTTACTCTTGTTTTCTGGAATAAACATAAAATTAAAACTAAAATATATACATACAAAATAAATAATTTTTGCAATTATATGTCATCATTCTTTTTCTTCTTTAAGAAATTGCTAAGTTGCACCAAAGGAGTTGCGCTAATATGAGAGTATCCATTTTTGTTATTACATGTTACTGCACAATGCAGAAAATCATGATGGAATCACCTGAACACAGAACTGCAAAAATATTAATGAATGTAATTCCAGACAACATGGCTTAGTGCTAAATAGTATTTGTGGATTGTTGGAAAGGATATTTGATACATATGTAGAGAAGTAGCGATACAAATGTGGAGAGATTTTTGAGAAGATGTAAATTAAAGTAATCAATAGATATCAATATTTGTAACAATGCTCCTAATCAATGTAACTTTATGACAAATATGAATGAATTATGTGACAAACATGATGATACAACTTGAAATTTTACCATTACTATTATTTTAGTATAACCTTTGAATGATCGCTTTATTAGAGTTTTCTTTTTCACTAATGGTAAAAGTTATAATTAAAGAAAGCTCTGTTCTTCACATATAATTCTCCGAAATTTATAGAAAAAATTTTAAATGAAACATGCAGTAAATGATATTTGCTGAAAATATTCAGAGGCTAAGCAATCTTAATACAAAAGATTTTAATGATAATTATATTTTGGAAATAAAAAAAAAAAATTGCTTATGGAGGAAAAACAGACTATCACAAAGATGAAAGTGTTTCAAAGCAGATTATACTAAAAGAACTTGATGCATAATTGCCTACTTTAGCACTGCAGAGCAAATGTTAACAGGTATAAAACCTGTTAATAGGTGAGTTATTTATGCTGCGTGTACAGGTGAGTTGATTATAATCCTGAGAAATGAATCACTTGATATTAGAAAATAAAAATAAAAACTAAAACTTCTCAGATAAATTTGTATGACTATATAGCTATTTTTCAGCAAAAGATAGAAGCATGTTTAATAAATATTTCTCTAATATTTGTGATCACATTTGATATCTCACACATCTCATGTTTAATAAATATTAATCTCAGATCTGTATGAATTTCTTTTATTGAAATTAAATTTTTATTACTTAAGATGAACACTTACAAATTGTTAAAACTTAGTAACTATTTGCTGTAGATCAGCTATAAATTTTTCCGTGGATTATTATACAGATTAATGAAATTTCAATCAACTCTTCAACAATCAATCACAGATGGTTATATGTAAAAATTTCTTGTACACTGAAAACTTCAATTAAATTTTCATAAATTACAATTACAGATCATCATATATTGATAAACTATGCACTGCTGCCAGAAAATAATTTTATTCTGAAACTGAATTTTACTGAATGTAAAATTATATGTAAAATTTTCTTGTATACTGAAAACTTTTCTAACACCATCAATTAAATTTTCATAAAATTACAATTACAGATCATCATATATTGATAAACTATGCACTGCTGCCAGAAAATAATTTTATTCTGAAACTGAATTTTACAGCTAATTTACTAGTTTACCAATTAGTAAAAGGGAAGAAAATATATTTTAAAGTATCTTACCAGCTGAGATAATGATAAATAGCTGATTCCAATATGATCAAAGGTAAAAAAAGGCTCTTCCCAAATCAAATTCTTTTGAATGCAGTCATCTTTATCAACTATTGGTTCAGTCACCATTTCATGATTTGAATCGACACAACGGAAAAAATTCCCACTAAAAAAGTGAACACCAAGAACAGCAAATGACAGCCAAATGAACATACACACACCTAACACTCGGAATATTGCAGGAAAGGATAACAGAAGAGCTTGAACAGCCATCTATAACATTACAGAAACATATTTGTATGATAAAATAACATCAGACTTTATAACAGAACATAAGCAGGCATGTAAGTAAGATTAAGTAAGATTTTTATGGTGTATGTATAAAAACCTTACTATATATATGTATGCATGCACATACATACATACATACATAAAGGGACGTAAAGAGAAAAATACTTAATATAAAAACCTCGTAATTAAAGCAAAATCAAAATCTGCATTTAATAAAGAACAAATTTAAGCCTCCATTTGTCTAACCTGCCATCCATACCATAAAGACAAAAAAATTATTTGATATTAAAACATTTTAATTAAAGCAAAATTTGGAATATGCATTTACAAATTTAAGTATGCTGATTTTTAAAATATATCTGCATTTATTAATAAGATAAAAATAAAACTTAGTAAAAAATGTAGCTGAAACACTTGAACGCTGAAGATGAAGTTTATTTTCTTAACCTTATTTGACAAAATATAATTTAATATCAATTTTAAAATATTTTTCCAAAATCTTTTAAATCAAAGCTTGCATATAAGACAGGTAATTATTTTGTAGTTAACAATGATTAACATTAAATATGGAATGCCAGATTATCTTCAGGAAATTATGAGAATGACATTCAGAGTCAATACATGGTGATATGGTGTTAGCGATTCAAATTCACTAAAAAATTTCAACATTTGCAATCTTTTTTTTTTCTTTCTTTTTTATGAATGTTATCAGACATCAATAAAACTTACCTGTCCAAAAGATTCAGATAATGAAGACAGCATGAAGATTTGAGCTTTTGCATCTTGAATCCTATTTCAAAATTTGCGATTCGAGAATTCGAAGATTCAAAAGCCTCTTTTCTAATTATAAATATAAATCACAGTTTCAAATTTAATCATCTGAATGATTTATATTGAAAGTGACAGTTTCATTTAATTCTTTCCAGAAATCAAGAGTTAACTTATACAAGAAACAGTATGAGGTGATATTCCATCCTAAGCAAACTTTACTAAACTGCCTCTTTTCCATGGAAGAAATAATGCTGTTTTATAATAGGCCTGATATGCTGTGATGGTGATTATCCAGAAAGCACAGTCATAGATTCAGAATTACAAAAAACAGAATTGTTACTAAGAGCGTTTAGTGTACAATACTGCTACTAAAAATTCCATGCAATAAAAGCCTCAAAGCCTTTGTATTTATACACTCCCTTCAAAGCATTTACCCTGTATACGTTCACTGAAATATACTTTTTTATCTTATTGACATTACTTTTTACAATACATTCAAAGCAATTCTTCAAGATCATGACCTTCAAGCAACTTTCAGGAATAGCCTGCTTTACACATAAGAAAAATACAAAAATGAAAGGAAGGCATTTTGCAAATATTTTAATGAAACTTTTATGGCTCTTAAAAGTACAAAAGTCTAAATTACATTTGATGAAGCATGTGTTTACTTACTAAACTGTAACAACTCTAGGAAAGGTGGTGCTTTTCCATCCTGTTCTCAAAATGCAAGGAGGTACAAACAAAATTGGTATTGAAAAATGGAGAAAATTCTCCTAATAATTTTCAAGGATAGTCAGATTTTAGATATACTTAACATTGCCATCATATACCTACAATTTACAGTGATGGTTTGGAGCAAGAAAGTTCCATTTTTTCATTACAAGTTCTATAGTATAGAACAGAACAGCTAACTTATACAGCTATAGAGCTGTACAAGTTAGTCAATTGCTAATTGTGTTTAATAAAATGCAGGAACCAAAATACTATTCCTCTTAGCTATACTTGCAAAAATCTCCTCCAATGGATTTTTAAAGTTTATGATCTACTGGCAAGAGCCACAGGAAAATGGCAACATATAACATTACACGATTAAAAAAGAAAAAATCCTAATTGGTCTAAAACTGGATTTTGAAATTTAAGAGAAAACCTTCCATCTTACAAAGTTTATTGCAGCCTTACTGATTTTATAACTAAAAGTCAGGGCATCAGGCAGAATACATCAAACATTGTAGTTGTGCTCAAAACACAAAACAAAAATGAAATATATTTACAAAATTGTTATAATAAAATATAAATCTTCTGTACTTTTATGAGCTGTCATAAAATATGAATTTTTCTTTCATTTATAGCAAGCAATCGGAGTTGATCAATAATTATTTACATTTCAAAAATAGTTCATAAAATAATACTTCTCCTACACTGAACATGAATTTAAATATTAGCAAACACTAAAATACCTGCATTCCTTTCCATCTAGGAATAAATCTTAAAGGACGTAATGCCCTAAGAAGTTTGACACTTGTTGCACCATGCAATTGCCCAGAAACCGAAATGAGAATTATTTCAAGTACGGATACCTGCAAAAGGAAATTTTTTTTTTTATAAATTGATATTAATTTTGCAGATAATTCATATTAACAATAAATAGATTGTATACTAGTTGACTTTACGTTGTAGTTTTTTTCCCTCTTTATTCATATTTTATGCACTATATTTATTATGGGGAAGAAATATTGCATTTCTGCACTTTTTCTACACTTTATTTTTTTAAATATTATTTTTATTTATTTATTTTTGTGTTAAAAATATGCAATGCTGAAAAGCATATCAGTAATAATATTACACACTTTATATTTTGAAAGTTTTAGGTTAAAGTAATACTTTAGAGGAAATTTCAACATTGAATATAAGAAAATATTATCTACTGATACCAACTGGCATAATAAATCTTTGCTACTAAAAAAATTAACACAACACAAAAAATAAAGTTTAATTTTGAAAGCTCCAGAATTTGTTTCTTTATTTCTTTTTAAATACAAAGTTTTATAAGTAGGAAACATTGAAATATTAAAAGGTACGTAGCCATTTGAAGAAGATTAGTATTTGTATAAACTTTAAAAAAAAAAAAAAAAAAAAAAAAGAGAGAGAGAGAGAGGAAGAAGCTTTGGCAATTGAACAAAATTTTTTATTTTTTTATTAAAAGACAAAAGCAGCTAAAAAAACAATAAAACTCTCTGACAAGATAAGGTAGTTTAGTCTTTATAAAAATTTCAAGAAGATTTTAGTAATTTGTAATGCATGTAATTTTGAGAATAAAGTATGTCACAAAAAATACACATTTCTGATTAATTTTAATGTTTCAAAAGATAACAGTGAAATAAAAATGTGTATAATAAATGATACAGAGAGTAATATAAAAACGTAATTAAAAATAGTAAAAAAAAAAAAAAAAAAAAAAAAAAAAAAAAACCCGAAAGGGTTAAGATTTTAATGATCACCCAAAAGCTTAATTTAACCATTTGATAACATAGGTGAATATGCATTTAGACACATGGGAATATTACCCCAAAAATATTCAATAAAATATTTAATGTTTTGAATTAGATATGTGGTGAATTAAATACATTTTCATTTAAATCAATCACATTAAAAAGTAAACTGCATTTATTAATTTTAAAAATTTGTTTGTTATTTAATAACACACAGATTAAATATGAAAGAATAATATTTTACATTTTTCCAAATGGCAACAGATGCAAATGAAAAGTGAAACAATGTAAACTCATGTTCCCAGACTAATAGGCCTTTCCTGCTAAAAATAAAATTTATTTCTATTTATACTGAGGCTTTTTATTTTACATCAAACAGCTTCTAAAAATTACACTGATTTATACATTTATTTCAGAAAGCTATGACCAATGTTGGAATGAATGTTGAATAGTCACTGAGAACAGAATTTCACTCAGTCTGAAGTTCTAATTCACTTATATTTCAGAATGAATTTCAGTCCTTGTGAATGTGAATGAGTTTTAACAACTCAAATAATTCAAGACTAAAACAGTTTTTACAATATATAAAAATGTGAACCTGAAATTGTGTCTTGAAAGACTTCAGCAGTTGCTTGAAACCAAAATTTTGCATTCATATAATACTACCAATTTGATATTATACAAAATAATAAGATATCATTTTATCATCATCTTATTTTAATTGAAAAAAATCTGATAACTTAATTAGTTCAATATAAATTTCAAATTAGTCAACCTGCCCCCTATACTTAGCAGATATATGAACAGTAAAAAAATTAATTTTTTTTTCGTATATTTGATAATTCAAGGGAGATTTTCATACTTCATACTAAAAACTATTCAATGCTAAAAAAAACTCATGTATTTTTTAATATAAAAGACAGATGAAGCCAATCCAGATACACAAAATATGCAGAATTAGGATCAAGAAATAATCATACAGAGCTTCATTAAAGGCACTTTTTAGAAACTTAAAAATACTTTTTTGTCAATTTTTCTTAGACTAATATAAAATAATTATCATATACAGTATATACAGATACACAGAAGACTGTCAAATAAAAGAAATGGTTATTCTATATAACCTTAACTAAAATATATACAGTTTGGTTCAACTAATTTTAATTACCTCAAAAACTGATAGAAAGCAGACTAATTTTTAACTTTGACCAACTAAAAATATTTACAGAATAAAATAACCTAAGTTAGATGGCAATACAAATGAATACGTTTTTTAAACATAACTTACAATTTTTATGCAAAGTGGTAGTACTAAGTAAAAATTTGAGAACTCTTTATACAGGCATGGACTTTGTAACATTACAAAGCATGACCTATTATTTGGAAAGAATAACATCACAGTAAAGCAAAACCTGATTCACAGTATAAAGAAATTTTACGTTAATTAATAAGTGGCAGGCTGGACATTTTCATGCTTAAATTTAAAATACTTCAAGTCTAAAAGTAAAAGTATGATTTCATTTGAATTTCCATAACTATAAATTCTTACATATATATTTTGAAATTAATAAAGAAAAAATTCATACCAAAACTATAATGAAGTCGAAAACTGTCCATGCATTTGAAAAATACTTTTTAAATCCAATTCCAGTCACTCTTAAAAAAATCTCAAAAATAAACATGAAAGCAAAAGTAAAGTTTAAAATATTAACAATTCTATGCTGTCTGGGATTCATTTCGATATACATATCATCAAAAGCCTATAAAAAGAAATACATTTTATTTTCAACTAAAAGCATTTATATAGGTTATCTTATTATGATCACATATTTTCTTTGTAAAAATATTTTTTCAAGTGATATTTTGTATATTAAACTTATGGAGAGAATATACCTCAATTTTACTACATGACTAAATCTCTCTTAAAAATTTGTATTATTGGCACATAACTGCAACATCAGAAATGATTCAAACAAATCAGATCTTCAGGAAGAATAATTTTTTTTTTTTTTTTTTTTTTTTTTTTTTTTTTTTGGTGTGTGTGTGTGTAAAAATATAAAATTTGTATTTGCATCCCATATTAAAGTAAGCAGTCCCAGTTGGAAAAAGGGGGGCAGACATTATCAGTGAGCAAAAATGCTTTCCATAACATAAATATATCTCCTAGCCATGCAAAAATCCATCTTCATATGATAAAAAAAAAAAGGCCCAAGATATTAACTAGAATTTTGAAAGAACGTATACAAATAGTGCAGAAGAAAGTTATGCACATGAAATTTTCAAATACAGATTTCGAAAGGTACTTTCTAGTTTAGTAAATCGTTAATTTATAAATGACTGAATTATTATTTGCAGTAATGCTAAAATTTGAAATTTTTTAAAATAAGATTAAATTATTATTTAATCACTATAAACCAATGTTTTTTTATATTTGGTAAAAATGGTTTGCCATATAATTTTGATAATTTTTTTTCTTGCCATAAAATTGTGTTAAACTTTAAACTTCATTCACTATATCAAAGATCATTAATTGCTTTCAAAAGGTTTCAATTGTTGTGAATCACAAATTGAATTTACGGTTTTAATTTTTTTTAAAGAAACAGGTAAATGAAGACTTTGACATTCTAATGGTTGACAGCCCCCCCCCATATGTGTCGTCGACAATCTTTCACCCTTGGTTTCATTCATTGCAATGCCCCACCATTACCATTATATGATGCACCCAATTTTTAGACAAGAGATTTTTTAATAAAAAATGCATCTTATACACTGGAATAATATGGTATATTGTAAAAAGTTTAAAGAGTTATTTTGGAATTACGATCAATAAAATATCACTTACTCATGACATTTTGTGGAACTTTGGATTTTCAGAGAAAAACCCGAAATCCTCGGAGGGTTAAAAGGAAACATTTAATAGAATTTGACCCTAAACCTTATGTAAAGATGTTTCTGAAAAATCATTGCTTGACCTTAAAAGTTCCTAAAAGATCAATTGAGGTGAAAGAAGAAAATACAATGTAGCAGCTTCTTATAATTGTGTTGCATAATTAAATTTATTCATTATTTTATGTAATTTCTGTAATATTTTATTTAAAAATATTCCCTTGTTCCTGCACGAAATGAAAGTGAGTGCAATGTGAAAAATAAAACATGTAATTAGAATTTGATTTTTGTTTTAACGAAGTGCAAGCCCTTTATTAAAATGGTCATAGCTCACCACTGGGCAGATATTCAGATAAGCAGTAAAAGGGGTAATCTGTACACAGATAATTTGGCTTCACTGTTATTTCAGATCTTATCAATTCACTAGACTAAAAGTGCATTTAAAAGTAATTTTCCTTGAGATATTCAAAATATTTCATCAATATTTGAAAATGTTGTTTTAATGCATTTTCTATTTGAATCACTATATGTTGTTAACCAAACTCTAACAAAAGACAAATGTGGATAGTTAGAGCTACAATTAGAGGTCATGTAACAAGGGTAGACAAATTTTTGAGTCAGCAAGAGCTCATGAAAGAATTCAAGAATACTCAAAAGCTGCAACTATACCTTTATATGTTTTTAAATGCATCTACATTTTTTTAACACATAAAATTAGTGTTTGCATTTTTTAAAAATCTAAACTGTTATTAATAAACATGTTGAAACAATACTTTATGACTATTAAACTATTTAAAAATAAGTTGTAAACTTATCAGTGTTTTCATAATATATAATTATTCGGATTTTCCAGACAGCAAACATGTGGTCCAACACAGTACTAACTACAACAGAACATCGCACATATTGCACAGAACAAAATTATTCACATTTAATTTCCTTTGAACAATTAGTGATTACACTTAATTTGAAATTATTTAAAATTATTACGCACACAACTACTATGTTCAATGATCATATCTTATCAACTACAGGTGTAATCTGTCATAATGTAATTTAAGAAAACAATTTTTTCACAAATGGTCCTGTCAGACAAATGGAAGGTTTAGAATTCCACATGAAGAAACATACAGATGAAAGGGAAGCTTTGAAGACTAATAACTATATAAAATTTCAGGTTTTGGAGATAGTGAATCATAATAATTGAGCTCAGTATCTGATGTGACTTCTGATATAGCTGACTCCTGTCATTTGTGTTTTCTTTGCTCAAGCTACATACGATATTTGATATTTAAAATAATTTATGCTAAGCTCACAAAATATAATTCTTTAAACAAATTCCCACTAATAATATACTGCTCTTGATAACATAAGACTTTCATTTTAAATTACATTATAAACCAGATTTAGGATAGTAAATAAATAATACTAAATTTGAAAAATACCAATAATGCCTATATATTTTTTTATCTTTAATTAATCCATTTTATTACAAATTGAAAAGAAAGAGATGAATTTAAATAACATCATCCATGCATTTCACACACACACACACCCCAAAAAAAATCAGCACGTAATATAACAAGAATACATATATCAAATATTTGTTTAACAAAATGCAGAGCTAAAAACTGTTTTTGCAATTAAAAATTATCAACCATACCCATACTTTATATTATTTATTATATTACTCACCATTACAACACAGCTTCCCATTATTATCACTGTTGCAATACATTCAAACGCAATGCTTTGCACCATTTTTTCCAAAAATTGTGGTTTAGTACTGCATCAAAAAACAACAGAATATTAAAATTAAGTCTATAATTAATTAAATAAATGTAAATAATTTTTGTAGTTCATTCATAGAAATCCTTTATTAATTCACTTCCCACACCTCAAATTTTGCTAATAGAACCTTGAAAATTGTTTTTCAGTTTCTTCTTGTTTCAAGATTTAATAAATAATACAATGACCCAATCACTATAATGGTGACAATAACGATTACATAGAATTACTTTCGGTTGGATATTATATTTGCAGGCCACAAAAATGATCCGAAACTAAAAGCATTTGAAAATACTGATCTTTCTGCAGTATGTGTTAATTTTAATTTATTGCATTCATAATAAAATTGAAAATAAATATTCAGATTTTAGCTTATTTTAGGAAAATGTTTTCAATTATATTTGGCATGAGCATAACCTATAACAGATGCAGTTCTTCAGATATCGCATTTAAAATTTTAAACATATTATGACATTATATAATTTGTTCATCTAAAATGTTCTTGATTTAGGAATCAATACATCATGTTTCTCACCATTGCCCCTCCCTCTGATTTTTCATGCACAGCATGATAAACACTGTAGAGAATTAAAGATCTTAAGCAGAACTAGTCAGTTAGTTTTGTTTATCATCTCAGTTCATTTATTGCTGGAATGGAAACTGTATAAAATCATAGAAGTCCTGAAAGACCATCATTAAATAAAAACATTATTTAACGATGGACATGAGTGATGTTTACACTAAATGTCAACCTTAAAAGATGAAAAACAGAGAGGTTTCCCACTGTGTGAAAAGGCAATTCTAAAAGAAATCAAAAGTGACTTAAATTCATCATGCATGATTTGAGTTATTGAACTTGCATTTATAATATGATTCAAATGTAAAATATGTTAATATTTATTACATATTCTAAATTTTATGTTCTTTGACTAGTTTTATTTTGTAATTTTCTTTTCCTTTTTTATTGATAAAATCCTGAGAAAGAAAGAAATTTTTTTATTTATTTTATTTATACATTTTATTTCAGATGTCAAGTACTTTTAAATATGAGAAAAATAAGAGAAAAATAAAGTTGATAATTAATGTACATATTATTTTGTGGATAAACTTTATAATGCACCATTTATGGACGTTAAACAAAATTCAATATAAAAATTAACCGATTAAACACTGAACCTTAATAAAAAATTATACAAATGACTACAGATTAAGACAATTCAGATAAAATAAAATTTGATGACAAAACCTATGCAGAAAACTACTATAGGTAGGGAAATTAAATCTGTACAATTTAAGTTTAATTCAGCTGCCCAGACATTACAGTGGTTAGGGAAGCTGGCTGCGATACAGAAAGGTTTGGGTTCGAATCCCGGGAAGGCATGGTTGTAACTGTCCATCACTTCATGGGAGGCTCAACAATTAGGCGCTTCCATAATAAAGTGATTACCGCTTCTGGCCTTAATAGTGGCCAATGCCTAACAATGACTTATGCCTGCCATTGGGGGGGGATTTAATTCAATAAATTTCATTTACTGTTGGAAAAGATTTTCCTCATTAAAGTCTAAAAATTAAAAATCAAGAGATCCAGTGAATTATACAAAGGCTAAAAGACACGATGAAAAACTGGGAATCTGCTGGTAAAACTGGTAGAATTAGCAGCTGTGAAACATCAATGCATGCAAAACTTACAAATTTGCCTTCTGGCAAGGTTTCCCATAGAATGCTATACAGCCATTCAGCTATGATTATTAACATTTACTTAGCTCTTCTTTGCTACATTCTGTCAACAAACACTTTGTCACTGCAGTTTTCTTTCATCAGACAGTTGCTGAACTTTATTAGAGGTAATCCTGCAAATATTCACTGTTGTTTGAAATATCAGAAAAATTCTTTCTTCATCATTCTTGTCAAAAAAAAAAAAAAAAAAAAAAAAAAAAAAGAGTTTAGCAACTATTAATCCTTTTCAAATGAGCTGTATTAGAAACGAAACCAACACTTTATATTATGAAAACCTTTTTCGTTTTTTTTTTCACTCTGAAGGAAGCAAAAATTTTATGAAAACATTATACATTATATAATTTACAACTCAATCTGAAATAAGAAGATAAGTTGAAGCATAAATATTTTATCAGGAGAGACTAGTAATGAAACATAGGACAGTAAAATGAATAAAACAGTAAAGTTATAAATAAGATAATACTCAAAAGAAGTAAAACACCTTTAATTTGATCAACCATTTAAGCTAACATTCAGTTTCTTCAAATGAGATGAAACATCCAGAAAATTCAACAGCAGTAGCACCAGCAGATGTTTCATTACAATCAATTAGCTTATTTGAATATGGCAAAGCACACACACAACGGATGCATTTATAAAGGTCTTTCTTGTATTCACATTACATATAGGCAAAACCATGAAAAACAGCTGCAGTTAGTCCTTTCCTGAGTTCGAACCGGTGTCAAACTACCAATATTCAGCAGTTTTACCTACTTGACCACTGAAGGAGCCTTAGGAACAACTGGATGAAGTTTGTTAATGTAGTAATTAATGTGGATGATCATTTTGTATAGTAATATATACAGTCCAGACAATATAAGTCCAAGATCCGTACTCGTTGGGGCTTTAGTGATCCCGGATTCGGGATTTTTCCAGATGTAAGATCATCAGTTTAAATCTATTAAGGTGGCATGTAAAAAAAAAAAAAGAACTAAACTCAGTGGCGCAACAGACTTAGTAGGTCACGGCCTGCAGTGCCCCGAAATCTGCATTCTTGAGCTTGGGCTCTGGAGTGCATCAGCATATGCCCTGGGCAAGTGGTCAGCAGATACAAACCTACAGAGTCAAATTAGTGCTCACACAAATTCATAGTAAAATGATTGTTTTTCAATCATGAGGTATTTCATTTAGTGCCAAAATGAAATTAAGAATTGGGACTCTTCTTCGCATGTCTTATGTGGGGGGAAAATTATGCATGCATAAAGCATAAAAAAAATATGCATAATATAAAATGCACATGCGTAAAGCCTACCAAAAAAAAAAAATACTTGAAAAAAAAGTTGGTGGTGGCTTGCTTTGAGATCCAGTTTTTAGATCATTCTGGAAATTGAACGTCTGGATCTTGGACTTTGTGCTGCATACATATATATATGAAAAGTTGCCTATTAACCCTTTGTGGTGCATTATACTTTAAAGTCAGAATTTCAACAAAAAAAGTTGTATGCAACTATCTAGTCCTAAAGGAGTATACAGGTAAAACTTTGTATAAATTGCACTTACTATTTTAATTCTGTAGGTGTTCCATAAGGTGGAACACTGCACAGCCAGAGATTTTAAAAGTGCGACTAAGCGAGCATTGCATGTGAAGCACGGAAATGAGTAGGAGCATTTTTATAGTAATATAAAAACACTGTATTATGGCTGTATACATGGTTTTCTGAATATACACAACATTCTTGAATAAATATGGATAAAATGAGATAAATATATGTATGCATATACACAAGTCGTATATACAAAGATATTTACAAAATTTTTGATTTCTTAGCTTTGTGAAATTGTTCAAAGCATGTTGCACCTTTTTGATAGAAGCACAAACCAACTTTGCAGGTTTTGAACACAAAACTTGTTTTCTGCGGCTTTTTGTTTCATGCAACAATATGTTTAGGATTCCAAGTAAAAACTTGAGGCTGCGTAGAGGGGCCTGGGTAAGATCCTCAACCTTCTGATCAAATAAATGAGTTTCATCCGACATATCACAATAGGATTATACAAGTGGTTCAGGAGCATATATCTCAGTATCGCTGCTATCTTTATGCTCTGTATCATAATAAGAGGGTAATTCATGAAGCACTTTTAGCGCTTTAGTAAGAGTTAGACCTCTCTGTGCCACTTATGAAAAATTAATAATAAAAAATTAACTACTATTAATGTTAACAGTAAAGAAAAATAAGCTATAAGATATACAAACACAAAAAATATCTACACAATTACTGAAAATAAACTGGAGACTAAAAAGGGACAGCAAAAAATTCATGCAGTTCCAAGTAAAGATGACTCGAGCTACTGATAAAAATCCTGCCTGAAAATTGCTCACAAAAATTTCAAGATGACCATATTAGGGCTTTCATAGCACAAACCACATCTCAGCCCTCAAGACTGCTTTGTCTGAATTCATTCCCCCAAAACAACATAAACAGATACAACAGATGTTTTCTAATAAGACAGATGTTGTGATGCAATAGCATGAGATCGCTAAAGGCGCAGTGTTCCTGCTAATGAAACACCCCATTTTATTCAATGATTCTGCGCATGCTTTTTGTATGAAAAATTAAAAAAAATATACAATAAATAAAATACAGCCATCAAAATTATACATAAATCGTTTTTCAAACAAATGTTTTTTTGTATCACCAAAAAAATATAGAAAATTACTAGAAAGTAAGTAGATTTTAATTACACATCATTTATCTATTTAAAAAGAGAAGTTCGAAGTATATTATAAAGGCATCTTTATCCATTTATGGTTGAATTTAATGGTTTCAGAAGCGATTCAAGTTGGGTGTTCCATGTAGTGGAACACTGAGCACCAAAGGGTCAATGTGAACAGTGAAAAAATGCCCATTAATATGAACTCTACATCTTTAATTTGGGCATGACAAAACAGCTAATGCTGGTTCCTCTCTCTCTCTCCCCCCTCTCCTAAAAAACTGTCATATCTGCCTTTCTAGTGAATGAAATAACAGAAACAAAGCAATAGGGGGGAAAACGTCAGTACAAACTACCAGTGCTTAGCAATCTTATCTACTCAGCCAATGGTGACACATTGGCAGAATGAGTTTTGTTGAGTCATTGGGAGCACATGCTACTATGAAAAGTTGTGTATTAGTTTCAATGTTATTATTATTATTTTTTTGGGGGGGGTTAAGGCAAAAATTATAATTTAATTTCATCATTAAATTTCTAACATTTTGAAAAGTTATTGTATATTATTTCAAAATTTTTAGCTATAACAGATAAATCAAATTACAGAATGAATAATTTGAAATAACTACACTTGAACTAATAAAATATGTTTCATCACATGAAATTTTAAATTGTAAATATCTCATTTCATAGTTTAATTTTTTCCCAGGAATATAGTAAGCAATGAGGAAATCATTACGCTGCTTTTATTAATGGCATCTCTGTTTGCATTTATTGTTTTAATTTCCTAGTCTGAAAACATGGATTATCTATAGAATAAACTACACCCAGTACTACACAATTTTACACTTAAGTTATATTTTAATTCAAGTACAGTGGGCTCTCGTATAACATGCTCCCATTAAATGTGAATCATAACAACAACATAAATGTGAAAAAGAGGCCAAGTTTGGGAGAAACGATGTTTGGTGTAGTAGGTGTTACCAACAAAAGATTTGTGATCTAATGGATGGCAAGTTCCATAGCAGTTCCTTTAATCATAGCCGTAGGAATGTACACTGTTTTTCAATTCATTTAAAAAACAATTTTTTACTTTCTTTGACAATGGATTTCTAACTTGGCAAGTTTTAATTGCCAATTATGTTAAAAAAATTTGACTTCTCCAATTAGAAATTAACTTGCCAAGTTAGAAATCTGATATCAAAGAAAGTAATAAATTGCTTTTTGAATGAGTTGAAGAATGTTATTAATTCCTACAGCTATGATTAAAGGAACTGCTATGGAATTTGTCATCCATTAGATCTCAACTCTTTTGCCAGTGACACTGATTACAGAGAAGAATGTTGTTTCTCCTGTAGTTGGCTTCTTTTTCACATTTATGTTATTGTTATGATATCATTAATTTTTGAAAAGCTAAATTAAAGATTATGTTCTTATTTACACACTTAAATGAAAAAACGTCAAAACAAATAGGTGACCTTCAATTTTTTTCCTTGTGTTTATGCTGCACTGGTTTCTTTTTATGAAAATGAAATTAAAAACTTTACAAACTTTTTATTAAATGAAAAAGCATCTAAACAAATACATGACCTTCAATTTTTTTACCTTGCATTTACACTGCACATACTTCTTTTTATTAGCAATTTTTATATTTTTCCATAATGGTGGAAATGTTGTGTTCATGCTGCACTGGTTTCTTTTAATTAACAATTTCTGTATTTTCTACAATGGTGAAAATGTTGCAGCTACGGCACATTGGTTGCTTATCGTCAGCAATTTCTATATTTTCCATAACAATGGAAATGTTGCTTTTATGATGCACTGGTTTCTTTTTATTAGCAATTTTTATATTTTCCATAACAGTGGAAATGTTAGAGTGCATTAATTGTGGGAAATGTCAGAGTGCGTTATTTGTGACTCACTGTAAACAATAATTATCAAATTGTTGACATTACCCATCAGTATTATTTGGTTTAACCTCAATAATTATGTATTTTTTTGAAGTTATAGACTTTTAAAGGGGTGTAAAAATGTAAACAATAAGTTTAAACAGCTATTTTTAATTATTAAACAATATAAATGATAAAATCTCATTTATAGTATACATCTACATTTCCTTTTTTTACTTTCTATTGCTTTATTCACATGTATGGAACAGCAGTAGTTAGTTTATCCCAGACCTACTACCAAAATGAAAAAAGAGCCAGTCCTGCACTCTACTTTTGCACTATCATTTCATCAATTACAGACAAGTTTTTATTCTTCACTTTCAGCAAATTTGATTAGCATCTGAGAGGGGCGGAAACCGGCGATCAGTGCAATGCATCTATTGGTGATGTTGCCAAATGCTCAATACGACTATTATTTGGTTTATCTCAATAATAATGTAGTTTTTTGAAGTTTTAGATTTTTTTTCTTTGCATATGTCTAATGATCTACCTTGACACCAAAATTCAATTCCATAACTATAAGAGGTACATTAATGAAATATGGCATTCTAGGTGTTCAAAGGAGCTCTATTAGACATATAAAATTAAGACTGTAGGTCTAATAGTTTTTGAGTAATTGGGGGGGGGGTCAAAAGTATCTTGAAATGGTTTGTGGCAGATACACATGGCTGGTGTCTCACTGTTTTCTTTTCCGTCTGTTCCGAACTTGGCTGACACACTGCCTGTCTAAATTTTATAATGCGATGAAAAAATAGTGACTAGTACTCATACAGTGCGATAAACAGTCTCATATGATGCATAAGATTAATTTAATACTTCTACATAGTTTCTGACTTTTTTGTTTAGAAAAGTAAATTTATTCACTTACATGTATTTTATATTATATAAACAGTGAAGCTGACAGTTTAAAGTAAGTAGAGGGTTTATATTATTAGAAAAAAAAAAAAAAAAGGAAAAGTGCATTATATGGGCATCCACACACATTTAAAGATACAGGAGTAAAATAATTTTAGTATTCAACTTTTAATAAAAATATGTGATTCACTATTTAACATTTATTCACTATCAGAAGTATTGATAAATAAATTCCAATGACATTGTCTTGTTGATGTTGATTGTACAGTTTCATTGTTTGATCAGTTCATAGTTTCATGTTGATTGTTATCATTATTTTTTCTCCATCATTTTTAGATTGAAAATATGGTGATAGACAATTATTCAATTTTCTGTTAAATTTCATAAACCACTCTATTGAAGAATCAATTTTTATAAAAAACGTCTTTGGCAATTTGTAACCCTTTATTTATATTTTCTAAACTCAAAGGTTGCTTAGACCCATTAAAAGTATGGACTGAGTTTTCCTCCTCATTACTAGAATGAGAACTACGTCACAGCATCTGAGATTGGTCTAATAAAGTATGTACAGTATAATGTGATTTTCTATTATGTGGAGTAATTATTCCTATTACCTCTGCATTGTATGAGAGTCTACTGTACTTCATTTTCATTACTATCTAATATTTACAATAAATAAATAAATAAATAAAAATAAAAAATAAATAAATAAAATTTCTTTCTATCAAAGGCCACATTTTTTAGCTATTTTGAAGTTCAATAAAACTCCAATTTTTAACAAATTTATACATTTTATTTCAGATATGAATGGTTTCTTCTGGAAAAAGAATCGAAAAGATACACAAAACAGAATCAAGAATGAGACATTCTAACTAGAGTGTTTCAGAGACAAGCTATTGTTTACAGATTACAAACACATATTCACAGTTCATTCCCCCCCTCAAAAATCCAGTTTCTGAAGAGCAACAAATATAAAAATATTATATTTACAATAATGGACAATTTAGCTTCATGCATTACTTAAAAATGATATTTTCCCCTTTAAAATGAAAATACATGTACCATCTTTTAGATGAAATTTCCTTTCATGAGTAAGTAATCTTTTTTTGTTTTTTAAATCAGTTACCAGTGAATACATATAAGTCCCTATATTTTGAGTATCGGTCATAATAGTGATTAGAGAGTCACCCCCTTTAAAATTTTTTAGAACTTGGTTTATGTGTACTTGCCTATATTGTGTCCAAATATATTAAGCCCTTTTCCAAACTACTTGAATATATTTATGTTGTCATTTTAATCTTTTTCATATACATTCACACTTTTAAAGTAATTTTAGATAAGCTTATATTATAATACTTCAGTGAACTTTAAATAGCTCAGAACATCCCAGATGCCTATTATTAAAAATATTTTACAATTAAAAAAATATAATGTTTAATCTCACTTGCTATTTGAGGTTCCAGAGGGTGCTTGTGAAGTGTTGGCTTCAGCATCATTGATTTCCATCATTTTCTGAAGTTCTTTTTTCTACAAAAACATTCCAGAATGTAAACATTAACTATATTTATTTCTTTATGTGTTCATAGGAAGACCATTAAATAACTAAAAAAAGAAATGTTTCAAAAGTAACATTTATGCTGCATTACCTGGCTTAGAAAGAGGTTTGAGCAGGAAAAGGGAAAAATAAAATCAGCTATATTTAATAAGAGATGAAAGCAGCTTCTAATATGACTGAAGTTAATTGTGCAAAATGATTACAAATTAACAATGAAATAAAAGAGCACAGGTTTATATTTCAGATTAATGTCTAACTCAGGCAATAAAACATCTAATTATGAATAAAAATTCACTCAAGAACAATAGTTGCACATTCAAGACAAGCCTAATTAAGAAAGAAAAGTAAAAAGGTGAGCATAAAAATTTTAAATAAAAGGGGAACATGGAAAATATGTGATTAATTAAGAAAATACATTTTTTAACTAAGACCAAGAAAATTTTGAGATTATTTATTGATTCTCCTTCTTGCATGGAAGTAAATATAGCTGAAGTACTAACATAAACAAAAGCGAAACTTAATCTGCCCAGAAATTGCTTTAAAATGACTTACAGATAACTATAAATACTTACTAAAATATTTTTTTTTCCAATGGCAAATTGTGAACAGTTACAATTTTGTAACACAGTCCATTAATCTAAGGCCAGATGTGGTGGTTTCTTTATTATGGAGACACCTAATAAGTGGGCCACCATTGCCACCTATGAAGGGGACAGACAGTTACAACCATACCTTCTCCGGGATTCGAACCCAGGCCCTTCGATATCGCAGTCTGGCCCCCTAACCACTATACCGTATGGGTGGCACTTAATACTTACTTACTACAATATACTTCAAGAAATAATGGGGGTATATATATATTGTAAATAATAATATATATACAGGATGATTAAAAAGTAATGTAGCGATTACAAATGGCTATAACTATATAAATGAAAAGAATTATACAGAATGTAGAAAAAAAATTCAGACTATGCAAGGGTCAGAAATCTAGTTCGTTGTGGCCGTATCATAAATGAATTTAACAAGTATCATTCTGTCATCACAGTGCAGAGAAGAGGTACAGTCAAGCACCTCCAGATGCCAACAACATACGCAGATGGCATAAAATGTTTGAACAAAAAGGATGTTTGTGCAAAGCAAAAAAAGTAAGCAAAGTGTTACAACAAATATTTACCTTAACATGGCTTGAGCAATGGCTAATGCCATAGCTAGATACGGATTCTACAAATTACATATTTCAGCAAGATGAAACATTCCCACATTGGAGTATGGAGGTTTACACATTTTTAAATCAACATCTTCCAACAGGTTGGATTGGTTGAATTGCAGATGCCGCTCATGTTTCTCTTGGCCACCTAGATCACCCTGTGATTTCTTTCTACGGGGTTATGTGAAAGACTTATATACGTGGTTCCTTTGCCCAAAACAATTCCAGAACTAAAAACACTCATTTCTAAAGCACTTGTAATTGCCGACTCCAGATATGCTTCAGAACGTATGGCTTGAAATGAAATACAGCTTAGATGACACATAGAACATTTATAAATCTTGAAAACATCTGGCTAATACTTGCAGAGAGGCTGGCAAGACAAAAACCTATCATCAATTAGTATGAAATTTGAATTTTGGCACAGAAATGAAGCTGTGTGAATAACTACCACTGAAAGTCTGCCCAACATCATGTCCAGCCACATAACAGATGCTACTCTTGTTAGAGGCATATGCTCAGTATACTGATTTCTGCATGTTCAATATCTCAAAATCATCTGAAATTTTATTCATTCATCCTTTCTTTGTAATGTGTATGCAAGATAAATATGATTCTGTTAATAGCTTTCTCTTAAAATATAGCAGTTTTAATGGCCAGTGGGAGATATACAATTTACTATAAATAACACACTATATTGCTTTATTTATGCTAATATTTATTGTTAGAATAAAATTTAAAACATATTTTAACATTAAAAATACATTTAAATGTATTTGCAAAATACTAAGAATACATTTTATTAAGAATTAATCTATCAAAAGGAAATTTTAAAACTAAGTGTATAATTGATGCCTGGTAGCTCAGCATTTTCCCTTTGATGACCTCACAATTTTAATATTAAAAGAATGTTAATAGTAATAATAAAAGAAGAAAATGCTTACCTTTTTCTCACAACATATGCTAAAAAATTTGTAGCATTTCTGAAACATATTCTTCATTAATTCCTTTTGCTATAATAAAGAAAAATATAATTTTACCAAAAATGTTTGCCTTTTGAAGTAAAAAAAACTTAATATGCATGTATATCTTATTATATAAATAATAAAATGTTAAGATATTAAATTATCGTTAGAAAATACAAGGTTTTAAAAATAAATAGTTTTGAAGCCTCTTGACCATAAATTTGTCCCGTTTCACAAATCTAGAAATATTTGTAAAAATCCCATATTTTAATTAAAATACAGAGTGATAAAAAATTAATATATACTTGAATACAATGACTGCATTATAGGACTGCATTTATACATATATGACTGCATTTATTATATATGACTGCATTTAAAATTTATATGAAGAAATTGCATACTTGAATGCAATTTCTTCATATAAATTTTAAATTCACGAATGCTAATCTGACAATACTTTTTTTTTTTTAAATCCTTTCATAGACCAATTAGCAGGACAGATTTACCAGATTTGCTTTTAGGTACATAAAACAGCACAAACTTATATGGCATTTTTGTATCATGATGTTTTCAGAAGAAGAATAAACTCAATCACTTATGATTTGGCAGAATTCCATGAGCTCTTAACCCCTCCATCTCTTAAGTTTTTCCCCCTTTTCATATGGGATGTGATGAAAATCATGACAGATTCAGATCACTTTTGCATGATGCATGGATAAAATATTGCTCTCGGAGAACGGATGAAAATTTTTAGAATTACTAGATTGAAAACAACAGTTGAGAACAAGATCCATGCTTCAATATGTGTTGGAAGAATTATGTGAATCAGTGTTGACATGTAATATAAATATATGTCAGATAACACTTCATTTTCTATCAACCTGCATAATATAATAGAACACCAAACATCTGCACTAACTTGGATTACAACCTCTCAGATATTAAAAAAAAAATACTGAATAATCAGGTCATCTTTCATTTATGAGTTAATACACTCACTCTAATGCAAATCATGAACCTGCATTTTGTTTATATTGTTAACAAACAAGCAAAGAAACAATATACTCTTAACTGATGGACTAAGGATCTCCTTCCACAGCAAAACAAATGCAGAGCACTATTCTAGATGTTGAAAATGGACAGATAACTGAATATTCTAACGACTAGTTTAGAATCATTTAGAAAGGCAAGAATCTATAAAAGAATGATCACCCATTCAAAAATATTAAGCTTTGGAGACCTTCAGCACTAAAATCAGAGATATGAATAGCATTTTGCGCAACATTACTGCAAGCAAGGTCTAAAATGCTATGCAATTTCACCTTCAAGAATTTGTGTGGGCAAATAATACAACAAATGACATGATAGATGCACTCAACAATATCCTGAAGGCAGTCAGTCTTCCCAGCAGTAAATCCCTCAGAAGACACAACAGCATCCAAGCAAACAGAGTCAGTCACTTAGTCAGCACTGCAGATGATACAGAATTCACAAAAGAAATACAGCAGATCTCTAAAGGACCTTCCTATAAAGAAAGCCCTTGGGTCCAGATGGTATAAATTACAAATAGTCAAAATTATATATAAAAGTTTTCTAATATTCTTCTACATTTTCTTCAACAAGCTTCTGAATACCAATTTTTTTCTCATTGATTTCAAAATCAGGCTTCCTAAAATGCAACAAAGACCCTTAGTAGCCCCGATTACTGCTTACCAATATGTCTCCCTTCAGCGCTAGGGAAAGTATATGAAAATATCTTTCCAACCAATTGAAGCATCACTGACACAAAGCCAACACAATCAAGCAAGCACCAATACAGTTTTAGAGAACGGAAATCTACCACACATGCACTCATGAAAAACTACATTCTAAAGAATAGACATAAAGGCTACCACACAGCCATTCTTAGCCTTGACCTTAAGAATGCTTTCAGTATCTTATATAGAGCAGCTATTTAATGTGCACTGAAACAAGCAAGATGTTCAGCAAACATATATCAAGCCATAACCAGTTGCCTCTCAAATCGTAAGCAGACTATCATGCATAACAGTGGCATTATACATTGCAAACAGACACAAGGATGCCCACAAGGATCATCTGCTGTCCAGTTTTGTGGAATCTCACCTTCAATAACATATTAATTACTACTTGGCCTGAACACACAAAAGTAATAGCTTACAAAGATGATATTACCTTCATAGTCCTGAGGAAAATCTGAAGATATATGGAACTCAAACCTCTTAGCAATTCTAAGATCTTCGCTGTTCCTTAAAATTGACTCTCTCAAAAGGCAAAAGAGGTAATCAAGAGCAGCACTAATTGGAGTCACCATCAAGGATAGCAAGTCAAAACCATGAAAGAACTAAAATACATGGAGCCTTATATAGGGATCAAAGACTGACCTGGATTCCCCACATTAAAGAACTTAAGCAATGTACTAGTCACACTATGCAGAAGTTCCAGCATTTCCAGAGAAGTGATTGGGGATTAGGCTTACATTCAAAAGATTCAGTTGTCATTGAAAGGATGGTCACATATGCTGCTTCAATCTGGGGTCGTGTCCAAGTAAGTCTAATACTACTGCATATTTGCGAGGAGTAAGAAGCAGTAATCCAATTGGCACTTCATCCTCATATTCTCACAAGCTTCTTAAATGGGTCAGATCATCCATACAATTATGATATGCCAACAACAATGCAACACGTTCAGCCAGCACTCAAAAGACAAGGTGGAAACATATATCTGCAACATCATAGCATCTCCAGCAATAAAGAATATGTTTTGTTGTAAAGTATTTTGAGTATCTGAAACTATGTAACAGAGAATAATTTTCTGAGCCTCAAGAGCTAGAACACTTTCCAAGGTTAATTGAAGTAACCCACAATATAATTTGTGCTCTTCATATGTAGAGATGCAAGACAATACCACTTAGCCTCTTGGTAGAGTGATAGTATCTCTGCCTCCTATCAATTATTTATTGTATTTTAGTTTAACAAAGTTATTCAGTTTAAAAAATTAATTTGATTTCTATAAAAAAAAATGCAAAACATATTTTTTTACAAAATTAAATTATAAAACAATTTTTTATTTGCATAATCACATAACCCATTTTTCACTCAACCCAAATAAAGCAATAAAATTAATTTTTGTTTGCATATTACTTAAAACTAAAAATTTTTTTCCCTACTGTACAAAAAATTAACAACAAATATTTTTAGTCAAAAAATATTAAATAATATATAACACATACTTGTATACACATACATATTATTATTAAATTAAAAACTAAGAAATAAATAAACAACAATTTTTCTCAGAAAGAACATGTGATCTGGATTTTTGATTGAGTCCAAATAACTATTTTACTGCATTTAATTACAAAAATTATTATTTCTATCAGATGTTTTTAAATTGCAAAACTACGAGTTATTAATATATGTAAAAAATAATTAGTATTATTTTTTAATAATGATTGTATAATTTGCTGCTTACTAGTTAAAATCACTGTCGCTAACCACTGGTTAAAAAATTAGAATAACAAAAACAAATATAGCATTTTCCAACTATAATTTTTCTGCTTTAAAAAATCAGGTAATTAAATTTTAAAAATAAATTTAATTTTTAAAGATTTTTGATTAAAAATGCAGAATTTTGAAGACAACCTATCAATGATTTAATTAAAAGAATGAATGGACTGAAATTAATAAGAATGTTCAGAGTGAAAAACAGAAAATGAAATGAAATTTCTTGCCAAGAAGATTGAAACTCAAATAAATAACGAGTTAAAAAAGAAAAGAAAAGAGGTAAAACATATGTGTCATACTTTTTTTATTTCATTGCACAATCTCATCCAGCCAAAATAAAGTTTTTTGTCACTTATCAATGGGAAATAGTTGTTGCAAGTTTAATATGTGAGAATCATGAATAATTTTACTTGGTTTTTACTTGTTAACTTATGATAGAAAAAAAATCATAGACTTGTTCTGGTACTATTTGCCACTGCAATTTCAAAAAGCTTGCCTTAAATACATGAATTTATGTCCTATATCTTGAATTTCAGGAAATCAATTCTTAAAACTACTAAGATTAATTCTTAACTTAATAAGCCTATTACAACTATCTGGGCTTTATTAAATGTTTCAATGCAGAATTTTAAATTCTTACATTTAAAATTTTTTGAAACTTTTGAGTTAATGATAAATGCTTGTTTGAATTATTTGGCTTCAATCTGCAGTTTTTAAACACTTTTCTTTTTCTTTTAATTTAATAAAATTTGAAATAAAAAAAAAACTTGCTGGGAAAAAAAGGAATCAATGGTTATCACCAAAATTAAACACTAAATATTCATTAATCAACTTAATTTAACTTTCTTAAAACTACTGCAATAGTTAGAAATATAAATAAATATATTTGATAAACAATTCTTTTTCCCATACGAATTCCTTACCTTGGAAGCAGAGAATTCGAATTCAGACATATTGAAGGAACTGAGAAGTAATGCTACAAAGAGACCAAGAATGATCAAATGTCCAATAAGATAATAGCTAATAATAATAAAAGGGCATAAAATAGATGTATTAGATAATCTCATGCAATTCCATAGAGGTTCAATCCATTCACCAGAAAATATCCTAAACACTGTGAACAAAGAGCCCCCAAAGGTAGCAAATGACCACCTAAAAACATTAACAAATGAAACGTACATAAGTATATTATTTAAATCATTATAAAGAAAGCAAAAGAAGAAAAACATACTAACATCCAAAAATAAGGAGTTTAATAAACTTATTATATTAAAGACTCTAAAGTTTTATTTTTGATATATTCTAGTTTAGTTAATCTATAAACAGAATTCAAGTCCCATTTTCCACACATCAAGAGTTTCATACACGGACAGGTACCAAATTTCATAAATCAATTCTATTGCTAAGTAAAATGCTACATTTTCACATAAAACTTTTACACATAGGATTAACTATTCTTAACAAATGATTCGCAAAATTTCATCTTTTTAATATTAAGTGAAATTGCACTATATCAGAGAAAGTAATTTTCAAAATTTATTTTCCATAAGTTAGAAGAATTCATAAATAAAAACATTACTATTCCTTAATTTTTTTTTTAATCAGTGCAATGTATTTCTATATTAGAGTTTCTGAAAAGTCTTAATACATACCTTTTTAAAGATTGCAACAGAATTTTGACATATATATATACAGGGTGGTTATAATTAAAGTGACCCTATTTAGACCCCTGTAGATCCTGTTCTGCCAATCCAATTTTTATGAAACTTGGTATATATGTTATATGGACTACGGAGAAAATATTTCTGCAATAAAAAAATAGTTCCAATTTTGACCACCAGATGGAAATTTTCAAAAAATCTTTATGCAAATTAGTCAAACCTATGAGAAACTTGCAGTCAGAGGCAGAAAATCATTCTGCGTGCCTTTGTCATCATTAATCACGCTCCAGAAGAAAGATCAAGCTTTTACTAGTAAAACTGTTTGATCAGAACGGCAGCAACAGTTTAGCTGCATTACGTGAATACCATCGTTTAAAGAGACTGCAAAAATAGGCCCATGTTGAAGATGATTATGAAATTTGAAGAGACTTGGGTGTGGCATCAGGAAGAGGGTGGAAACTGGTTGCGAATGATACTGTCAAAGAAGTCGCGACTGCTGTGGTTGAAAGAACCTCCAATTCCTGCTATTCTTCAGCAAGTGCTCGATCGGTGTCATGTGAGTTAGTGATTCCTTGGTTGACAGTATGAAAAATTCTGCAATCCATTTTAAAATGGTATCCATATAAGATCCACTTGGTGCAAATGCTGCAACTTCAAGACCACCAAGCATGCTCCGAATTTGCTTGCCGATTTTTGGCGAGAATGGATGCTGATGACACTTGGCTTTGGAAAATTCTATGGTCAGATAAGGCATACATTTCTTTACACAGAGCTGTGAATAATCAAAATTGCCCCATATGGGGTGCTTCTCCTCCTAATGTCCTGCACCAACAGTTTTATCCTCGGATCGTTTTTCTTTGAAACTCTCCCACCTCAAAGTCCTAAAACATGCTCTATTATGAGTACACAGTACAGTGAACTCCTTCGGCAGCAAATAATTCCTGCTTTACAGGAATGGCAATGTTTGCAGACCACTGTCTTTATGCAAGATAGAGCAACTTCCCACACTGGATGCCAAGTCAATGAACTGCTTCGTGCTAACTTTGGCAAGAATCGTGTAATATCTATAGTTTTCTGGATGCCTTGCCTCCTTGTTCATCTGACTTAAATCCCTATGATTTCTGATTGTGGGGATTCCTAAAAGACCGTGTTTATGGCATAGGAATTAGGACTTTGTCTGAGTTGAAAGCCAGCATTACACACCATCTTACCGAAATCCCTCGGAAGTTACTTCGTGCTACCATTGAACACGCTATAATGCACTTTCAATGTGTAATTGATGTCGATGGAGCACACATTGAGCACATTCTGTAATTTAATAAACTATAATGATTCTGACATTTTTTTTTTTTTTTTTTAAACTTCTTTAGGCAACACAATTCCCCCTGGTGGTCAAAATGTGAACTATTTTTTATTGCAGAAATCGTTTCCCTATGGTCCATATAACACATATACCAACTTTCAGGTACTGCCTAGGTACAGATCCTAGCCAGTAGCTTCACAGAGTTCTCTATGTCAAACCCCCGGGGGGGATGACACATAGAAAGCACTTTTCTATATGTGGTACATAAAAGAGAAATAAACAAAAAGAAAGTTTTATATTTATTTTTCCACTGTATATTAGGGATATTCCTTACATTAGGAGTTCTCAACCAGGAGTGCAAGGGAGTATATTAGGAGGTGCGAGATTTGGTTTAAAATAAATTAAATAATTGTTTTAAAATTACATGAACAACATTGATGAAATGCAAAATATATTTCAACATGGTATTGATGAGTTAGATGAGGGAATCATTTTAATTTTGGATACTTCAAAAAATGATTAATAACAATAAGTCTCTGATTTCAAATGTGTGTGAAGAAACTGTGAATCATTTGTACATATTAACATCATTTGAATGTTTTAAAGGAGAACTGAAATCTTCGGAAACATGGATCATAAACTCATACTGTTTCAATCTGATCAATCAAATGATATGACAGGTGATGAAGAACTGATGGAATATCTTTTAGAACTGCATGCAACAAGTGTTTTTGAAATGCACTTTGAAAGCAATACTTTGGAACACTACTAATGTTCGGCAATGAATATGTTTTCAAAAATTAATAAAAAGTCACTAACTGTGTTCATCTCATTTGCGACAACATACTTATGTGAACCTGGATTTAGTGCACTTTTGTTAATCAAAACAAAAGATGTGCAGGCAGATAGAGGAATTACTATTAACAACAAAGTGCTATGATTTGAAAAACTCTTATTCAATAAACAGGAACAAAAAGTTATTAATTATTTTTGAAAATATGTATACAAATCTTGGTTTTTGTAATATTTCCTTAGCTCCACATTTCATTTTTGTTTTTTAATAAAAAATTGATTACACAACTTTGTTTCCATTTTTTAGGACGCAAGAATATATTAAAATTTTTTTAGAGGAGCAGGACATGAAAAATGTTGGCAATCCGTGGCTTACAACCTAAAGTGAGATTTTTAGAAAAGCAGATTACCTGGGTAACTCTGCAGGATTATGATCATGATAATAATGGCCCAATACACGATTTCCAATTACTGCAAATAAAAAGATCAAGAAAAACATCACAATAATAAGACGAGCAATATTTTCTATTGAGTCTAAAACAACTGCTACCACTCTCTGAAGTGCAATCAGTGACACAAACTTCTGAAGCTTCACTAACTTTAACTGAAAATAAACGAATAATAAAAATTAGCTGAAAATATTTAAGTTATAATTTTAAATGAAGTACAAAGTTATCATATAAATTAATCCCTGTGAGAGTAGCATTAAGCAAAGAAAACAGCCTTTAAAAAGAACTGATTAAGAATTACGATACATTCATGCACACACACATATGGAAGGCATTCAGTAATTCTACCTGAGTATGAATTTTTGTATGTCCTTTCTGTTCTTGGGTCCACTAGCTTTTGCATGTCTAAAGATGCAGATCATCATATTTTTTGATCAGCTAATTAAAACTTTTGTAACACATGGTTGTGAAGTTATAACAAGCACATCTTTAAAACAGAAATGGAATATTGAAAAATATATTCAGTAATTCAAATTTTCGCAAAGGAAGGAAAGAAGCCAATAAGACCGAATGACTGCTATACTGATAACCATAGAATAGATCTTTGCATCATGAAACAAAATTCTGGATTAAGCATTTTAAATGAAGTAGGGAGATTGTTGAAGATAATCTTTGACCAGGTCAACTGGAGATTTTTTCAATGGAAATGTACAAAAAATAAGTCTATCATTATAAGGTCACAATGTGAAAATGCATGTTATTGCACACAAATTAGGCGTTTCAGTTGGCACAGTTTCTTCAATCATCTCTGATCATTTGATGATATAAAAGTGAGTTCTTAATGGGTACTGTAAATGCTGACAAAAGATCAATAGCTGTTTAGCTACAATCAGCAGTGAGACCAGTATTGGGTTCATGATTATAATCCATTCACCAAACAACAATCAACGCAATGGAAACATAAAGTGTTCCCAACTACAAAGAAGTTTCATGCACAACAATTTTCTGGTACATGGATGATGGCTTGCACTTTCTGAATTAAAGCCAAGTAAATCTACATTACTGGAAAATTCTACCAGCAGTATAACATCTCTCTGGAATACCATCACAAAGAAACACCTTGGCAAATAAATTTTCATTTAGTGTGCTCTCCTTTGTGACTATACACCTCAGCATGAATCTTGTGTGGCACAAGCTGCTATTAGAAAATGCAATTTTCAACAGCTTAATCATCCTTTCTACAATCCAGATACAGCCTTCATTTGCTATTTTTTATTTTGAAACTTGAAAAAAATGATTGTGGAGGCAATGATTTCTTGCTGCTGATAAGCTTAAAGCAGCACTGACTGCCTGGGTCAGTAGCCAAGATAGCTCCTTTTTTTACGAGAAAAATTCACGCACTCAAATCAAAAAAATGATTGAAATCATAAGAGATGAACTAAGCAGTGATAAATTAAAATAATTTTCACTATATAGTGTAATTTTAATGTTAAGTAGATAAAGAACTGAAAGTCCCTGTTATGCCTCTTGCCAAAGGAAGATAAAGAAAAAAGAAAACTACAATCAGATTCTTAAGATTCTGCTTTCATTCGATCTCACAGTAAATATATTTAAAAAATAGCTAATTTTAAATCTAATTACTTCTCCTTAACACTCTTTATACTACTTATAGTTATTATACAGGTGATTGAAAAAGTAGCTACAAGTATTCTTTCCTTCCCTGAATGATAATCTCAGACCTGTATTTATAAAATTTATCAAAAAAGGGCAGAAAATTTTATGAAAATATTTTTGATTCTTTGAAGGAAAGGGTTCTTTAAAATAAAATTTTTAATATGGTCTTCCTAAAATGAAGCCCAATGAGTAAAATTTTCATAATGCTTGAAATCAAATGCAAAAAATTCTTTAATCTAAAATTAAAATTTGCAAAAATAGTAATTTAATAGTTCATAAGACCTATCACAAAAATAATAACCAGTGTTGATTCACTCAAGATGGAATTAGTATCAAAATGCGAAAATTTCGGTTTGCAGTTCTTTAAATTTAATTTAATAATATAAAACTTGAATGGGTAACAGAAATGAAAATACTAATTGAGTAAATTCATTCTTGAATACCTCATGTAAGGTTATCGAATTTTTATGCACAGCAATTAATTAAAGCACAGTAAATAATTTGCTAATTTTGAATTTTGCTCTATGGGAACCATATAAAAATTAGACTTTATAGTACTAAAATTTTCCGATTTTCAGCTCTGAAATTAATTTCTACAAAATTTCAGTTTCTTGCTTATTTTAATCCCCCCCCCCATCAAAAAAAAAAAAAAAAAAAAAAAAAAAAAAAAAAAGCAAAAGAAAGAGAGAAAAAATTCTCTACACAGGTTTATAGTCTATGTCCTGCTAAACATTTTCTTTAATTATTATATAATGAAGTCATATTCTAACTATATATTCCAGGTAGTTTATTAGAAATCATAATGCAGTGAAGTTTTCAGAAAATCCCATCAAACATATAAATGCTTGCATGCTTGTAGTAAATTTGGTTTGAGAATATTATAAATGGGAAAACACACAATGATGAAAATCAAAAAGGAAAGTAAAACAAATGAAAACAAACTTAATGAAATAAATTTAGTAATACAAACCATTCTTAATGTTCTAATGATGGTATACTCTGCTTTGTTCTTCAAAATGATACTAATAATACACTGCACAATGATAAGAAAGTCAAAAATATTCCACCAGTCAAAAAAGTATCGTTCACCATAAGCAATAAGATACACTGCTATTTCTACAGAAAATATTATAGTACAAATCTGAAAAAGAAATTATGCTAAAATTATATTTTTATTAATTTTATTTTTATGTTATAATGCAAAGTTATTAAAACAGTGCAGTCAGATATGACCATAGAGACCACAAGAAAAATGGCCTGCAGTAAAGTCAACAAAATTTATAATTATTGTATTGATTACAGACATTCTGTAATCAATACAATGATACAGGTATATTTTTATATATTTTTCTAGTAACATACAGTGTAAAAAATATGAATAATGCAGATGTAGGTTTCTAATAGTATAGAAATGAAAACTAAATTGAGTGAATTTGTTGCTTTATATGAGTACTCACAGTGTTCTCATAAATTTGTATTAAATTTTATGACTCAAGGACAAATACTTTACAGAAAAATGTACTCAGAACAGCTTTTTTTATGTGTGTAATATTGCATTAGATTTTAATGTTGTTTTATCAGTAAAACTCTTTACAAAGATTATTTAAAACCAATATAACCACTACCTTAGAATAACCTGTGTGAAAAATGTATAATAAAGTATTCCTAAATATTGGCTAAGTGAAAAATATAATGTAAAAGTATTGTGAGTAGAATGAAACAAATTTTAGCAGTACTTTGCACTAAAATACTGAAGTCTAATAAATTACAGAATTTTACATGAACCAAAGTCAGCCTGGTCAAGAAGTATCTTGCTGTTGTTTCACTCAAATAATTTCATTCTAAACTTTTTATCATTTCAAGGACAGCTTTGAAGAGGATATGGGAAGTAGGGTTCTTGCCTTAAGTAAAAAGCTAGAAGACACACACACACAAAAAAGAACAAAGCTTAAAAAAAAAAAAAAAAAAAAAAAAAAATGTTAATGCAAAAGTAATAACAGCATATTTAAGGAGCACAATATTTGAGATATGCCTGATGTATTAAGCTTTAATGGCATAACTCTGACAATATGTATTATAAAATCTTAAATGTATTCCTCACTTATAATTTTATGGCATGATGCTATTTTTTATATTAAATATAAGCACATATGAGTGATTACAGATTAGTAAGTTATATATGTGTATATATATATATATAAAGCATCTAAAGTTAAAAGCAAACTGGAATCAAAGCAAGGCAATTCCTCAACAATACTAATAATTGCAATTGCGTATAAAAGGTTTAACACAATATATAAACAAATCAAAATTAAAATAAGAATTCATAGTAGTACAAACTAAAAAAAAAAAAAAAAAAAAGCAAAACGGAAAAAATATACAAGATACTGTCATATATATATAGTGAAATTTAGAAAGCGAAGGTGCCCTATTGTGGTAATTATTAATTGGAATTTTTAAATAAACACACTGGAATTGCCAATTAAAATACGGGAATTATTGCTGATTCCATAGAAAGATCCTGACTTATAAAGGAGAACTGGAACCTCTTCCTCCATGCAACCATCAAAAGTCATGAGAAGTGCATTTTTTTCATGAGAAACTCGTATATGTGTCAAACCCTTTTCAATTTGACATTTCTATTCAATTTTATATCTGACTTTAAATTTTAAAAATTCAGATATGTGTGATAAAGTCCCAATGTGCTAATAAATTATAAAACATAACTAATTTCAAAAATAAATACAGTAATCATATAGAACAAGCCATAAAAATAAGAAAAATATGAGAAATTGAAATAAAAACAGCATGCTATGAAAAGAAAGAAATAAAACAATAAAAGTCATTTAAACATTAAGTTATTTATGTTAATTAATAATAATCAGCAACAAAGTCTCTTATTTTAATCTTTTGTTTAGCATTTCAATTGGCACTTCCATTGTATTTATTCACACTTTTTCTTTACACATCCACCCACACCCATATGATAATCTGTAATAATATTTTTAATCAGTTAATTAAATTCTAATCATATTCCTAAATAATCTGTTGGCGATTCTCTACCCAAATTGTATCCCTGTTTCTTTTTTTGGATGAAATCCTTTCTTTCTTATAAATTATATTACATGGGGCTCACCAAATCAGCAAACTCATAAATCTGTCATATTATATAAAATCCTTATAGATAACTCTGATGAGAAGATAGCTTAATAGGGCTTCTCCTTGATGTACAGAACGAACACTTGAGAGATGGATGCTAAAATAAACACATCCACTTTATATTCAAAATTTTGTCGCATTTCTGTTGCCCCAATAATGTACGAGAATCTACATTACAAGTATAACCAGTTCTGCCAAAAAGAGGGAAGAACTTTTGAAACATCACAACTAAAACTCTCGTCTCTCATAGGTCTCTATTCTGAATAAAGGTTTCTAATTACTGATCTGGTGACAAATTAATTTAATAAACATGTAAAATAATTATTTACTTACAAAATTGGAAAGTTCCAAAAAACTTTGATATGTTTCAGATATTTCAGAAGATTCTGATGCAAGAACAACTGCATTAACTGCTATTATTAAGAATATGAAACACTGAAAAAATTTATGATCAACGACCATTTGAATTTTTTGCCTGAATTTCAACCAGTGACCTTTAAAAGACAGAGCAAAAGTTGAATTAAAATACAAACAATGTAAAATGTACCCAAGTTTCAGCACTTAATAGTTAAATGTAACACATTTAAAAAGCTAATAATAAAATGTATTTTTTTTCTGGTTTAAATTTGTTTCATTTAAAGAGGTAAAATAAAATAATTTTATTAATTATTTACATATATTTTTTATTAATTGTTACATATTATGCATATGTTTGTGTAATAGGATAAAGCTACAATGGATTGGTGATAGTTCTCTGCATTTTAATAACTTGGAGAGGCTTTAATGCATAGGTCGAAAGATGACACTCGAAGACAGACGTAGCCTTAAATTCCACATACAATTTCATTCCCAGATAATTAATTCTGAGGAATTGTATTCTTTTCATTTCACATCATCATTATGGGTGCACTTTGCATCCCAATGAGATTATATTATATCCCAGAATTAGAGATGAGATTATACCCCAGAATCTTATAGAGATTATATTTTTAAAACAATGGACAATAGCTAGCTAAATGCATAATGCCAAACAGAGTATCAAGAACCTTAGAAAATCTTTTATAAATACAAGGGAAAAAAACATAATTTTCATTGAAAATATGCATTCAATTGTAGCTACACTTCTTTATGCAAGAAATTTCATGCTTAACATGCATTCACTACCGCCTACAAGAATACTTCTAGTGGGCAAGTTGAGTTTACTTGCCAGTTACAATCAATCATGCCAGCTATATATATCAAGATGTAATGAGAAAACTCATTACTGATCACCTTACCTAAAATCACTGAGTATAAGTATTGCCATTGCAAAAGCATATAACGTTTAGATGTTTGATACACAAGAAGTAGATAAATAATTGGCATACTGAAATGAATCATTTATTTCTCAAAATATAGATAAAATAACTAAACATTTAGAATTCAAAACCATTTTCTTGGAGGGTGTTTATTCAATTGGAAAATCTTATGAACAGACTGTCCTAAATCTTGTCCAGTGACTTATGTAAGATTAATGGAAAATATTGTATCGCATGTACAGGAATTTTGTGCGTATGCACAGAATGGATAAGTATTGTTTATCTAGTTCCAAATTATCTTGTAGCTGGTACACAGAGCAAAAATATTATTTCATATGCCAACTGAAAGTATACTTATGTGAATTTATTTACTGCTAAACTTAATCTGTTGTAAATATATTTATATAATAAAACAACAGAAAGTAATTAAAACCATAAAAAGGTAGATAGGATCTTAGCACATGCGAAAGGACGAATCATATCAGTTTGCTCAGTGAGCATGTTAATTCAGTGACTGGAAGCAATGCACATAAAATAAATTTTTATGACTGTTAATAAACATTCAGCTATTTGATTACCCATATATATATATATATAAAATATTTACATGTGATGGATAATAATCAGAAAAAAAATAGATAGTCAAGCTTTCCTGTTTTGAAAATTATAGTCAAGTAATATTTGCAATCAAAAAGAGAGAAGTGTTTGTGCACAAACAATAATACCTCTGAAAATCTGACTGAAGAACAAAATGTAATACAGTCAAAAGTCGTTAATCCGGACTCGTCGGGACTTCGGCGATTCCGGATTATAGATCATCAGTTTAAATCTCGTAAGATGGCATGCAGAAATTCTAAAATTAAAAATATGAAACCGTAATTTATGAAATAAAGAACAATTATGATCTAAAGGGTATTAAAATGTACAAAAAAAAAAAAAAAAAAAAAAAAAAAAAAAAAAAAAATTTATTTGTTTACTTTATTAAACCATTTCTTTCAATGTAAGTTTGTTTAAGTTGCTTCGTTTTATGTGATAATACTTTCTCTTTAATTCTATAAACAGACATAATTTCTTGTTCAGTTACAAAGTTTCGCTGTTCAAGTCCCGTAATTGCTGTGCCGAGAATACCGACTAACTTGTCAATCGAAATTTTTTCGTTTTCACTAACCTCTCTGTCACCTTCTTCATGTCTTTATCCATTTTTTTGCAGCAATTCCACTTTTTGTTTGATGGACATCGAAACATACTTTCGTTTTGTAGATCCTTTGGGCGCTCCAGCATCGGAAATTCTATTTGACATAATCGAAAGTTCGAGTTTACTTTTATAAAATTGCTCTTACAGTCTGAAGTAATAAGCCGGATCACAGTCTGAAGTAATAAGCCTTACAGTCTGAAGTAATAAGCCGGATCCAGTTCGAAGATTAAGGAACAACGCAATCATCAACATTAACTGAAATAGATAATTAGATAATTTTAGCTTATACCATCCGTTATACATTAAACGCGCACGCGAAAACGTATTCTACACTTGCGCACACGCATTATGCGCAGTCGTAAGCGCGTAAACGCCTATGCGCATGTGTCAACGCAGCGCATGCGCAGAAAGTTTTTAGCTTTGAGGTCCGGATTATAGATCATTCCGGATTATGGGTGTCCGAATTAACGACTTTTGACTGTATTTCAGAAGTCATTCATCAGCTGTAGAATAAAGGCAAATATCTACAGGTTGTTTAAACTAAATCCAAAATTTACAAAAATATGATAACCCTCTACAAGATTAAATTTTATATTTTTCGTATTTGCTGATCTGACTGCAACATGAACCATATTTTATAATTAGGTATACTGAGAGAAACATCAAGTGCTGTTCAATTGACTTCAAACTAAAATTTCATATCCCATCAAGACAACAATCTGAAATGTATGACACATAATCACATAACATAAAATTCTGGTCACTTTTACTACTACAAGCAAAAAATATTTAGCTTAGCTAAATCTCCAGACATCATTTTTATTAAAAATATGAGGAACAGACTTGAAAGAGGTGTAAAAGAGTATCTATTTCTTTACCTTTATTTAAGATTAACAGCAAACTTTATACATGCAAAATAACGAGAAATTATTTACGTTTTAAAACAGGGCAAAATTACATTCTTAAACTAGAGTACAGTTTTTGAAGACAATTAAAGTATAATTTTCAGCAAAATGAAATGCATATTTTATAGCTAGATTATATTATTACACTTTGTATATAAAATTTCTTCATAATACAAAATAAGAGAAACTGCTTACATTTTACTTTTAGAATTAAATGCCCATATAAATAGCATAATTGCTTTATTTACAGCATTGAAGGTTTAGAAAAATAACTTTGCACAGTTTAAACAAATGAAGAAATTCAGAAAAAAAATTAGCACAGATAAGTGTAAAAATTATTGCAAATAAGTATAAAAATTATTGCTAGATTCAACTCAACATGAACAAGAAAGATACTAGCAATTAATCTGCAGGTAGCAATTAATTTCTTTCTACATTGAATCTGTAGGGTTTTTCTTATTTTGCATAACAAATTTTAAGTTTTCCTGTTCTCAACTTCCCCTCACTTCTCTCGCCAGGATGTAAATTTAAAGTTAAATGAAGTGCTATTTAAACATGTGATTATCTCAGTTTATTCAGAGTGTTTTTCGCTAGCCTAGCACACATTTCGTTGTTATTTTGTGGTTACGCTAGTAAGCCTCTTGGACTTATCAGTTTAGCATCACGCCGGTTAGATTTCCGTGAGTCTATTTCTTAGGAGTAATTTTGAAGTGCGTTCTTGCACTCGTTCATTTTCAGTTTACGTTTAATTACCGCCGCAAGTGAATGGTGCTTTTGTAACGGACGATGTCTGTGCTTTCTGTTAAATTAGTCTGATTCAATAAAGGGTTATTTCGCACCCTTCTTCTGTTGCTGGTATTTAATTCACGCCTGTGCGATAATTTGCCAGGTTCATTGTAGGATCTAAGTTAGTGTATGTCGACAAGTAGAGATAGATCTTACAAATCTTTTCATTTGTTTCCTCAGAATTTAATTCATCAAACAATTTAAGTTACAAGCATTGTTGAAATTAATTAATACACTTAGAAGGAAATTACTAAAACTTTAAAAGATCATACAAAGTAAGAATAAATATGTACAAAATTCTTTATTATCATCAATCACTAAGAAAAATCTAGTTGCGTATAAACTTTTGTTTCAAATACCTTGTTCTTTCATCAAATTTATTTCATTCCCTTCAGCCTAAAACAGAATAAAAAACAACAATGAATTTACTATAATAATTCAGTGAACTATATAATTATTTTCAAATATGATATTATTTTGGAGGCAATATTATAAAATTTGAATGCAGATAATTAAATGTGTATTTCTTTTATTCAAATCTGTGTTCCTGTTAATAAAGAAATTTTATACCACATTTAAAATTTTTTTCATAATAATAATAATATAATAATAATAAATAATAATAATAATAATAATAAAGAAAAGAAAAACTGGAAATTTCTAATTATACAGATCTTTTTTTTATCTGTAGTTAATGGAAACATAAAGAACAAGATAGTTAGATCTTTTATATACTAAATTTAAAAAGAATTTAATGTAATTAAACCATGATAAATTCTGAAAACTCATTAAAATCAAATCATATTACTTAAGTTCAAATTATAATTTTATTTTATTTTCTTGTGCTTACAGAGATATAAAAAAAATGTATATTTTTCCCACAATTAATAATGGCCAGATTATTTGATTAGATTACTTGACACAGTTAAAATGTATTAAGGCTATCTGCCGATCAGAAAGGTGTTTTAGTGAAGGGCTATCCTAAGGAAACTAGCCCATACTTATATTACATGTGAGGAAAATCACAAAATGTTCATACAGCAATAGGTATATATAAAAGTGAGCTCGAGACCAGAATTTCACCACTGGTCAGACAAATATAGTGCTATTCCACTAACTGTGCCATGACGAACTTTGCCACTTTTGAACTTTTGATGGAGAACATCCCAAGAGATAGATCCGATGGGTTCCCACCTCTCTTCCCCTCTCAGAAAACCACTTAAGAGGATTTTTGTCTCGTATTTTAAGTGTCCTCTTGCCACGCAGACATCATACACTTACAAACATACATATCTTCTCCAGGATTCAAACCTGGGCCCACTGATACAATGCACTAAATCACTTAAGAATAGAATCCATAGCAAGTTGTTTGTGGCTTAAGCAATTTGCCTATTAGTTGATGCAGTGATGTCCAAGAATGAGTAGTGGCAGTGATGGCTTTTTTCATTATCAAAAATTTTTTAAATAATTCTTATTTATGATACTGAAAAACAGAACTCATTTAATACTCTCAAAACCAGAGTAAAATTTTTGGAGTGTATGTTAATAGTCATCTCTTATACCTGCTAACTATACCTAAGATCACTTTATTTCAAACATGAAAATTATGGTATATACCATAACTCATAATTCAGATTTATGAAAAAACTCTTTCATGTAATGAAGTATATAAATAGCTATATATAGTTCAAAGAAGATAAAAATTTGCCCAATAGATGTGTTGAAATGTGCACTTCAAGTTAATGTAGGTGTAAAATCTTAAAAAAGTACAATGGATGAATTCATTTGTAGAATTATAGCAATGATGCTAGAAATCTCTCTTGTCAGGACCTTAAAGGAATCAAAATTTATAGAAAAAAGTTTAGTGTTTGTTTGCTCTATTAAACATTTCTTTGAATGTATATTTTTTAATATTTTTTTCCTGCATTAGAAGCATACTACAGATTTTGTTGACTGTTAGTTTATTGATGATTGTGGCATTGTCATCATGACGAAAAACTTCTGTTACATCACCTTCATCTATTACAACTTTTTTTCATTTCTTCATAAATTCCATTCATTGGAAAATTGTGCTTTTTGTTTGTGACATCTGAAAAGCTCCAGATTTGAGGCTATCATTACAAAGCTTAGCAGCATCCACTATACACTAATGGCAATGTATTATGTGAGTGACAACTAAAGACATGCTGTTCTGCTAAATTTTGTTTTGCTTCTATAGCACAATGATGAAGTTAAGTCTGGATTATACTAATTCAGTTATTTATTACACTGACACTTATTTTTTGCATATGCTTAAGGCATATCTGAGTTTCAAATAAATAAATTTCCACATATACTCAACGCTTATCAAAGAGTGGTGCAAGACATTTTGTGGCCCATGGCAGTTTCTGCATGTCTTAAATTCTGCTGCCTGCAACTGCACCAGCTCTGGTGCTGGTATTGGGCTTATCTGAATAACTAATCAGTTACTCTTAATTCAAACAATACTAAATGTAATCTTTTGGTCTATGAGTATCATTTAAACAATTTTATTTTTGTGCATGGAAAGAAATATCTGTTAGCTTTCTTTTCATTAACACTTTAGAGCAGGGCTTCTTAAACTATGGGTCGCGACCCCATTTGGGGTTGCGTAGCAAAATTCTGGGGTCGCGAGAGATTTTAATGTCAAATATTTATATATATATATATATATATATACCATTTTATAACATCATAGAGTTGGCGGGAATACAGTGGACTTGCAGTGTCTAGACACGCGCATTTGTTGAATTTTTTGGTTTGAGCTATCTCCACCGACAGCAGTAAACGATCGATGATCGCTATTATTATACTGTGGCTATACATTGTTAGTGCGTTTGTCGGTATCATTACATGTTGAATAAAACCGCGCGCCGCTGACTTCCCACAAGGGAGGAATGCGCGCACGTACACACGTGCAACCTGCCTAAACAATGATTCAATACACGACGCTGGCAAATACGCATTAACCAAACCGGTCTGTGGGGCTCTCTTATAAAAAAAAGCGCGCAATAAATACTTGTAAAACCCGTTGAAAAATTTGTGAATTTTATGCTTTTTAAGCGAATTTTTAAAACATTCCGTAACTCGCATTGACACTAAAACGCTGTGTAAACTCACCTACACTGACTGTAATATGAATTAGTGGAGTGTTGACGCTCTTCTAGTGTGGTCAATTGTCAGTGTCCCCGTAACAAGATTTTAGTTTTTTTTTTTTTATTTATTCGGTAATTAATAAATCAATTATTATCTGCAATATGTTATTTTTATATTTATTTTATTTTAGGGGATCAAAATAATTTTTGGCCAGGGATAAATGCTGAACTTAAAGAAGAATGGTAATGACGCAGATGATAATGCTAAACTCTTCTCAGGCATGACAAAGTATTGGAAAACAGGCATCTAATGTGCGAAAAGAAAATATGATGAGTCTTTTCTTCAATTTGGCTTTACATTTCAAAATTGGAGGGTAATGAACAACCTCTTTGTTTGATCTGCAAGGAATTATTGGCTTCGGAGAGTATGAAACCATCAAAATTAAAAGACATCTTGAATCAAAGCATTTTCGTATGTCAATAAACCAAAAGATATTTTGAAAGACTGTTGAAATCTTTAAATAAAGAAAAGAAATCTTTGAAAAACTTATAACTTTAATGAAAAATATTTACTAGCGTCATATGAAGTTTCATACTGTATTGCTAAAAATAAAAAGCCGTTCACCATTGGAGAAGATCTGTGTTACTGCTGCTATTAAAATGGTAGAAATACTACATGGAAGAAAATATGGCGATGATATTCGAAAAATTCCTTTGTCGAATGACACTGTCTCGAATAGAATTTCTGATATTAACAAGGATCAATTAATACAACGTATTACAAGAATTAAAGAAAGCCCAAAATTTTTCATCAGTTGGACGAAACAACTGATATTACTAATTGGCTCAGTTGTTAGTATATGTCAGGTACGTTTATAAAGAAAGCGTGGAGGAAGAATTGGTTATTTTGTCGTCCTATGGAAGACCATACTACAGGGAAAGACATATATTGTAAAGTTGACGAATTTTTAAAAGCAGAAGGTTTAGAATGGAAAAATTGCTTTGGAATATGCACAGATGGTGCAAGAGCGATGACGGGCAAAAAATATGGTTTTAAATCATTTTTTCAAGCTGTTCATTATGATCATATAACTTTACTCACTGCCTTATTCACCGAGAGGCTCTACAGCAAAAAAATTAGCACCAGAATTGAACGATTGTGCTTCAGGAATGCTGTTAAAATCATAAATTTTTTTAGAGGCCACGCCCTTAACACGCTTATTATTTCAAATCTCTGTAAGGATACGGATTCCAATACAAACTTTGTTATTACATGCAGAAGTAAGATGGTTGTCAAGAGGTCAAAATTAAGAAGATTATTGTTTATTAAAGGACGAGATCGAAATATTTTAACCGACGAAAATGTGAACTTGCTGCTTTTTTTTTTCAAATGACTTGGCTATCCAAGCTGTGTTATTTGTCAGATATTTTTTGCGAGTTAAACGATCTAACTTGTCTCTTCAAGGAAAATATTGCGATATATTTACTTCAAATAATAAAATTGAAAGTTTTATTAAAAATATCAACATTTGGAAAAGTAGGGTCGAAAAAAATTCGTTCGAAATTTTCCAGTGTCGACAATTTTGTAATCGAGAAAATCATTGTAAAACTTTTATTGCAAAAATTATTGTACATCACTTAAAAGCGCTAGAAATACAGTTCCGGACAAATTTTAAATTAAATATTGATTTCCAAAAAATAGTTTGGATTGAAAAGCCGTTTTGGATTGGCTTAAGTGAGATTGATCACCTGCCACTTAAAGCTCAAGAGGAATTTGCTGAGCTTTCGAGTGACTCAAAACTACAATTTCAAAAAAACCCCTTGACTGAATTCTGGATCGGAACTAGAACTGAATTTCCCACAATCGCTGATATGGCATTAAATGTACTTCGCCATTCACACCACATATTTATGTGAAGTTACTTTCTCAGCTTTAACACATATTAAATCCCAATATCGTTCAGCGTTAAAAAAATGTTGAAGAGGTCTTAACGTCCGCAGTTTCAAACATTCCACCAAGATTTGATTTGTTATGAATAAAAAAACGGCACATTCATCATTAAATTTTTACTATATACTTTAATTTAATACTTACCACGCAACTACTTGAATATATTCGAGAGAATTAAGATGGTCAGAATCCACTTTTTATTTTGAAACGATAATAAATACAATTTTTAATTTTTTTGTGCAATTTTTAGTTTTAGATTTTTGTATGTTTCAAAACGAATTCTAAACTTATATTTTCATATGTATATGTATATTGTTACCCTAATAAATAATCATCAAAAAATATTAATTTATTTTTCTTTTATATTTGTATGGGGTCGTCAAGAAACTCGCAATCATAAATGGGGTCGTGAATGACAAAAGTTTAAAAAGCCCTGCTTTAGAGCATAGTTCACTGAAGTCTGTAATCACTACCAAGTGTAATGTCAACTTAAAAGGTTACCATGCTGTTTAGTATTCAGATACTAATATTAAAAAAATTGTTTCAGACATCACAGCATGAGTCATTTCTCAAACTGCCATGTGTTTACAGTCCTGCAGTGAAGAATGCAAAATAATAATAAATAATGATTCAACAGATTGGCATCAGAAATATAAATTTTTCAATCGATATGAAATTAATCATATTTTGATGAAGAATGCTTCTTTGGTTTGAGATATATGCCAAGTTAAGATACAATTATGGAACTCTATTATTGATCATACAGATTTACAGAAATAAATGTTTGTTTCTTCAATATGACTGTATTTTATTTAGAGCAGAAGTGAAATTAAGAATCAGGACTCTCTGCATTTTATTATAAAAAAAGTGCCAAATCTACATGTACAAAAACTATGCAAGAAAAATTTCTAAAAAAAAAAGAAAAGGGGGGGGGGAAGAAAAAAAAAAGTTTCCAGATAATGAATGTCCAGATTTAGGATTTTATAATTATCATACTTTTTTTGATTTACAACCAGGGCTGCGGAAGCAGCAGGGACAGTTTCTTTTAAATTTTCCTTCCCTTTTGCAGGATAATGATTGTGTGAAAAATGCTTTTGCAATACATACACTGTAACTTGTGGCTGATTTGTTTATGCCAAAAATGCTCCTCCATCCACCACACTTCCAAGATTTAGATATCTGCAACTATACTCCAATTCATAACATGAAGGAACCACTGCATAGCATTTGTTTCCAAACTTCTCTATAGAATTTTCAGGCAATATATCACTCTTTTCAAATCATCAACAGAATAAGCACTTCTATAAGCTACACCAGGACTTTGCATTGCTGGTCATTTTACTGTACACAATGCTGATGACCATATTGAAAGAGAGTAGTCTCATTGAATACTTTCTCTTCATTAAAAATAAATAGTTTCAACTACACAAAACGACACTCACAGTACTTTTATTGTGAGGGTTTCCCACAGTTTTCACAATACATTTAGTGCTTACTTTTACTGTACTGAAATTTTTTTTTTCAAACTTATTTCATGCAATTTTTTCCTTTTGGCAAAAGTATAATGAAATTTTATTATACTTTTGCCAAAAGGTTATAACAAAAGTTTCCTGCCAAAAAATGTTCCTCATAAAGTTGAAAAAAAAAAAAAAAAAAAAAAAAAAAAAAAAAAAAAAACACATGAAAGCAGTATCTTTAGTGCGAGTAATAATCACCACCCAAATCTATGACTTTCTGCCAACGTTTTGGTAGTTTCAAAGCCTTCGGCGCAGAAACTTGGTGGCCATGAGTGCAAAACAGACCAACCTCATTTCGGATGTCCTGTGCAAAATGGAAGATAGCACCAGGAAGATGTAGGTACAGGGGTGAAAAAAGTTAGAATATCGAGACTATACGGTGGGTGTGGCAAAAGATCCAATTCAAGACCGCACAGAGTCCAGATACATGTGGTCTTGCATTATCTCCATGGAACATTACCTTTTTGCGTTTGAACTCATTTCAATGTATTTCCTTGATAGAAGCATCAACACAGACTAGCATCTTGCTGTACACCTTACAGTCGAGGGTTTTACCTTTTTTCAGATACTGTGTATAATACCATGGTAATGGCACCAGATACAAAGCATGATCTTTCTGTTAGTCAAAATGTGGTTTGTGAAGTTGCTGACTGGCTCACCAAGTACAGACCAACCTCCTTTTTGGCCTGTGTTGTTGAAGTAAATCCACTTTTTATCACAAGTGATGATCTGGTTCAGAATTTTGTCCTTCCATTGATATTCGAGCAGATTAGTGCAAGCCGAACACGTCTGTCCTTATCTGCTTCAGTCAGCTCATGAGGCATCCAGTGATTGACTTTTTGACGTCAAGTTTATGCAATGCATAGCTCGATTAACAAATGTGGCATTAACATCTAACACCTTAGCGAGCTCTCGAGTGGTTGCATACTAATCTACTTCCACAAGTTCTCACACAGGGGCCTCATCAACATCAGCAGGTTGGCTAGAGCACTCTGCTTCTTGAATATAATAGTCCTTGTTATTGAATTTTCAGTACCAAACCTTCACAGTGTCATATGATACAACATTAGTACCTAAAGCTGTACACATGATTTGGTGACATTCTGTAGGTGACTTTTGGCAACAGAACTGGAAGTAAATGATGGTTCTAATCTGGTAGCATGACAGTTCCATTTCAGACGATCTGTACTTAATGATAACAATATTTTTTTACAAATTTCACAGCACAGTGTTCTAAAGAAAATCTGTTTCTTTCAAATGCCAAAAATCGTTTGACAAAATATGATTAAACACAGCAATGCCAACTGTTCGCACTGACGATATATGCCATGGTAAGAAACTTTTGTTAAAACCCTATACTTTATTTTGAACATTACTCGGCAACATAATGTTAACATTCAGGAAGTTATAACTTTCTAAAAGCATTTCACAGCTTGTGTAAACAATGACTGCATGAAAAGTCAACAAAAGTTCACTTTAAAATTTGGTTTTAATGACCTTAAAATAAACAAAACAGGGCTGTTAAAAAGAAAAAATTCATTTTACCTGGTTTGTTAGTTTTTTTCTCTTATTCAAAATAATTTCTTTTACTTTATTCCAGTTTGTTCTTAGAGCGATCTCATGTTCTACCATAGTCTGATTTTCTTTCAAGATTCCCTTTAAAGTTTCTAAATCAGTAGGTAAAGAAAAAATACATAATTTTTCTATGTTGAACTGAAAACGGCTTTCAAACTTGAAAGAAGATAGAGGAAGATTTTGTTTCTGAAAAGAAAATGAAAACAATAAAGTACATAAATTTTATCCATGTTGAAAAAGTCAACTCACAGAAGCATATAATTTTACAAAATTAATCCAGCTTAGACTACATTTAGGTACAATTTAGTAAGAAAAAAGTAAATCTATTTCTCTCCATATATATGTGATATTTTGGTAGTTTTGATGAAGCTTGGCATCAAAGTTCAGGCATGGTTTTTGCAGAGTGGTAAGGCTAATCCAAATGATGAGGCAAGTTGATTTAGTTTTTAATGGTACATCTTTATTTCATAGCTTTAATTTAATTTCAGAAGCAGATCACTATTCGTTACTAAATAAGATTATTTTAAATTTAATGTGTCAAAGAGAAAAGGAAGATGGGAGCAGCAGCATAGGTTTTAAGAGCGCAGGGAGAGGAAAGCTTCATCACTACTGCCGAAATATCACAGTTATTTATTTAGCCGCCAGGACGTTATAATATTCAGGAGGAGTGTGAGTTATTCTGTGTGGGAAAAAGCTCCCGTGGATTATTTAATGAGCTTTCAACTTTCATTGTCTGCAGTGGGTCAAGGACATTGCATAGAGCGTCAAACCATCTGCAGACAGAATTTCCCTGTGCTTTGCTTCTCATCGGCTGTGAAAATGAAATGTTTTTCAAGTGCACTGTGATTATCCATTACGCACAATGAAAAGTTTTTCAAGTGATTGATGAAAAAATTATTGGTGCTTCAGAACTTTGTGTAAATTGATTATTCGTGCTTCAAAAATTATGAATACTAGATCCAAAACAAGGATGGCAACAAACACAGAATCAATAGCCACTGTCAACGCTGCAAAATTTCAATTTACTATTTTTGACGGATCAAAAATTTTCCTATCGACAAATACATTCTGCTGTTTGAGCAAAAATGTACTACCAAAAATATTCAGGATAAAGATAAAACCTTCAGCTTTGCTCTCTACTCTGCTAAGATGTAATTTTGTTGGCTTGCTTTCTATCTCAACAATATCAAAAATGTAAATCTTCTGTGGAAAGGCACAACTAGAGTGCCAAGTGATGGTGGCCACAAATTATCAATTGCCAATAAAAATGGAGCCTCGACTGCCAGTTTCTTTGGATATTACCAAGTTAACATTATTAGCAGACTACGCAATCAAAATTCTTCTTCAGTATGGATCTAAGCGTGCATCGACACTGTTCTGGCTTTTCCTTGTGCTTTTATTTATTACTTAATATACATATCTTAATAATTAAAGCAAACATTTTCAAAGTGTAGGTTATTACTATTAATATTATACAGTCAAAAGTCGTTAATTCGGACACCCATAATCCGGAATGATCTATAATCCGGACCTCAAAGCTACAAAAACTTTCTGCGCATTGCGTCGCGTTCACAGCATGCGCGCACAGGCATTTACGAGAGCGCGTAAGACCCTTACGGCTGCGAATATGTTTGTGCGCATGCGCGTTTAAATTGTAACGGAGTATACGCTAGCTAAAGTTATCTAATTCAGTTAATGTTGCCGATTGCGTTGTTCCTTAATCTTCGAATTGGATCCGGCTTATTATTTTTTGCAGACTGTTACAGCAATTTTATAAAAGTAAGCTTGAACTTTCGATTATGTCAAATAGAATTTCCGATATATATTTACTACAAAGCGAAAGTATGTTTTGAGATCCGAAATCTGTTTATCAATTTCACGCGGCGGATTGGAAGTTGATCTGTCAGCACTATCCTTATCTTCAGGGCAGATGTTTTTATTTTATTTGGTTTATAATTCCATACTAAGTGTAGTATTTCATTCGGTTCTTCGGTCTTTGATATGATTTAAATCAAGTTCCTCGTCATTATAATTCGCTTCCTCCGATAGTGAAGAAAGTGACCCCAGGGGTTATTGAAAACGAAAACATTTCGATTGACAAATTAGTCGGTAGGTATTCTCGAAACAGCAATTATAGGACTTGAACAGTGGAACTTTGTAACTAAACAAGAAATTATGTCTGTTTAAAGAGAATAAATTAGAGAAAGTATTATCACATGAAACGAAGCAACTTACATTAAAGGAAATGTTTAATAAAGTAAACAAATAAATATTAAGCTTTTTCTTTTTCTAAATTTTGATACCCTTTAGATCATAATTGTTCTTTATTTTATAAATTACGGTTTCATATTTTTAATTTTGTAATTTCTGCATGCCATCTTACCAGATTTAAACTGATGATCTATAATCCGGAAAAATCGATAATCCGGAATCGCCGAAGTCCCGACGAGTCCGGATTAACGACTTTTGACTGTATGTATAATACAGTATGCACTGCATAATATGATTGCATTTAATGTTACCATTTAGATATAGTTATTGAGTTGGAGGAGTCCCACTCACTTGCATGTGAAAGCACAGAAAGTGCATTACTTTTTGTGATCAACAATTTGATTATCATTATAAAAATATATTGCAGAATGAATTTTTAAACTGAAGCAGAATTGCCAAATAAAGTCAAAATAGAGTGTAGAAACATGTTTCCAAGTAAGGGATTAAGAAACCATGCAGCTTGGTTTTGATTTAAGATGGCTTTGATGTGCAAAGGTGCCCATTTTTCAAGTTTTAGCAACATTGACTGGATTCATCAGAATTAGAGAATAATGAAGCGGAATTTTAGATTACCTTGCTTTTTTCCATGAAACACACAGAAGCAATTCATGTTGCAACACCAGTGACAGAAGAAGACAGCTGGTAGTCATTTTTTAAAGATATTAAGCTTATCAAGATGATGTCAATACATATTCCCAAATTTGTTTTATATATAAATATATTTTTTAAAGTTTTCAACTTACTTACTTCTTTGAAGCCACTACAGCATCATATGAGCTTATTACAACAACAAGCATTAGATTCAGAAGAAGATAAAATGATCCAAAGAATATCACAGGAACAAAAAAGAAAGTGCTAAATGGTCCTGTAGCTTCAATTATCTAAAAAAACAGATAAAGGCACAATTTCTATAAATTAAGAATTAATATATTAAGTAAATAGATAGAGAAAAATCTGTAGCATATTATAAAAAAAGATATTAATAAATATACACCGTATTCAACTAACATTCAGGAGTTACATTTTGAAAGCTAATTTTTTAAAAACTACTTGTGTGATTTTTCAAAACTTAGCATAATTTGAGTCATAGAATCGAAATATGGAAAAAAAATAGGTATGTCATTTCAGAAAAATTTCGATTTTGTGTCAAAATACCTTTGTTAGAGAAATGCTATATATAAATCTAATTTATATTTTTAGTTGCGTTTTTGAGACGTGAAAAATGCAAGCTAAATTTTGTCAATTGGCTGCCAGTAGAGTGGTAGATATAGAACTGTCCCCCTCTTTTTTTGGCAAGATGTACATACTATTGTGTAAATAAAGTTAGTTATATACATAATTTATTGAAAAAAAAACAGCTGAATACAAATATTAATTGATTAACCAATGGTTGAATCTTGCTAAGTATAAATAACAACTCAGCCTCGAGAAGGCTGCAAAATACCCTTTATTTAAAATTCAAGAGCACAAGGCACACCTGGTGCTTACAGCTCAGCCAATCGTCTGTGCAAATTAAGTACAATGCAAATTAAAATAACAATCAAATGTAAAATTTAAATTACACAAATAAATTTAATGCAAAGTTGGCTCATAAATCTAGCCGGTATAGAAATTCAAATATTGGAAATCATAATGCAATGTCAAAGATTAAGTGTCTTTAATCTTATATGAGCTAGCAGCAATTTAGTAACATGGCCTCAAGAGGCAGAACACATTCTGTCTTACAATCTATAAATCTCAGTTTAAATATTCACAAACTAATTTACATTCTGGCATGGAAATGGAAAGCAGTGGCAGTAAAGACCCAAAACATAAAATTAAAGCATTACAAAAAAAAAAAAAATAAAATAAAATAAATAAAATAAATAAATAAATAAATAAATATAATAATAATAATAATAATAACAAATAAAGTGCTGAAAATTACTAGGCATAGCAAAAAGGTATTTGCACAATGTTTTAATTCAATAAATCTCATTTACTGCTTAGAAATATTTTCCTTAGCAATGTCTATAAAATTAAAAATTGGGAGGTTTGGCGAACTACCAGGAAAAGAGATGAAAAACTGGAAGAGTTGGTAGCTATGATATATACACTGAATAGTTGAACTGAATATGACATTTATTTTCATATGACTGAATAGAAGACCCAGCTGTATGTCTTTAATCTAATATCATAACACATGTTCATACAAAAATACTGAAACTCTAGACTGATGAACAAAAATAACTATTAAAGCTGCAAGCTGATATATGTATATAAATAGGACATTTTTTCTTATGCCCATGAACTGTTCAAGCAAAGGCAAAAGTGTCACAATATATGCAGCTAAAATTTTGGATTTGATTCATTGCCTAAAAAATGTACAGTGCATAATGTAAAAAATGCAATAATTCCAAAAAATATGAAATGCAAAATTTGTAAGAAATGAGCATAATAGTTTTTTTAATTAATTAATTTTTTAATTTTTTATTTTCTTATTAAAGAAGTCATTGCACTCACCCATCAATACTGTAAAATTTTATTGTTCAAACTGTAATATGGAAATTTTAATCTAGTCAAAGGCTTAGATGATGACCATAACATGGATGTGGCCTTCTGTATTATCTTTTCTTTTGAAAATTAGCAAGAAAATTATTAAATTTTATGAATTATTTATGTATTATTTAAGTCTTATGAATTAAATAAAAATTAAATTGATTCATTTTGCTTTATAAAACTTAAGTAATCTAGGTTTAACTACTGTGATTTGATCTATTAATAAAAAAGAAAAAATATCATAATCTCTGAAAAGGAGTTGTACAACATTTATCATTATAAAACTGAATTAAAAAATAAAATAAAATAATATAAATAATTTAAAAAAAAAAAAATCTGAAATGTTTCAGATTTTAAATTACGTCCAAAGAGGCGTTTTTTAACATTTTGTGTGTTACCTTTCTTTATTAAATATATATGTTTCCTCATGTTCCTCGCACTTAAACCATAAGATCCAGTGCAACAGCAATATCGCAAAATAGTTTTAAAATGAGCATATCTTTAGAATTTCCGATACAGAGACTCACGACTCACGCGCTGGAGATAAAAATGTTTTTTTTTTTTTCTGCACAACGTTGCCATTGCTCGCTTTGAAATCCTTGATTTTGTTAATCAAAAATTCGTCAAAGTTTTAAAAAATAGGAAATCGATCATAAAACAAATTTCAAATTTCAAATTTGGTCTTCCACATACTCATATTCGTTGGAGGATTATGTTATTCAAAATTCGATGACTCCATGTACCGTCGTTTTATCACAATACGAGAAATATACATACATTTATGCAGATTTTTCATTATTTAATTTCTTCAAATATAATGCAGCACTCTAACATTTTGTGGCAACAGTTTGAAAAGTGAACCGACATTTATGAGTCCGACGCAAAATGCCAAAACGAAACTAATAGTCCTTCGGGATTCAAATCCCTTTGGACTAATAAATAAATAAACAAAATATACTGATTATTAAACATGACTTAGGATTAAATAAAAGTTTAGGAATAATATACATGTGTATGTGTGTGTGTGCGTGTGTATATATTTGTGTGTGTGTGCATATATATATATTTTAAAATGTGCCACCCAGATGGGAATGTGGTTACTGACTCTGACTGCCATACCCAAGGGCCTGGGTTCGAATCCCTGAGAGGGCATGGATGTAAATTATCTGGCCCTTCACAGGAGGAAATGGTGGCCGTGCATTAGATGCCTCTATAACCAAATGACCACTGCTTCTTGCCTTGATAGTAGTAAAAGCCTCAAATGGCTAGTGCCCACCATTACAGTATACATATATATGTTTAAAATGTGCAGATATATAGTTTAAAATAAAAAGTACTTTAAAAATATTTGTAATTCAGATTCTCTAGTAGATCTCCTTTTATGTATATATATATATATATATATATATATATATATTGTATTTTTTTAAAAGAAAAGGAAATAGTTGGAGATTAAATGCAAGTTTACAGTATCTTTCCTATGAAGGTTGTAACCATTTTTATAGTGAAGAAAGTCATACCCAAAGGTAGTATAAGTAAAAATTACAATATTGAAAGCATTGCATAAAAAAGAAAATAAAATGAAATATTGATTTTCTCAGTTCAATGAGTTCTTGAATAATAGCAACAAAATAAAGTAGTCAGTCTTTGAAACCTAAAAAAGGGGCAGCTCGAATATGTATTAAATTAGCTTTAGTCTGAATAAAAAAACCAGAGAAACTTTGAAATTAAAAGCCGCTGAGAGTGCTCTAATTAATATCAAAGATATAAAAGAAAATACTGAGCGTTACAAATAATTAAAAAACAAAACAAAAAAAAAAAAAAAAAAAAAAAAAAAAAAAAACCTAAAGTAAACCCCCCCAAGCCTTAACGTAATCAAATTCAGAAGGCTGCTTAAATAAAACAAAGTATTTTACAAAATTATTCTAATTAACTTCCTAAAATTCTCAAAGAAAAATGGTGAGAACAAATGCAGTTTCTTTCTTTAAGATTGAAGTTTCAATAAGTCTGGAGGGGGGGAAGGCTGAGAAAAGAATCTGGAAAAAGAAAATTGGAGGGGGGGGGGAAAACTGAAAAGAAAATTAAAAAAAAATTTTTTATTAATTAATTTATTTATTTTTCAACCCTTTTCAACAAAAATGTCATTATTTTCGAACCTGCAGCAATTTCACAGATTGCCTATTATTTTTTAAACTTTGTTTAAAAACCGTTTAAGAAAGCTTTGTCTATTGAGTTTTTTATATATATTTTATACATATAAATATACCATATTTGCCGTCATATAAGATGCACTTTTTTTATTTGAAAATATGTCCGAAAAATGGGGTGCATCTTATATGTCAATACTCAGTTTTTGATTACATTCATTTCGGGAAATTTCCTCTATTCGGAGTTACATGATTTTTTTTCTTGTTTCCTTGCAGAGTGTGAGAATATTACAGTTACGTAGAGTTCTGTGAACGCACATGAGGTGTCATCGACAATCACAATGGGTTTGTTTAAATCGACAATGGGTTTGTTTAAACTTTCCAATTTTTTTGAACAACTTTTAAGCGTGTGAAATTTCTACTATTCAATTTTCTTAAATTTGTTACCAAGCTATGGCTCAAAATCAACATCAGCATTGCTATAACATAGCATATAAGCTACGTGTGATTGCATATGCTAAAGAACATAGAAACAGGGCTGCAGACAGGCATATTGAGCCACCCCCCAAATGAGAAAATGATAAGAATTTGGCGGAATCAGGAAGAGAATCTAAAAAAAGCAACTCATAGTAAACATAACCTACCAAAGAAAATTGCACAATGGCCTGAACTTGAGGCAGAGCTGAATACTTGGATTTTAGACCATAGAAAAGAGGGACTTTGAGTCTCTACAAAAGTGATTATCCATCAAGAGAAAGCGATAACAACTGATAGAGAGATTGCCATTTCACTGGGTCTACATCATAGTGTTTCAGATTCATGAAGAGACACCAGCTATGTATGCAGACTAAAACAAAAATATTGTACAAGATACCAGATGAATATGAAGAAAAAATTGCAGAGCAGCTGGATGCAGTCTTCAGATTTTGAGGTTACACCGTCAGGAAAAAGGAAGAGGCCTAGCACTTTGCAAGTCCGTGAATGGGCCAAAGCTTCATGGGTTGCTGTGAAAACAGAGACAGTGGTTAAATCATTTAAGAAGTGTGGCATTAGCAATGCACTGGGTGGTAGAGAAGACAATTTGTTGTATGAGGACTCGGATGCTGATTTAGAAGAGGTTTCAAATGACTCTTCATTTAGCTTTGGAGATGAGTGTCTGGGTTTTGACAAAGAAGATTAAAAGGTGTTCTTTTCCA